TATTTATCTGACTATGATCCAGAAGGCTACATGGAGTCAATTCACTTCGGCTATGTCCTAGATTTTGGCCCCTCAGATTATGCTCATCGATGTGCCCCGTTTCACACTGTGATATGACTCAATCCTTGCACTGCCTTTGGGATTTACCACTGGGTGCGTGCATTGTTTCTGGGGTTTCCCCGCAAGAATGTTTATATAGACAGATGATTCAGTTGTTGGATCATCACTACCACTACTACTACAATGCCAGGCCGTCAACGCGGGACAAACAAAGCCCAGGCAGCTGCTGTTGCTACTTCCACTGCTGCTCCGATCCCTGCTGCTGCTGCAGCAAATGCTACTACCCTCCTAAACCCTCGTCGGCGACAACTTCCTGTTAGATACAGAACCAGCGATGCTGGTCCAGACGAGGGAGAAAGCTTTGACCTTGGGAATATCTCAGGGGATGAAGAGGAACAGGGCAATCCTCCTGTGCCCACTGTTATCGCACAGGCGGGCTCTAATCAAAGCCCACTCCAGACCATCATGAGCACCGCCCGGACTGACCCTCTGGCCACTGGTAATCTCAAACAGACCAAAGGGCCAACTGATATAGCTCATTTCTACCGGATTGATTCCGATACTAAGGTCAAAACTTGCACCCCTTGCGTGTAAGTATCATACCTGTAATCTTTTGTTGTTTCTTACGCCCTCCACCAGAGCACTACATGAGATTGATGGAACGCACAAGGTCCAGGTATACTCAGGTTCAACAGCCAGTTCAGCTCCCCGTAATCATGCTTTCGTTTACCACACTGAACTCTATCTGGAAGCAGCAGAGCACTTTGGCTGGCGCATAACGATAAAGGATTTAAGTGAACGGCTCACTGAAGGATGGACACTCACGATGATTCACGAATGGCTCAAAAAATCACCTTGCACAATGCAAACACTTGGCCCTCCACCTAACCAGGGATCTGATGCCTCGCGGCTGGTGGGAACCAGCTCTCCAGAAGATGCAATTCCAGACTTCACGCTTGACGAGATGCATCGCCAAATTGTGAAGTTTATTGTCGCCAATGATCAGGTGAGTCACAGTTCACCCTTAAAGCCACCATTAACAGCTGCCACTAGGCAATAAACATGATCGAGTGTCCTGAATTTCGACGCCTCATCTGCCTCTTACGCCCAGAAATTGGCAAGACTAGCCTATTCCACCGCACGAAGGCCCACAAAATGATCATTGAGCAATGGCAGGAATACTTCATCGTCTTGAAGCAAGACCTTTCTGTAAGTGCATAATTAATGAGAGTCCTACAAAGTATCTTATTCTTTCTAGAACGCACAGGGCAAAGTCTGCTTCACATCTGACCTGTGGTCGGATTTTAAGCTCCGGCCATTCATGGCCATCACGGCTCATTGGATTGCCAAGGCCAATGCAGATTCAGCGCTCATGTTAAAGGCGGCCCTCATCGCGTTCCATCACGTCCCCGGCAGTCACGATGGAGAATCTCTAGGTTCCATGATATTGTACTTGCTTGATCGTGCAGAAACTGCGACCAAGGTTGGTATTTACTTGTATCGTGTTGCTTGCTCTGACGTTGTTTAGACTGGGCATTTCACTCTCGACAACGCATCCAACAATCACACTTCAATGCAGGAGCTTTCAACCCTACTCGGGCAACACGGGATTGATTTCAATCCTGTCGAAAACAGGATACCGTGTTTCCCACACATCATAAACATATGTGTAAAGCACATCATCGACGAATACGCTGTTACTGACTTCTCCATCGTGGACGATACATGGACAGTCGAAAATCAGATCATCAAGAAAGTAGATTATGTCCAGGCGTTGCAAGCTAAGCCTCTCGAGCAAGCCAGGAACATTGTGCGATTGATTTGCACATCAAACCAGCAGCGCGACAGATTTCGGGACACCATCCTTAGGGGTAACAAGGAGGGGTGGTTTCGAGATGACAAGGGCGAGCTTACACAGCTCCCAGTCGTAGAACTCCTCCTCAATGAACCTACTAGATGGGATTCAGTGTATGTTATGTTAAACCATTTGCGGACACTCCGCCAGGTGAGACACCATACCATCAATCATATATCATAGACTAACACTGGCTCAGGCGATAAGCGCGTTTTTTGATGCTTGGACTCAGTGCAACATATCTGAGAAAAGATTGAGTGAGATGGATTGGCAGTTTCTCCAGGACCTGGAAGTGATCTTGGAGGTAAGTACTATCGCATTTGAAACACGTGATCCATTTAACCATTTCACACCAGGCACCTCATGCCGCCCAGCAAAAGCTCTCCAGTGAAACCACTCCCTCACTGAGCTATGCCGTTCCAGCATTTGAAGAAATGATCAAGAGCTGGGAATCTATTGGCCTGCACGTTCCTCACTGTAAGCCTATCGTCGACATAGGCTTAACTTGGGCAAGCAAATACACCGATTGGATGGGTGCGACACATGCTTATGCTGTCGCTATGTGTCAGTCCCATGTTTTGTTTTAATAAATGTTGATCTCATGATTACTTATGTAGTTATTGACCCTGTGATGCGGATGTCATGGATGAACAGTCAATGGGAGGAAGACCGTGTTAATAAAGCCAAGGAGTTTATTGTGAAGCTGGTATGTTTATTTAGTATACGAGCACAACTTTTGACTGATTTGTCTTGCAGATGCATCGCAAGAGAGCAGAACACTCTAATTCTGCGTATTCTGGACCTGTAGTGGCTCCACGACCATTGCCACACACGCTAGGCTCACGTCGCTATGGAATTCCTGAGGCGCATGCGCATGCGCCGCATCACAACAATGGTGGTCAAACGGTAGACCAGGAGTTCACAGCGTATGTCACGGCCACTCTTAGTCCCCAGGGAACAAGTATACTCGCATTTTGGAACGTGAGTCCATTGCCTCCTTAAGTCACACCATTTGTCATTAACTACAAGTTGCTGACCAGGCTTCACGGACCATGTTCCCAACCATATACTCAATTGTCATGGACTATGCCCCGGTACAAGCTTCTGCTGTGCCATGTGAGCGGGTATTTTCATCAAGTAGCGAAACCCATACGAAAAAAAGGAATTGCCTCGGCCCCGTTTTGATGGAAGTGTTACAGATGGTCAAGTTCTTCCTGAAGAAAGAACGTCTTGACTTCACCACAGGTTGGGCGGCCTCTCTACGGGACATGGAACATGAAATAGTATACGACAGAGGTTCTAATGAGCAGTTGACACCTGCTGCCAGCACAAACGACACTCTTCTCAGAGCCATTGCGGAGCATGAGTGTGATAACACCGAGGACACTGCTACCATCTACGACAAGTGAGACTTCTTTTTTTCATATCTGACTTTTATTTCTTGCTGTTTGCTGTTTGCTGTTTACCGTTTACCATCTGCCATTTACCATTCGTCTTTTGCCTCTTGTTTGCACTATTTTTGCTTGCTCAATGCTCAACATGTTTCACGTGCTTCTGCGTGATCGGTTTCAACCTTTCTTTGCAATGCTTGTACCTGAGTGCACTGATCTTCCTTTGAGCTTGGGACATGCTGATCCTCATTCAAGTGCGTGCCATGCTGATGCACGCTAGTACCTGCCAGAACCACCACCGAAAACTCAGGACTTACTTGAGTAACATCCCACAGATGATCATAACAATAGCGACCTCACTGACAATCACAGCAGCTTCAATCATCATCCTTCTGAAAGTGATGAAGCCTCTGACAATCAATCATGATTTGATGTGAGCATTTTACTCTCATTGCATCTATCTATTGCAGAATGTGATATTTGTTCATGTAGATCCTCACTATAAACACTACTGTTCGCGGAAACAAGGATGTGGGGTACGTATCCTTGTGACATAGTCATCTGAATTGGCTGATGGAGAAGCTAGAACCTGTCTTGGGACGTATGACACGAGCCAGTCCTACTGGACTCATGTTATCGTGAATAATGCATACAGGTCGTGGTTCTGGATGGTGTATGTAATCTCATTTGTCTGGATGTCCACTCTGACGATGATTCTAGGTGCAATCAAGTCGGATGGTACCAGGTTGGCCCTCCTGAAGGCCAGCCTGCGATTGTGAGCCACATCCTCCAACCTATTTACAAGGAGGTATGTTTATCGAATTTGAAACACGAGCATTCTTCGAACTCACGCGCCAACTTGAAGAACGTCTTTTGTCCTTGATCGTCATCAACGACTTTCGCCCTCGATCATCCTCAAACTTACTGTCCTCTGATCATTTGTCATTGCCCTGCATTGACTCCATCTTTATGACACACATACTGAATCTTAGATATGAACGTTGAAGTCGTGAGATTATGATACATTTGTGTGGCAAAGTACGTCAAGGCGGATCGCCGTGTTATTCTTCCTGCCTCCTACCCAACATCCTCAACACCCTACGCAACCATCTCTTCATCGGGGACTCAACACCGGATCGCCGTGTTATTCTTCCTGCCTCCTACCCAACATCCTCACCACCCTACACAACCATCTCTTCATCGGGGACTCAACATGTTCCTCCGCGACACCTACTCCCGCCTGCATAAATCTGTTCCCTCGTGAACCACTCGCACTTGCTCTCACTGCACTCATCCGCCTCATCAACACCTCATCTGCCCATATCTTAAGGGCATGCTCATAGGAACAATACAGCTTCTTCAGGTTAGCCTTCTGAACACTAAACTTGACGATCTGACTTACATCGGCTTGAGGGCCCATTGCGATCACTGATATTGGATGTTTGTTTGATTATTTCACAGTGGTATTGAATACTAGTGCGCACTGTGCACTGGTGATAGATTGATTGGATGGTGCGTTTCTATTTCCATTTCCGGTGTATAGATGCGCACAGCACCAGCACTGCATGACATCAGCGCACAGTTATGTGTGCTTTTCATTGCACATAACACAAGCAATGTACTACTAACTTTCACATAGTCCATCCTACAATCTCCTCTTCCTCGATGCCATTCCTAAGTGCGCAAATCCCTCAATGCATATTCACACGGTTACTAATCACTCGTTTAAACAGGTGATATCTACCTTGGAATCAAGATCATCTCCAGCGAAGAAGTCGCCATCAAACTCAAGTCCGTAAAAGCCAAGCACTCCCAGCTCGAGTATGAGTCAAATGTCTACAAGACCCTTGCTGGCGGTGTCATGCATGATATGGGTACCATACCATGACATACGTAGACAAGAAGTAATCACAGGAAGAGTATACTAAGGTATACTTCATTGTATCACAGGCTTGGTTTCATTTATGACAGATTTACTTGTACTTATATTTTCAGATTGCTAGTTTCCTTCTCTTTCTTTTTCTAAGGCTTATTCAGCCATCAATTTACTCAGTGAGCCACAAATATGTTACTTAGTGTGTCATGTGACTGGCAATATGCTGATTTGTAAGGATCCTTCATGATTTGTCATGCAGTTTCCATTTGTTTCTGTCTGTTTCCATTTCTTTCAGACACAGATCCTTCAGTGAACCATTAGACATGTTTGTAAGCATGTCATGTGACTGGCAATAGGCTGATTTGTAAGGATTTGTCATGCTTTGTCATGCTTTGTCATGATTTATCATGCTTTGTAATAGTATTTACTATTTATGTATATTAGATTGATAAGCAGCTGATTCAGCACTGCCAAATGGCATGGTTAGTAAGCCAGTGACTTACTAATGCTGTGATGAGTCATGCTTAGTAAGGGGGGGCCCCAAAAAGGTATAAAAGGAGCCCATCTTGCACCTACTAAATATAACTTCCCACTTTCCACTCTTCTCTCAAACCGTGTGAGAGCCAGTAAGATTCTGAAAGTGCAGGCCAAATAGGTTGCCTTGAAGTAAGACATAAGACATTTCTACTACTAGTTATATACTACCTAGACTAGAGGTTGACTATATAACACTGAGAAACTTTGTATCACTGAAACCACAAGAAAGACAAGAAGAGGACACATCAGTAAATCCTCCCAAGAACTCACACGTTATCTACCACGAAAACTAGAAAAGTCGTAGACCATGTACTTAAGGACTGGCAAGTAGTCTTATCCCTGTATAGTTGTGTTGTCACTATATACACGTCCCATATAAGACCCTTAAGTAGCAAGACAGCGGTGTTGGCATTCCCTTCATACACTGGTTCGACACCGAGTGCGACTACAATGCCATGGTCTTGGACCTTCTTGGACCCTCTCTAGAGGACCTTTTCGATTTCTGCAAGCGCAAATTCACCCTCAAGACTGTCTTGCTCCTTGCAGACCAACTCATAAGTAAATTCCACCGCAGCCACTGTCTTCGAGAACTAACGCACCACTGTATCACCACAGATCTCCCGTATCGAGTACATCCACTCATGCAACTTCATTCACTGGGATATCAAGCCAGACAACTTTCTCATGGGCATAGGGAAGCATGGCAATCAAGTCAATGTCATTGACTTTGGTCTTGCGAAGAAATTTCGTGACCCAAAGACTCACTTGCACATTCCATACAGGGAAAACAAGAATTTGACCGGTACCACTCGCTACACCTCAATCAACACGCATTTGGGAGTTGAGCAGGCTCACTGTGATGACCTCGAATCTCTTGCCTACATCCTCATGTACTTCTTGCGCGCTGCCCTCCCTTGCCAGGGACTCAAGGCTGCAACTAAAAAGCAGAAGTATGACAGGATCATGGAGAAGAAGATGACTACTCCCACCGATATTCTTTGCCGCAGCTTCCCCAATGAGTTTGGCATTTTCTTGAACTACACTCGCGTGCTTCAGCTTTGACGACAAGCCTGATTATTCTTACCTCCGCAAGCTCTTCCATGACCTTTTCATTCGCAAGGGCTTCCAGTATGACTACGTCTTCGACTGGTCCGTTCAGTGTGGCGCCCAAGATGATGGTGCCAGCACCAGCCAGAAGGCCACCACTGGCAGGCGAAAGGTCGTTCAAGAGGAAGAAGAACACCATGCAAGCGACAGGATGTAGGTGCCCGTCACATTTCTTTCAACTCTTTGCCTCGCCACGGTCCTAACTTTCTTTATAGGCTTCGTTCTCACACACGCCAGCAGCAGGCAACTACTCCTGCTGCGGGTCAACCCCATCCTCGTGGTAGGGATGACGCCTGGTAATCGCATCCTAGTTCCTCTTGGTTTGTTTTCATGTGCAGGGCACAGCCCCGAGTGCGACCGAGGATGGGGGTGGAGGGAAGGTGCAAAGGTAGCTCGGTCGCTGTTGGATATGGTGTTATAGATGGTCTGTCGCGGTTTTGCAAGTCCAGTTGGGTCATCTCGCGGGTTACGAGGTCGAAATGTCACGGTGGGGGCACGCCAGGTCAACTTGCGCTGGTTTGCTTTCACATTTTTCATTGCGACGTGTTCAATTTCGACATCCCGCATTCATGCCCTATGTCGCAGTCACTTTGCATTCCTCGATCGCTACGCATTTTGAGTCTATCTGCGACTCATCACACCGTTGATGAAGATCACACACTTGCCTCCCCTTATGTATTGTATGGACACTATTTCTCTTCACGTCGCTTCTGAGCTTCCTTGCGTGTACGTATCCCAACAAGTTCGGCATTTTCTTGAACTACACTCACGCGCTTCACTTTGACGACAAGCACCAATCGTACAGATGCCACCTTCATCCGTGTCAATGGCTCCGTGCTTGTGCAAAAGTATGTCGTTGAGGGTGTGTGAATGGTGCGCAAATTGTTTGTATCATTATACACATGTAGCCGGTAACTAACCTTCCTATTAGATATCTTCCTGAGCGCATCCTTCTCCAGCTGTACTCCCCCCTTCCTCCTTCACCACATCACGCCGTCTCTTCAACATCCTACCGAGCCATCTCTTCAATGTCGCACTGACCCATTTCTTCGTCCACTGCCCCATGACATCCACGACAGCCTCGGCCTCCAGAGTCTCCAGAGTCTCCACAACATCAGCTTGTGCCCTTGCCCTTGCCTCCATTTGCCTTTGGAATCCGCTTGCTTTCCTTCTAACCTCCGCTTGCGCTGCTTCAACCTTGCGAGCACTCACGGGATTGCAGTACAACTATCTCAACTTAGCTTCCTGGACATCAGATACAACGACAACGACTTACATTATTTTGCGGACCCATCTCGATTCGTAATCGATGTTGATCGTCGATATCCGATAGGTATTAGGTATGTTCGGTGGTGATCAGTAGAGTAGGTAGGTAGGAAATTCTAGGAATCATGTCGTCTCGCAAATACATCCTTTTTGGGACTTTGACCCTAAGTCAAGGGCAAATGCTTATATTTTAATCTTAAAGCTGGCTTAAGCTGGCTGAGAGACCGAAAACGTGGCTCCATGGACCAGACCAGGCCGCTAATTACATAAGCCACAACTAGGTACATGGTCCAGCTTAATGTGGCTGCGCCCACGGCTAAAGCCGGAATAAGCCGGAACTGTGGCAACACTATGTAATACCATATTATTCCTGAGTATATGCTTAGAGCTAAGGAGTGGGTTTACATTTATTCAAAACCAAGGCATCAACTGATGATTTTACACTGGCAGGTGTGCATTACATGAATCAGTCAAGAGATCAGATTTGAGAATATTGTTTTGGCCATTGAGTGATTGGCCAATGGATGAGTAAGTCCTCTACCCTTGTGCCTCATGATTGGGTTCTCTGGGGATTTCATCAATCAAATATATTTTGTGGCTCTTCTTTAATTACTTGAACTGACTTGTTGTTGCAGAAATACTATGTATGTAGACTGTGATGGCACTCTACATGTGATGGTGGAGATGACACTACTTTGATAGTGTTGGTGAGTTATTTCTAGAAACAGTCTTGCACTGTGCTCACTAATATATTCCTATGATTGATTGTGCATGTCTGGGCACTTCAACTTGCTTGTTGAAGTTATATGCAACATACTACATACACCCCGTCCTCAGTGCACCTGCCACAGACTCTATCCCTCCCACCTCAATCTGTAAACTTTACATCACATATATTGCAATTGTAGCTAGGTATTCAAAGTTGCTAATATGCTCGTGATTGTTGGGGACAGGCATCACATTTAGAATCATCTAGTGGGTGTGGATGGCCTTGTGGCCCTGACATACACATTCCTCATCCCATCTGAGTCCACTGGTGAGGGAACAATACCTGCTTGGACCTTCTTCTCCTTCAACATTCTAACCAATGACAAGAAATCTTCCACTGCCTCAGGTGATGTTTGGATATGCACCACCATGCGAGAGCCAGTAAGACTAATGGGGTTCGGTAATGCAGCTGCATGATCTATGATTTCCCAGTACTCGACACCAATTGTGGAGGGATCATAAAAAACCTATTTCGCATCACAAGTTTGTTGGAAAATCTAAGATCGAGAAACAACTGATGGGGCTTACCATGCAAGTTTCTGCAGGACTCAATATGCGGACCTGAAGCTCTTCTAAACCAGCTTGTAGGCGTTTTGCTAGAGCGTGAACCCTAGGAAGGAGAGGGAAATTATGGGTAAGTGCGTAAGCGACCGACCCAGCAAGAACACCAGTCTGGCGCATCCCCCCGCCAAAGATCTTGCGGAACCAGCGCGCTTTCTGTATAAATGCCTTTGGACCGACGAGACACGTCCCCACGGGGGCACCTGCAGCGAGTCAGTCTCTACCCATACGTACCGGTGGCGATACTGACCGAGACCTTTGCTGAAGCACAAACTGACTGAGTCAAATGGTGCGCAGAGTTCATCAATCGGTGTCCGAGTCTCAGCGGCGACATGCCACAAACGTGCACCATCAAGATGCATCAGTATGTCATTCTTGAGGGCAAAATTAGCGATCTCAATGATGTCGTTTTGCGGCATGATCGTGCCATTCAGCGTATTTTCCAGGCAAATGATTCGCGTTGGTGCGCTGATAGACATTAAAAGAATCCTTGACACGCAGAACCTCCATACCTGTGTACGTCAGTGCCGAACACTACATGCGGTTCAATATCCTTCAGAGTCAAATGGTGTCCTGTGTAGGTGTTAATAATAGAGTGTGCGACCGCATAATCATGTGCATGCCATTTTTAGGTGTCAAAGCGTTCTGGAGAGCACCTGAGTGGATTGCCGCGCCACCAGCCTCGTACCTAGGGCAAGTCAGCCGCCAAGTCACGATGGATGGAGCAACAGCCTGAACTTATTGATATGCGCTCGAACATCACAAATAATGGAATTGGGAGGCTGCTGAAGATGCGTGCGGATAGCAAGCTGGTTGCCCATAGTCCCGCTGCTTACAAAAAGAGCAGCTTCCTTCCCTGCGAGCTTAGCGATGTGCGCCTCAAGGGCAATCGTAGATGGCTCGTTGTAGACGTCGTCACCGAGTGAAGTCTGTACGGCGTAAGCGAACATCTCCTTCGTGGGCACTGAACGATGTCCTGTTCAGGCGATTTTCAATAAAAGTAGAGAACACACCTGTGATAGTATCGGCTACCATTTCTTCAGCCAGACGAAATCCATACTTTCCATTTGAACTCACATATAAAACTCCTGGAAACTTCTTCCAGCTGTCTCGCATTGTCGCGCTGTTGAGTAGGAGTGATAATGTCTACTTTGACCTGCTCAATGATCGATGCGAGTTTAGGATCCATCTTGAAGAGAGGAGGGTGTGGTATGCGAGAAGAAAAGTGACGGATATGATTGCAAGAATGTCGCACACTGGACAGTATTCTCATGTCAGGTTTGGTCAAGAACGACTCTTCGAGTCTGGTCGCAGTGACTTCCCTTAGTCGAAAACTATTATCTGCACTTTGTTCGATATTTTACGGGACTCCGCTTACAAACACCGTGTGGTGAGTTTACAGTGCTAGTTGATGACTGACATCGTGATTCTGAATAAGTACGAAGATAACGGAGATAAGATAAGTCCATAAGACAACTTACGTAAAACATGTGTTCTTCCTGTGCAACGTTGTCGAGCACTCGCAGTTATACCAGCTCCGTATCTCCCTAGCTTTCTGTACCAGCTCTCGGTCTCTGTTTTTTCAGTATCTTAGCTTAATCATGGGGAACGTGGGTTATCTTCAGTTCGCAGGAATGGGTGATTTTAGTCCACTAACAAGCCTCCAGGGCGCCAAAGCTGCACAAAAGCGTGAACGCAATGCTGGAAAAAACGCAGACAAAGGCCCTACAAGTAAGACCAAGGTTAATGAAGCGGCGAAGAACATTGTTTGCCAGACTTGCAGACAGACCTTCGTGAGTCATTAGCCATAGATTCTGTCTACATCACTCTAATCGATTCCATCATCTCAGCTACTCACCACCCGTGCACCAGCGTAAGTGTCCTTTTTTTTATCAAATGAAAATATGGGAGAAGCGCTTTGTACTGATAGTGTACATGCACACATTGCAGACTAGAGGAGCACGCCCAGAACAAGCACTCAAAAACATTGGCAGAATGTTTCCCGAACTTTACCAAGTAGGATGCGTCCGATACATGTTTGTCTAATGTGTTGGGATGAATGGTTGCATTACGTTGTAGAACAAGTCAAAGCTCTGAAGAAAAAGAGTAAGCGAGGTGAGAAAGAAAAGGTCAAGCAACTGACTCACATCATAACTATCCATATAAATGTCCTCGCGCGGTTACTCTCATAGCGAGAAGCTAGTTGACCCCGTGGCCTGTGCACTTGCTCCTGCGCTCTGCATCTTTTCTCCGACCTTCTTGTTAACTTCGAAGAACTTTGCCACACATCTATCAATGCAGACACTCTCGCCCTTGTTGAGGTCTCCTTCGGCATAACGAGGACTGATACACTTGGCATGACATGAACTACACCACACGTAAAATAAGTCAAGGTCACAGGAATTGTGAAAAACTGTCACGAACGAAACAATACGGTTAAATACGTCTGAAACCATGTCAATTCTATGGCCTGAGAGTTAGCTGCAGCGGCTTGGGTGAAATGGGAGCCGACGCACTCGTTTATGGCCATTTCAATGCGCTCATGGTTGACACCACCGGCTGGTGACGGACCACCACGACCAAGGAAAGACATATTAGCAAATAATGTTCGAAGCGGAGTAAACTCGAAAGCAAGAATTTTAGAGGACACAGAAGTCCAAGCTTTAAGACTCGAAGATGTAAGGAGCAAAATATGAAGCGTGGCCACGTGGTTGAAAGGACGGGTCCAAGAAAGGCAATGAAAAATGTGCGGCATATCCGAGAGCAAGACCTTGATAGAAGGAAGACTGAAACTATGTCAAGACCTGTTGCTGTCCATCGTTGTAGGTTTGTTGACTATACGCCATCGCCGATCACGGCTCTCGCGTTTCCTCCCCTACCATTACCATGTCTCAAAGGTAAGAAACGAGAAAGGGATTCAAAAGATAAGTTCGGCACACTTGGTGTCGGCCATGCCAATGGCAACATCGACCTTCTCGAATGGACTGCAGAGGAGGGAGAGATCCAGGCATCCCAAGCTTGGCAAGTGCGTAAGGTGAGTGCTTTGCATTGTTATTTGACACATCAATTGAAGTTGCATTTAGACTCTTCCAGGTCCATGCCCATCAAAAGTAGATTCGCTAGCTTTTACTCTACGCTATCCGGACATATTTCCATCGGACACAGTACCATCGTGCTCTGATCTTCGTCTTTTCAGCTCAGGTGGTGGGTCTGAATTGCTAGAGTGGGACATATCTCGCAGCTGTGTTCGCGTACGATGCTCTTACTTTATATAGTTCGCACCAAACTCATATATTGGACTATAGAGAACCATTAGTTCCCAGGGAGGTGCCATCTGGAGCATTGCAGCCAATCCTGCTTCGACACTACTTGCCCTGGGTTGTGAGGACGGGTCTGTTCGCTTGCTATCCCTAGTTGCGGATACTTTGCAGCATCACAGGCGATTCGATCGCATAAAAAGTCGCATACTGAGCATTGCTTGGGGCCCGCCAACACCTCGACCGCCAAAACAGCGGACGGCGAAGAAGACTGACAATGGAACGGATAGTGATGAAGACAGCGATGACGATGAAGACGAGTGGATCGACACATGGCTCGTCACGGGTGGCTCAGATAGCAGCTTACGGAAGTGGGATGTCGCTACTGGCAGATCGACTGACCGCATGGGGACAGACAAAATGAAAGGTGAACGGACACTTGTCTGGACAGTTGGCGTGCTTGCGTGAGTGCACGCGCAAAATACTTCAGTTTTTCGATCTAATCAATTCGACACAGCGATGGGACCATTGTTTCTGGGGATTCTTTAGGTACAGTGAAGTTCTGGGACTCCATGACTTGCACGCAAACCTGCAGCTATCCGGCTCACGGAGCTGACGTGCTTTGCCTTGCAATCGGTCCCGTAAGTCGTTCAATATGATATTCTTCTGTGACTAAATGTACCGCATTTCAGGAAGGCACATCCGTATTCAGCTCTGGTGTCGACCAAAAAATTGTGCTGTTCTCATGTGTTCCCACCGCTCCAGAAACTTCTTCTGTGTTGCCCTCCGCCCCAGCACGATGGATTCAGTCTGGCTCACGTCGTGTGCACTCGCACGACGTTCGGTGTCTTGCGGTCTGGCCACCTTACTCCCCCATACCCCCATCTTACAAGCGAAAGCCCTCTGCAAATACGACATACATCGCACCGGTCCTAGCTTCTGGAGGACTGGACATGTCTATTGCCCTCACTCCCGCGCTGCCAGCCAGCATGACTTCATCTTCCATTGCCCCTCGCGTTGTCAACCCTCTCACAACAAGAGTCTCCACGACTTTCGAGGATTCATACTATCGTCGCATCGCATACACCGCAGCAATATGTGTTTCTCGCAGAGCGCGCCTTGTGGCAAGCATGCACGAAACAGGCGTCAATATATGGCGAGTTCTAGGCATCCCAGACTCGGATGTGATTGTGGATGGCGTTGATCCATCGACTGATCCTGAAACGCGGACTTCTTGGGAAAAGGTGCTCGAGATGGATCTCAACGTGCGCACGAATCTTATCGCCAGCGCGTTATCCGATGATGGGCGTTGGCTTGTCGTGTCTGACCTGTACGAGACCAAGCTTTTCGAGCTCAGCTTCAATGTGAGCAATGCAGAAATCAACCTTGTAGATGTTTTCCTGATTTATCTTACTCCAGCCTGCCGGCCTCCTCAAATCGAGCCGGGTGCGGACATTCGCATCAATATTGGAGAATCGAATCACGGCACAAAGCTCTCAGAATCCTGTCTCAACCGGTGGATCATCGTTTACATTCACCCCAGACTCCTCGAAATTGATCATGGCCTCTGCAATAACGTCGCTCATCCTTGTTATCGATCTCAGCTCGGAAGCTCCCACCGTACTTCGGACATTCAATCAACATTGCAACGCTGGGTCGATCACAAGCGGTAGAGTGGTGCGGGGAATTAACAAAAGCATCTCAGACGAGGAGTCGGTTGGTGGTATAGATTCTGTCGCTATCATGAAGATGGCAGTGAGTCCCGACGGCCAGTGGTTGGCCACATCCGACGACCTCTGCCGGATATTCATCTTCAATCTCGATTCCATACAAGTGAGTTTGATTTATCGCCAAGATGTAGTGCAGAGCTAATTTATACCAGCACCACACTACTTTGCCGTCGCTTCCTCTCCCACCCAGCGTCCTAGTTTTCCTCCCCGACAACCCGCAAATCCTCCTTGCCGTTCTTCCCAACAACACAATCCATATCTTCCACGTAGAACACGGTGAAGTGCCATCATGGGGTCGGGAGTTCAATTCTCGTCTTCCAAAGCAATTCCTCAGCGCCCCAGATCCAGTCATCGGGGTCGCGTTCGAACCCCTTCCTTCTTCGTCGGACGACGAAATGACGGGTATCGCGCCTCCCTCAACCAAGCCCAAAGAGGCTATCTTTTGGGGGTCCTCGTGGCTTTGCAAGCTTGAATTGGACTGGGAAGGCAAGTACACTGGCCAGTCACGGAAACGCCGCAGGCAGACCGGCCCGGTCGCAGTAGGAGAGATGGCTAGTGAAAGGAAGTTGCGGATGGTGACGAATTATCGCCCCATCTTGGCACTCGATTTCCTTGGACCTGGGGAGCTGGTGTTGGTGGAACGGCCGCTGGCAGATGTGTTATCAAAATTGCCCCCTGCATTCTTCAAGCCGAAATATGGGCAGACTTAAAATCCAGTACATCTGGCGATGCTTGTACCCCAAAATTTACCCTACGCGAGATATGCTGCGATATGCAATGGATAGCATTGGAACGTGTGGTACTACATGTAAAAGCGTCTCAATGGAATGTAACAAGGAGCAAGTAAAGACAACATTGGGTTAGATATAAAAATGGCAAATGAGATCTATGAGCTACAACGTGTATATGATATTAGCCGGGGTCTACCGATAACCAGTTTGGAGGAAGAAAAAACGGTCGTCTAGCGGACTGTTGCTTGCAGTGCTGCCTCTCTATCTTGCCTTTCATCCTCCCTGTGAAGTTAGGGTTACCAATAGAAGTATCAGACGTGCATAAATGGTGGCTACTCACTTGGCATTCAACATGGACAAGTACAACGTCCAGAAGACACCACAGGTGGACTGGAAAGGTATTCTATATGGCAGTGGCATGTATCGGAAATTAATCATCTATGAGAAATTGAGTTTAACATCAACGAACAGTTACTTGGGTCCTTAAACTTACTTGTGCTATAGGCCAAACCTTCCAGTTGGTTAGAAGAGCGGGAGCAAACATGTCAGTGTATTTTTCATGTATTTGCCTGAGACTTCGACATTCCATTACACCCATAGAGCCTATAAACATCACAAGCTAGAACACGTATGAGCCCAAGTTCAAAGCAGCGATCAAGGATCTGATTCTTACCCCAATCGGTGCCCTAGGGACCAAGGCGTCAGTCTACAACAGTATCAAACAATGAAAGTCTCACATTATTAGTTGGTCGGCAGCCACGCGTTTCGAAAGAGCTCTAAAGCTGATAGGCTGAATTCTCCATGCTCGGAGAGGAAATCGTCTCTCTAGGAATAAATTCCACCTCCCGAGTAGAGGGCCTCGCAAGCAGAGGATTCAAGGTTTACTCAGATAATCAAGTTGCATGACTTACTCATGCCGCTTCCAAGACAAAAGAAACGCAGTGTACGTGCGGGATCCCAACCGGGTTTGGGCTCGTGATCTTTAACGAGCTGAGGGTCCATGAGTTGCAGGAGAATGGCATAGAAAAATGAGTGTACCCACAATGTTCTGCGAAATCTGGGCAACGATGTCGCCAAGAGCATTCAAGGTTCCGCCGGTGACAGCGAGAGTGTAATTTGGGTAAGTGTGGTATGCATGCTGATAGGCACGGGCGATAGTGAGTGTGGCCATGCAAGAAAATAGGAGGGAGTACTAGGATGAGCAAAAATTTGGATGTGCAGTGGTTATGAGAGAAGCTCTAAGTAAGGTCGACGATGGTGCTCTCTCCACTCATTTTTGTTCACTTAAAAGCGACAGCGGAGTACTGTGACGCAATTCAAATTGTGTTCCAGAAATTTCCCTTTTCTTGACAGATGAACGGGTGGCTGTGACACTTTCTAGGCTCAGAAATAAAACCACGTGACCTCGACGCGTCTGTTAGTCACTTGTTTGTTCTGGTCAACCATCCGCGCAGACCCATAAATACCCGCCTTATACATTCCACCTCGCCAATCCCCTCTTGACCGCCAACCTCTACCACCATTTTCCCGCTCATCATCTTACCTTCTACCTGCCGCCCCCAACCATCATGCATTTCTACAGTACCATCATCGCTCTCACCGCTCTCACTGCCGGCGTCAGAGCCCTACCACCTCGCAGAGTCACACCGCGCAATACAATCGGTAACGTCATGACTGGTACAGGCGGGCTAGCACCTGGCGGGTCGGTCAACGGTGCAAGCACAAACTGCACAGACCCCTTGGGTTTGTCGTTGGGGTTGGGATGTTTACTAGGTGGTAGCAGTGTCGCAAACATCGAATCAAGTAAGTGAGGCGCTCACCCTTGTGTTCCGCCATCTGACCACTATCTAGACAACGCCGGAGCAGGAGGGGTGGGAAGTTCAGGTTCGGCAGCCATCCAAAGGGTTGGGTCAAAAAAGTTTAGAACGTCAAAGTTCAAGGGCGTTCCCGCAGGGAACGTGTCCACTGGAATGGGTGGATTAGCATCAGGTGGCTCGGTCAACGGCGTCCCTGGCGGTCTCGTCAACATCGGCTCAAGTAAGCTCTACGATATCTTGGCCAACGGCACAGATCTGACACGGTTTGTACCCTTATAGACAACGCAGGAAACGGCGGGATGGGAACGAGCGGAGACGCACTATGAGCGGTGAAAAAGGAGGAAGGAAGCCTCCACAACCTAAATGCACAAACTAGACTTACGAAGCATAGATGGCATGCACACGGACTACTCATTTGTACTATATCACACTGCACTATCCTCGCATTAAAACGGGTGAATGGGTGACGCAGGTGTACAATTGGCATCGCCGTCTTGTACAGCTTGCAAATAAGAAATCCACCGGAACTACAAGAGCTTCAGGTGGCCTGTCACCTGATTGATGAGATCTACGGGCGCTGCAAAGAATCTCAGTCTGATTACCATAACGAGCGACTTGCCCTACCAGGACCGATACCAAGAACAGTGCAGGAACCTGCCGCGATCTGTGTACGGCCACTACATTAAGAGAAAGGATCAGCGGATACGCATGGCGATGTATGTTCGAAGGAATACTTACGGAGTACTTACGCGTCTAGTATTGATCAAGCGCAGAGATTGAGACTCTTAGCAACTGCTTCGGTTTCAGGGAGCTCGTCCTCTGACGAGGATTTGAGAGCAATTTTAGCTTGGCTGGGTTACGGTGTTCAACGAGCGAAAGGTAAGTGAGTTTCTTCAGCACATACCCAGTTCTCTCCCAATGTTGTACGAGCTATAGACACCTCAATGTCAATTTTAGCTTGGCTGGGTTACAGTGTTCAACGAGTGAAAGGCAAGGGAGTTTTTCCAGCACATACCCAGTCCTCTCCCAATGTTATACGGCTATAGACAGCTCAATGAGGCCTATGACCTGACACCAATATCCTTCCACTTGATCTGGCTAGGAAGACTGATACTAAGCAGACGCGTCCGTAAGTTATACAAGTCCCCCGCCACCCATCCTAACAGTATCCAAAACCGCTCTCACCAACTCATTCCATAACCGTCTCACAATCGAATCACCACGGGCTTCCAATAACCTCCTCCGTACTAAGTCCGCAGGTGTCTCCAAGCGCCGCCGCCTCCGGAAGATCAAAGACATAAGGGGAATTAGGAAGAAAAAAATTGATAGAGTGGCTATTCTGCTTGCGGTGAAATAGTGGTTGAAATAAGATCGGACGAGTGCTAGGGAGGTTGGAGGTTGTACACTCGCGAGACTGTGGTCGACTGGCGGAATGCGGGGGATGCGAACGCCACTGGCACTTGAACTTCCTCGGGGCATGTTTTGATTGTAGCGGTGGCGAGGGGATCTGGTTACGGTAGAGTCTGAAACTGCTGATGTGGAAGTGGCGGATTGTTGGCGATTAAGTTTTGGACGGGGAGATGCTGGAACAGCGGTGCGGGTGGATTGTGGTGGATAGAGAGGAAGAGGAAGAGGCTGGAGATAAAGAGCGGAGTGGAGGTATTGGTGTAGGAGAGGGAGGAGTCTCAGGTTTTGGCGTCTCCCGCCTTGTACTCTTTAGCGCGTGAGCATGTTGAGCCTCGAGGGCCAAATAAAGTTCCTATCAATATCATGTTCAGCAAGACACAAGAATCATGGAATTCAACTCACGCGTTTTTTGTCAGGCGAGAGCTCATTTTCGTAGGACAGGAATTCTTTGACGTACTCCCACTCGCCCAAACGAGGCAAGACATGCAAGCAGTAGAGTTCCAGGACTTTGTGGTATGGTTCACCTGTGGAAGGTACAAAGTCATATTGACCGCGTTTTGATAACCAGTCCTCTGTCATCTCACGACCAACACTTGGACAATCTATCTTGATACTGGATGCGACGAGTGTGATGAGGACTTGGTGTGGAAGGAACGCGGAGCTAGGTTTTCGATGCAGAGATGAAGGAGTAAATAGAGTGAGAGATCGAGCACACAAAGTGGAAATAAATGATTGGGGAGACAAGAGTAGGAATTCTCGGAGTGGTTGGGGTAAATCAGCGATGTCTGGAGTAGAAGAGAAGACGGTGGTCTCGAGGGTGATGCGAAGGATATCCCACTTTCTCCGGTGTACATCTAGGGGATCAGGTGAGGGCGCAAGGGGAGGTGGGAGCAGTGCGAATGCAGCGGTTAACAAGGTGAATGTGATTGTGATGTCTCGGTGAAGGAATGCTCTCGCTGCACGGTTGTACAGTGATTGTAACGTTGCCTCCGTCGTCGACGAACCTTTGCCAGACGTTTTATGAGGTAGCATGTCCGACGTCGAGACAGTCGCCATTGTCGTCATAGCGGTCGGCATCGGCAATCTGCCTGAAACTCAAACTCAAAGTAGTGGTCAGAGGCTAGGGCTTTTATAGACCTGTCCTCAAAAGGTATAGATCTAGAGTATATCGTCAGCAGTTATCGTCCGAGCTCGTTGTACACTCCACTCAAACAGCCTTGAATCGTCGGTAGGTGTTTGGTGCTAGTGTGACCAGCGACTGCAGGCAAGTGACCAGCGACCGGCTAGTACTAACCGGGATGACACATGTGTCAGCGACGTCACGTCTGCCACGCCGGTCACCTATCCAATGGCACGGGTACTAAATATTTTTACACCTCGACATTTCAATTGGACTGTCGTGACGGTGTCGTCCCTTAACCGTCAGCCAAAATGCAGTGATAATCAAAGCTCACTGCGGCCACGGGCCCACGCTTGATTACCGGTAACCGCAGACAGCATTTATGCTGATTATGGGAACTCGGGTAACTTGAACTTCTTGCCAGCGGGCTTACACTGCCGCTATCGATATATAGTCTGTTATCGTTTGGTTATCCGAGTTAACGTTCAGCATCACAGACCACTACAGCACGTCATGGATCTTGGATTGCAAGGAGTGCACGTCATTGTAACAGGTCGTATTCTACGCTATCCTATTGCGCTGCTGACTTGACAGTACTCGAGCAGGGGCAAGTGGTGCCATTGGGCTAGAGACAGTGAAATTGTTTTGTGGTAAGTAATTTACTCTCGAGTGATGATTATTCAGTTGATTCAGACATCCAGCATTGGGCGCGAATGTGACCGCACATTATAACTCCAAATTTGGTCCGATCCAGGAGCTTCTGGCATCGAACACCAATCTTCAACATGTCCAAGCGAATTTGTCTCAAGAGGAGGACGTGGTGGGTATGTTCGAGTCGTTAGCTGTTATGCCTCATGGCCCCGTACAAGTGGTGATCGTCAACCACGCTATATATCCATTTTCGGAGACTCCAATCGCAAGGATGACGCTGGACCGATGGAACACCACCATAACTGCGAACTTGACATCGTCATTCCTGGTGTGCAGAGAGTATTTGAAGCACCTTGAACGTGCACCCTCTACTATCAAGGAAAAGGCGGCGATTGTGCTTATCGGAAGTACTTCTGGGAAGTTTGGCGAACCTAATCATGGGGACTACGCTGTGACGAAGAGCGGTTAGTAACGATTCTGCCCGCAGTTTGACATAAACTCATCATGTTCTAGCAATGATGTACGGTTTGAACCTCACTCTCAAGAACGAAATCGTGAAGATAGCCCCCAAAGGCAGAGTCAACTGTATTGCACCTGGCTGTGTCAAGACACCCAAGACTGAAGAAGCCTTGAAGAATTTTCAAATAGCGTATCGTATTTTGGCTACGTCAGTGGTACCATCATGATTCATGATCCACATTGAAATTCGTGCCACCACAGGACTCCACTTAAGAAGGTGGCCATGCCGATCGACGTCGCAACGCAGATTGTGGTCCTTGCATCATCCACTCTCTCTGGTCATGTCACTGGGCAAGTAGTGATGGTTGAAGGTGGAATGGAGGGAATGTTGCTAAATGGACCAGAGGATTTGCAGGGATCTTAAGCCAGGTTTTTTTCGTGAATGCCTTGTCTTATGTATAGGAGACAATGAAATACTTGAATTCTGGTTCCTATCACTAACTTGTAATAGTCTCGACGTGATTCATGGGGTTGCTTGCAGCTTTATACTCTCCGCTGTTGGGCAAACCAAATATGTAATGTACATCCAACATAGGGTCTATGACCCGAACGGACCCCACTTTGAAGTAACAAAAAACCCTCACAACTGATGCGATCTGAGACGACTACAACTAAAGAATAATCCGCAGCACCTAACTTCACAAGAAAATTCTCCCATGCCACCACCTGAGCCTTGTGTTTCTGTTGATCGTGCTTGAGGCCCTTGCATTCCAAGTGCAGGATGACCTTGTTGCATTGAACTGTCAGCCTCATTGCCACTTGAATGTTGCATGGCTGCAGCCACCGCCACCTCGGTGGAAGGGGCAATGCCGTATCTCTGCAAATGTATCGACTTGAATGACATTGAATCTTCATCGCGAGCAGGGGCTACATCAACAGTGTGTCTGGATGGTCCCACAAGAAACAGGCTGAAATTCCAACGTTGAGACTCACGTGGTAAAATCGATTGCGATGCATTTGCAGATGGATTGGTGAAACGCAGGGAGCCTAGCAAACTGTGCTAATGAAGGGGAAATGATGGACTCACAGGAGGAGCTGTGTGACGCGTGTATTGATACCCCAGAAGTCATCACCTTGGCATCAGTGTAAGGATAGCTCGGACAGTTCAGGAACGAAAACCATACAAACATGTCTTGCCAAGTCTCTGTTGTTGGGCTGCTGCTTGGAGACCACGGGCATCAGAAAAATTGAACGAATTGAACAAGACGAATGAACAGAGTATGAGGTTGTTCATAACAGACTGACGCACATCTCTTGGTCGGGCCGCACGTCCCTAATAAAGAAGTGAGAGACAGCGCAAAAGGGAAGCACGTATGACTTGCCTTAAGGGCTTCGCATCATTCGTATGCTGGATGTCGACCAAAACTACTTAGAAGACACTGACAACATAGACACGCCCACATAATCAATATCAATACCCTGCTATTTGAGCACCACCCCATGCTCCATATGTAGACTTTCGTGTCTTTTCCAGCACCTGCAATGTATTTTCCATCAGGGGATATAGCAACAGTCGAGAGTTCATTGTCATGCACGAGTGGGTCTCCAACTGGCTGATTGGTCTTGAGGTCCCAAGTGTGAACTGAGAAGTCCCTTGCTGCACTAACAATGGGCGCAGACCTGGAATCTCCGGTAGACTTGTACCCAGACCGGCCATTTCAGAGACGCCCTCGAAACGACAGGACGGGAACGAGCGAAGACGTAAAGGAAGCCTCCACAGCCTAGATGCACAACCTAAACTTGCGAAGCACAGACGGCATGCACACGGACCACTCATTTGCACTATATCACACTGCACTATCCTCGCATTAAAACGGCTGACTGCGTGATGCAGGTGTACAATTGGCATCGCCGTCTTGTACAGCATGTAAATAAGAAACCCGCCGGAACTACAAGAGCTTCAGGTGGCCTGTCACCTGATTGATGAGATCTACGGGCGCTGCAAAGAATCTCAGTCTGATTACTATCACGAGCGACTTGCCCTACCAGGACCAATACCGAGAACAGTGCGGGAACCTGATGCGATCTGTGTACGACCACTACATTGAGAGAAAGGGTCAGCGGATACGCAGGGTGATGTATGTTCGAAAGGAATACTTACGCGTCCAGTATCGATCGAGCGCAGAGATTGAGACTTTTGGCGATTGCTTCGAGTTCAAGGAGCTCGTCCTCTGACGAGGATTTGAGAGCAATTTTAGCTTGGCTGGGTTAAAGTGTTCAACGAGTGAAAGGTAAGTGAGTTTTTCCAGCACATACCCAGTCCTCTCCCAATGTTGTACGAGCTAAAGACAGCTCAATAACCAGATTGGAAGAATAATCATTTGAAGCATACCGCAGGGTTTGTCCTCGATAATGCCTTGTAGCATGCTAGTGTTGCGTGTCTGAAAGTCGTCGCATCATCCAATATAGTCTGTCCCCCGTCACATCATAAGCACTTACCCACACCTAAATAGTCATTCTCAATTGACCTGAGGACAGACGTGTGGTACTTACTGTGCAGCTATTTTCCCAGTGGTCATTTTGAGATCTGTTCGCACGACCAAGACCTTCGGAGGTCGAAGTCAGCAAGTGAAGTCTCGATTGGATGCCAGCTCATACCAATTTGCAAGGTTGCATGAACCCTGCCTTGACCGCGCCAAGATCTCCATCTGCAAGCGCATCTTCTTCTTCTTCACTATCTACCTCTGGTTCGACCTTGGGTGGTTCTTTATCCTTTGGCTCCGACGGTGGTATAGGTATAGGTTGAGTGGCAGGTACGGCGGTGTCCTGGGTGCATATTCGTGACCCAAGATAGTAGCCCAACCCTAGGGCAGCTCCTGCGACCACCGCATGTGATAGTTCTACAATAATGCGATTACAACATAAGTCGTGATGTTCCAATGTCTTGTGTCCAAATTGCTTACCTGACGGAGACATTAATGGCGCTCAAGGTGATTTCCTGAAATCTCGGTAAGCTCGGTAAAGGTCGGTAAAGGTCGGGTAAAATGTCCTGCTGGTAGTTAACATAAGGCTTGATTTTCTCTGAAGTTAGCTTACTCAACTATACGGCGTACTCCGGCATGACGTCGGAGCTTAAAAGTATATGCCTGCCCTACAACCACGACTGCGTCGTTCTGCACGACTGCAGGGTTCGCAGAACCTCTCCCCAATCCACCACCAGGCCAAGTGGAAGGCCATGAATCCCCCTCCAGTCCCATCCTCCAACCGTGGAAGAGGAAAGTCCAGGCGTTCCAAAGGAGATGGAGATACCACTGAGACAAGCATCAGTTGGCAGGCAGATGTCCAATGTACCAACAAGCTGGTCGATTACCTCGTCAACAATATGGCGGATTGTCGTGTCCTATTCTCTAGCGAGGGGAAGAAACCTAGTGATCCTAACATCGAGGGTCCTCCATTGGGCAAAGACAAGAATGCAATCCATGCGGTGATAGCAGAAGTGATTTTCAGTGGCGATAAAGTATATTCTGGCCAATATGCTGCCAATCGGACCAGGTTCCGTGACTTTGTGTCCAACCGTATAACAGCGTAAGTGATCCTTTGGTTATCAGACTGTAGATGCTAATCAAGTTATTTGAAGTCTCCGGAATAAATTCCGTGACTACCGCAACGAGTTTGAATCGACCGGTGCAGGGATTGTGCCCCTCGATGCGGGTACTGCGGAAAATCTACATGGTGAGTCCGTTACTCACGTTTATTCAATTCTACTAATAAAATTCACAGCCAAAGTCCAGAAAGAATTCCCCTGGTACGACAATCTCCATAAAATCTGGGGCTCCAACCCATCATTCGCTGCCAAAACGACTTCATCAAAGCCAGGCACTGACCACGCGGGTGATCTTTTCGCCCTCACCCTGTCCTGCGGGCAGCTCTGTTCATCCCCCCCCCACAATGTAACATCCCTTCCACCAGCACTGCCACTGGTAGTGGAACAGGCGTCCCACAATTCAACTACCCTCCCCCTCCCCATCCCCCACCTTTGCAGTTTGCCCCCCATCAATTCGACTTTGCCCCCCCTCACCCAGGTGGTCAACCAGGCAGCGTCACTGGTTCCCACCCACAGTGGAGTTACATCTCTCCCCAAAGCGCCCACCCTGGTGGTGTTCCTGCTCCGCAATTCAACTTCCCCCTCCCACAAAATGCCCAACCAGGGAATGCTTCTGGCTCTCCACAGCACTGAAATTTTGGCCTCCCTCCCCAAGGTGCTTATACTGGTGGTGTCGCTGGCTCTCTCCCCACTCCCCAATTCAACTTTGCCCCCCCTCCACAGAGTGTTCAAGCGACCAGCACTTCTGGCTCTCCACAACGCTGGAATTACGACCTCTCTCCCCAAGGTGGTCAGTCACAAAGCCACAACACATACTCCCCAGGCCCTCCGACACTTTCAGACTTTCCTGGAATGGACGACGACGACGATAACCCCCTTGCTGATGATATGGAAGACCTGCGTATGGATGAGTCAGTCGGTCATCATGATGACGACAATGTCTTCAATTTGAACAGCCCCCCAAAATCCAAACAGGGCGGCAAGAAACGCCAGCAGCCTCCATCTTCTCCAACTCCGTCCCCCCTCCCACATTTGTAGCTCTGCAGAAGCCCCGCACCTCCACCCACGACGGTCGTGGCTCCTTCAAATCCCATGCTGGTCAGCTCATGGTGCGCGAGGGTGCTACTAATAGCACCCCTTCTGTCACGTCCTCGAAGACTTCCCGCAGCTCATTGGGACGTGGACGCGCTGGTAGGCAAGGCTCGTCAGTTCAAAAATCACCCACCTCACAAACATCTGTTTCAGCCAATGCAAAAGGCAAGGACTCAGTGTCGAAACGTGTCCGGTCAGAAATTCAAGAACAAGTCGACATGTTGAACGATGACTTGGAGAGCATACACTCTGAGAAAGTCTCGTTGTATCAGCTCAAAAATGAGCGACTGATGGTGAAGATGAACTCTAACCGCCAGCAGAAAGAGCACGATTTCATTCGTGAGGAGCGTGCCAACGAGCGCGCAGATGCTGCTATTGTCCATCAACACATGAAGGAGGCCAAGGAGACGGAGATTCGCCTGCGTGAAGCAGACACCAAGGCTCTCGAAATGGAGAGGGACGTGATGCGCCTGCGGATCGAGTGGGCCAAGCTCAATGCTGGCAAGAGTGATTGATGTCTCCTGGGGCTTCAATTTGTATGTTTGTATGTTCGTTCACTGGGTTTCGTTTCTGTTCGCACTTCCGACTTGCTCATTTGTTTTTTTTTCATATCTCACGCTCGCATTTGCCTTGTTCTCGCGCATCTTTGTATGGCTGCCACTGTCTTCCATGAGTTACTTGCTATATCTATGTACTACAATTGTTTTTGTTTCAAATCATCCGTGTTATGTGCTCACCCTTCGTGACGTTGAGCTTCTGAATGAGGGCTGTTGAACAACTGATCCATGAGCCTCGCCCTACATGCTTGACCCAGTGTACCCTCGTATGATCTATCGCCTATCACCTCATCACCATCCGCTTCTTCAAACTCATGGCGCATAGTATTTAGCCCCTCCCTGACGGCCCATCTGATTGTTGAGCAGTTGCGCTGTGTCTCAAAGCAGATGATCATATTGTGGAGTATTAGGCAACACCTGACCCAGTGGAGAGTGATTTGAAGGTCCCTTTGATTCTGCATCGGGTGACGAAGTTCTTTGAGCAATTGGAAGCGTCCTTTCAAAGCAGCAAACGCATGCTCGACATGAACGTGAATCTAAACCGATTGAAAGTTAGTAAATATTCTAATGAGCAAAAAAATGAGTACATACGCGAGAGAGATTGACATTGAAGGTCTTTTGATTCCTCGTCAAGCGGCCGTTCCGTGGCTTCTTGAAGGGAGGAACACACCATTTCTCCAGCGCATAAGCGCTATTGGCCCAGACCCAGTGGTCAGCCTGAAGAAGGGCGTCGTGTTCTTGATAAACGCGTGTCGATTTGAATGCGTACGCGTCGTGTGTGCTTCCAGGATGACCGAGGGAATAATCGACGATAAGCAAGTTATGAGGCATGATAACTCCCTAAAGGTTTCATTAAATTTCATACCATTAGAATAAGAGGAAAAAACATACCTGACAATTGAGATAATAATTTGATTTCCTGTCATAAAACGCTTCACCATAAAGACCGGGCTTTTCATACAGATTAATTGCAGAGCCATCGACTCCGAAGATCCCGTTTCTCCACTCGGGACATGACCTCGCCTCGACGAATCGGCGAGCCTGCTCTGCATCATCAGAGTCAAGAGCGGGGAAGACGATAAACATATCGTGGAGATCAAGAATGGCGACCATGATGTGATTGCTGCAATTGATTACCGAGCCAATGCTAACACCAGCCCACTGAGCTACGTCTTCCAGAGATATGGTGTTGCCATAGTGGCCGGCACAGTTAAGAAATATTGCGAGTTGGACCACGACGGGGAGCTGCGGGTTATTTGAGTGATTGGTGAAGATGGCGTGACCCGAAATTTGATCTAGGATGTTGTCAAATGTGTCTGGATTGACACGAAGCTTCTTTCGGAACAGGTGATGTTGAGAGTCCCCGAAATCATGAAGGAGTTGTATTTGGGGGGCTCGCATGGGAGGTGCGTTTGGTTGATGGAGGACGCATGCCCTGATGACCTCATCACGAAGGGAAGTGATGGTGTCGTTCAGACAGTCATAACGTGCGGCGAAGTGGTCAGATTCATCGCTGGAGGAGTCAAAGTCAGAGCTGTCAGAGAAAAAGGGGGTAGGAGGTGATGGAGGTGTGATAATTGTGTCGAGGTCAGAATCGTCTGAATCCAAGTCATCAGAATCAGAATCGGAGAGATCATAACTTCGGATTGCACGCTGAAGCCTTGCCTTTTTCAAGGCTAGTTGCGCCTCGTCCAATTCATCAAGGAGCTCATTGCGTAGGGAGTGACGGGGCTAGTGATGTTCCGGCCCGGCTTGGGCTCAAAGCCCCGGCTTAGGCTCGGCCTGGAGGGGCTTAGGCTCGCCGGATTTCAAGCCTGAGCCGTGAGCCCAAGCCAGCCCAAAGCCACGGCCTGGGCCCAAGCAGGCCGCGGCCCACACACTAAATTTTTGCGGGATGCGTGAACATAATTATAAATGTAAAAATCGAAAATTTATACCGGATCAAGGCGACCGTCGTCGCGTTTGTAGAAGCTACGAAGAGAGTGTTGAAAGCTGGTATTGACGTCATTGAAATTCACAACGCACACGGCTATCTGCTGTGCTCTTTCTTGAGCCCCATCAGCAACACACGCACAGACGAGGACGGCGGAAGCTTTGAGAATCGAATTTGTTTAACTCTCAAGGTCATGGATGCTATCCGTGACGTTATTCCTGAAGACATGCCACTCTTCCTGAGATATCTTCGAGTCCATAAGATGTTCTTGCTTGATCTGAATGATGCCTCGTAGGATTTCTGCAACTGAATGGCTCGAAGAAGCACTTCCAAATGAACCATCGTGGCGTGTCGAGGATACCGTCAAACTTGCTGGTATTCTTGCCGAGCATGGTGTTGACTTCCTTGATGTCTCTAGCGGTGGTAGCCACCCAAAAGCCATCATGAAATCCGGGCCGGCATACCAAGCGCCGTTCGCCCAGGCAGTCAAACAAGCTGTTGGGAATAAGCTTGTCGTCGGGTGTGTCGGGTCAATCACCAATGACAAGGTCGCCCAAGAAGTGCTTGAGACGACAATTCCAAAAGAACCCGGCGAGTGTTTGGGCGTGAGTTATACTCGTGAGATAAGTTGGCACCTGACCTGATGATGTGTTGGTAGATTTGCATCAGACCTTGGCGTTGCGGGGTGGGGCTTCGGGGGTCGGGGGTAGCAGTCATAAGAATATTGACTGGTTATGATGAAACTTTGGAGGTTCGCCTGGGCCGTCATCATACGTACACAGTATCCTCTAGCATCTCGGATAAGAGTCCAGCAAGACCAAGACCAGTGTTTCGAGCAAACACCCAGAGTAATTTCTGTACTGACAGTATACCGTCTGAATCAATACTGGTGTTGCTCGGGGAGGTCACTGCAGTGACTCCGAGCGACGTGCTTGTATAAGTAATAATGTCGATGCCATTCGTAAATTGAATGCAGAAAAACAACTTGAATAACACACCTTTTCGTGATCAGCAGCCTCAAATTCCCTCGTCCATCCGCAATATTGCAGTAGCAAGTGCCAAGCCGCGGCTTGAGCCGCCGGCTTAGGCTTTCCAGAATTGAAGCCCAGGCCCAAGCCCTGGGCAGGCCGTGACCTGGGCCTGGGCTCGGCTCGGCTTATTTAGGCCTGGCTTCGGCTGGCCCGGGGCTTGAAGCCGGGCCGGAACATCACTAGACGGGGCATAGTGAAGGTAGAGATAAGATATTATTTTAGGCTCCGACGCGATGCCGAAGGGCAGCACAGTTGAGTAAGCTAACTTCAGAGAAAATCAAGCCTTATGTTAACTACCAGCAGGACATTTTACCCGACCTTTACCGACCTTTACCGAGCTTACCGAGATTTCAGGAAATCACCTTGAGCGCCATTATTGATATACTAAGAGTGGTCGGAGTTTGCCGAGAGTAGCTTTTTTTGAAATCTTTGATCGACTACACATAACGCTTCGTCGCTTACAGGTCCTAGGTCTCTTCCTGTTTGTAAATCCAAGCAAATCTATCACGCTCAGACTTTTGAACATCTATTCACTGAGATCAGTGAATCACAGCTATGGCAGGGGACTCTACCGCACCATCTGCGGATCCTCAGCAAGATGTCTCTGACCGAGAACCGTTCTCGTCACTTGAGCTCTCAGAGCCAACAAATAAAGCCCTCGCAGATATGGGCTTCACTACAATGACCCCCGTACAAGCCAAAGCTATACCCCCTCTCCTCGCAGGAAAAGATGTCCTAGGCGCTGCACGTACAGGATCAGGAAAGACACTTGCATTTCTCATACCTGCGGTTGAGCTCCTGCATCGGATGAAGTTCAAACCTAGAAATGGTGTGCTCTGCGTTCACTTTATCCTATGAGGGAGCCGAATAATTCTTTGCGATAGGTACTGGAATTATCATCGTTTCTCCCACACGAGAATTGGCGTTGCAAATATTCGGGGTCGCAAAAGATCTCATGGCGCATCATTCACAGACTTTTGGCATTGTTATCGGTGGTGCAAATAGGAGGGCCGAGGCGGAGAAGTTGGAGAAAGGTGTTAATTTGATTGTTGCAACCCCTGGTCGGCTGCTGGATCACCTCGAGGTACGTCTTCAAAACCTCGCAGACATCATACTGATGTATTTATTGACTTTGTTTCTGTAGAACACAAAAGGGTTCGTTTTCCGAAATCTTAAAGCCTTAGTAATAGACGAGGCAGATCGAATATTGGAGATCGGTTTCGAGGAGGAAATGAAAAAGATAATAAAAATTCTTCCGAATGGTTCGGTCTTTTAACACCCTACCCCCTTTGCAGGGAACTGAATTGCAGCATAGATGAACGACAGTCCATGCTCTTCTCAGCCACTCAAACTACAAAAGTCCAAGACCTCGCGCGGATATCCCTTCGTCCTGGGCCTCTGCACGTCGATGTCGACAAAGAAGAGGCGACAAGCACCGTCTCAACACTTTCACAAGGATATGTTGTTTGCCCCTCTGACCGCCGTTTCCTCCTTCTCTTCACTTTTCTCAAAAAGAACTTGAAGAAAAAAATCATCGTGTTCTTCTCGAGCTGCAATTCCGTCAAATACCACGGCGAGTTGCTAAATTACATCGATGTGCCTGTGCTCGATTTACATGTATGGTCTAATCCATCTATATCTCCCCATCATAAGTTGATGCAGTATATCACAGGGCAAACAGAAACAACAAAAACGGACGAACACGTTCTTCGAGTTCATAAATGCCGAGTCTGGAATCTTACTATGCACGGATGTTGCAGCCCGCGGCCTCGATATTCCACGGGTAGACTGGATCGTCCAATTTGATCCCCCAGACGACCCGCGGGACTACATTCACCGTGTGGGTCGAACGGCGCGTGCTGGTAAAGTCGGGAAAAGCTTGATGTTTCTGCTAGAGAGTGAACTTGGCTTCTTACGGTACCTCAAGGAAGCAAAGGTTCCGTTGAATGAGTTTACGTTCCCCACGGACCGAGTTGCGAATGTGCAGAGTCAGGTAAGCGCTCATACGCTTTGCGATATGAATGAATTGATCATATCTGGATATAGCTGGAGAAGCTTCTGCAAAAAAACTACTTTTTGCACCAGTCGGCAAGGGATGGTTTCCGGTCGTATCTGCAAGCATATGCATCGTATTCGCTGAAGAAAATATTCGACATTAATGCATTGGACCTTGCAAAGGTGGGAAAGGCGTTCGGGTTCGCTGTTCCCCCACGCATAAATGTCAATATTGGTGGGGGGAAGCCTACTACTACTGGTAGCAAGCGGCGGAGAAATGAGGTGGATGCGGACGACGAGGAATGGGAGGACATGCCGCTTGGTGGTGGTGCTGAAAGCGGAGATGACGTTATGGAAGAGGAGGAGGAGTCCCAGCGGAACAAGCCGCGGAGGAAGGAGAAAGAACGGCGGGTCGAGACTTTGGGCAAGAAAGCAGTCGAAAAGGAGATGTATCGGAAAGGAAAGGAACGGAAGAGAGCGAAAGCGTCTGGACAGCAGTGGAGCGGGTGATTTTTTGGGGTTTTTGATGACACTGTTATGCCTACTGCTACTCCTGTTTTTTTATGCATTGGTGTGATATACTAGTAGCCATCGGGACGCAGCAGGTGCAAGTTGTTGCTGCGGGACCGGAAACCGGGAGCATCCATAAGCGCCCACATTGTGTAAAGGAGTACGTGTGTGCGCCTGCCCTAAACTGAACACCAGGCCTACGCCTGACAACTCCGGTCACACATTTGCTGCCAGCTCAAAATTTCTTCTTCAACCACTTCTATCACTCACTCAGTGATCTACCTCAAGTATAATGGCAACTTCGCAGGTCAGTCTTCTCATTTCGTGAAAAATTGTTCTGACGATGTCGGCTTGTCGCACTTTGCTTCCGTTGTTTCACTTACTATCCAAACACAATAGCACTATCTCTGGGCAGGTGGACACTTCTTACTCCTTCTCTCAGGGTTCCGTTATCTTCTAGCATGGATTATGTTTAAGAGCGTCTCGTCCTGGTGGTACAAGGGTGCGCAGCTCATTGCTCCACCTCCCAAAGGCTCATTCTTACCAACCCCTCTGCGATTCTTGCAGCTAGCTTCCTTGGCGCCCTAATGTCTTATTTCATTGTTTGCCAGTGAGTGCTTTCCGCGTGCCAACCAACGTGATGATCGTGTGTTGATGTGGATGCTGCGTGTTCAGAAAGGCGCTTGGGGTGAGTTTATGACGTAATACATGTACAGCGTGTTTTTCTAAGGCATGGCTGTAGACTCCCCAGCCGAACATGGCGTATGTCAGAAGGGCCCTCGCAGATGAGGTAGGTTTTTTGATTACCCTTTTTGACCTCCTGAGGATAACCGGTGGATACAGAACGTGCAATACTTTTTGTTGGCTATCTTCTGGTGGACTTCCAGGCCGGTCACCAGTGAGTTTTATCGTTGGAGTTAGCACAAGTGCTAATGAAGCGCAGTCGCATTGCTTCCTTACTTTGTGTTTTCCCTTTTCCACGGACTGACGTTCACTCGTACGACCTTTGATGCCTCAATTCTTACCTCCTGGTCCACCGCTCGCTGCTGGAGGACCACCTCAACCTCACCCCTTGGCGAAGAAACTCCACCTTTGGGTGAAAGGTAAGATCCTAAGTTCATTCAGTAAACCAACTTTGCGAGTGACACGTAATCCAGCTAACTACGATACTGCCATGCGTATCGTGGCCATCACCGAGCTCGTCATCTTCGCGCGTGTCCTCTTTGGCGCTCTTTTACTCCGCAACTCGCTCATGATGCCGCTGGTGTATGCCAACTTCCTCCATCAGCGTTACTTCCATTCGCAATTCACGCGTGATGCCATTACGCTTGCGGATAAACGTATTACGGATCTCTCAAACCACCCTTCGGTTCCACCAATGGTGGGTCAAGTGTGGGTGCGCGCGCGGGAGCTGGTTGTCAGGTGGGGCGGCAGTGCCGTCGTTGAGCCTGCTGCCGCCAGGAGGGATTGATGACGAGGACGTGAACGTGGATGAGAAACGTTGGATTTTTGGGAAAGGACATGTGGTAGCTCGCCGAGGCACTTTCCACTTACTACACATATGCAATGGCTCTCTATCATCTTTTTGTGCACTAACGTATAATGATAGATTATTATTGCTTGAAGGCTTCTGGCCAGGCTCCAATGACGTCGATGACCATTGCTCCACTGAATAAAAAGGGGTCTACGGCCAGAATCAATCTAATTGTAACTTGACCATCACGAGCTACTCATGGCGACGATTATTGCTGCGTTGACGAACTTTGGGCAGTCCTTGGCCGCTATCGGGATATCGTTGTTATATTCTGTGCTGGCTGTGTTCCAAGCCGTCTTTGCGCTTGTTCAAAGCACAATTGAGAGTATATTGAAGCTGGGACAGAGCATTACTACTCTGGTGCTGGAGTTGTTCCAGGGAGTGTTTGGGTTCGTGTTTGGTGGGTCATACTCCCTTGCAGTGACATTCTCAGCATGTAACTGATATACTTTTACTAGCAAACTTCGCATGCGATTTTGGTTGTTGGTGGAGCGTACTACTTATATACGCTCAGACAGCAGGGAAAGGGACCAAGGGTGCTGCAGAAGAGGCTTTGACCTGTCATAGAGCGCGTCGGTGATCGAAGAGAATCCCGGCCCTGTATATCATACGACTGCACTGCCACAATGGCCTTGCCCCAACCTGAACCGTTTCGACGGGACCACGAGCCTATGGCGATGATGTTGACAAAGTTCGAGCATTCCTTAGCTGCTATCGGGCTGTCGTTGCTTTATTCTGTGTTAGTTGTGTTCCAGGTCGTCTTCGCGCTTGTTCGAACTTACTTGAAAGTATACTGAAGCTGGAATATGGCACAATAAGTGGGTTACCGGGTTCATTGTGGTAATCACTTGGCTAAGACCGACTAAGATGAACTTCAGACGAAACCATCCATGAGTGAATGTCAAGGTCGAACTCGCAATAGATTTCTGTCCTGTGGTCAAGATGGACGTCTACGAGTTGAAGAACACAGTAGGATCACATAGGATTATATTAGTAGTCATTTGCCATCAAAAGACTAGTTTGCTGGCACCGGCTGAGATAACTGCACTGCCACTGTAACCAAACATGAGCAAAGTCTGAATATTGCTTTCTTGGAAGATTGAGAAGGCACGGACTCAGGCAGCGCGAGCAACGTCGACGACAACGGCAAGAAACTAAATCTGCAGCGACAGCGACTGCTGTCAGTGTCGTTCAATTGCTTCTCAATATAATTCATGTCTCGCATTCCTGTCCCGTCATCTCACTCACCGTCCGCTAACAGGAGTCTCCATCACGATCGTGCTCCTTCTCCAGTCCCACCAGCACCCAAATACTCTTCATCAACATCAATGTCCAACTTATCTGGTGTCTCACCGTCTGTTGCTGATACGCGGAGAAAGCAGTCCAAACGCGACGAGGTGAGCATTCTTTCCGCTTTTCGGCTTCCGGACGCGCGGGTTTGTTTACGGTACCCGTCGGTACGCTTTTCGTACACGTGTGCATGCTCCTTCAATGAGTTCCTCATCACCTCTTTACCAAGGGCGTGCTCACTCCGCGTCAAACACTATATCCCGTCGCCGCACGCCCGTCCGTGCTGTTTCAGTCGCTAACCCTCCTTCACAGGCCATCCGGAAGAAAATAGAATCGGAGCTTGCCCGAAAACGTACCATCTCGACAACGCATCATGCGGGTGGCCGTGGAAAACGTGCTGCAAAACCTGCTGTTGCGAAGGGCACGGTTGCTGCACTGAAGCCTACCCCTGCGCTCACTGTGCCTGATAGTATTACTGTCGCAGAGGCCAGTCAGCTATGCGCAGCAAAGCGGACGGATTGTGTCCTCGTCGTAGACGATGAAGAGGGACTCAGCGGTATTTTTACTGCTAAGGATCTGGCATACAGAGCACGTCGTTGACTGTTCTCCACTTGACGATCGGCCTTACCAGTTTACAGGTTACTGCTGATGGTCTTGACCCCCATACCACCCCGGTCAGTCAGATCATGACCCGGAACCCGATGGTCACCCGGGATACCACCAGCGCGACCGAGGCTCTCCAGCTCATGGTTCAACGTCATTTCCGTCACCTGGTATGATTTTACCTGATTCTCCGAACATAAACAAATATTAATACAAATGCTAGCCTGTTTGTAATGAGGAAGGCAATGTCGTTGGATTGCTTGACATCACCAAGGTCTTCCATGAAGCACTGAACAAGGTTGAGCGTTCCTCGTCTGCATCCGAGAAACTCTACACTGCTCTTGCGGGCGTGCAATCCGAGCTTGGCCCAGGAATGTCTTCTAACCCACAGGCTGCTGCTATGCTTGCTTATGTCGACGCTCTCCGCGAGAAAACCGCATTGCCAGATCTCACGACTGTCATGGACTCGCGGACGCAACCTGCAACTGTTACCCCCAAAAACGACTGTCCGTGAGGTGGCCAAGTTGATGAAGGAGCGTCGTGTCACTGCTGTTTGTGTCATGGAAAATACGCCAGGTGTCGGTGATTCCTACACCAAGATCGCCGGTATCTTCACAAGCAAGGACATTGTCCTGCGCGTCATCGCTGCGGGTCTGGATGCGGGCATATGTAGCGTTATCCGTGTAATGACCCCTCATCCTGACACTGCTCCTCCTACCATGAGCGTACACGACGCGCTCAAGAAGATGCATGGTAAGTGTTCTGGTGTTCTGGTGTTGCCCGTGCTGAAGGTGCCGCCAGATGGCCACTATTTGAACTTGCCTGTTGTCGAGAGCGACGGACGGTTGGTTGCCATCGTTGATGTTCTGAAGCTCACATACGCCACCCTGGAGCAGGTGGGTAAGATCTATTCGTAGGTTTGTATGTGCTAACTCGATCTTAGATGAATGCCATGAGCACGGAAAATCCTGGTGAATCTGTGGAAGCCGAAGGCGGACCAATGTGGGGCCGTTTCTTCGACTCTATTGGTGGTCACGATGATACCGAGTCTGTCGTCTCTGGTTCGCATGTCCCCACCGACGGCGTTTCTCTCTCTACGCATAACATCACCCGCCTTCAGCAGTCCCCGCACTCCGAAGTGCATCCGAACGACTCTGCCTCCGTGGTCGACGAGCACGAATCTGGACTCGAGGGCTACTCGCGAAAGCGCAAGGGTACAATTCCAGCCATCACAGGCGCGACTTCCAGTGTGCCAATAGACGATGGAACGTATGTCTTCAAATTCCGCACGCCAAGTGGGCGCACCCATCGGTTCCAGGCGCGACACGATAGTGTCGAGATGTTGCGCGAAATCGTGCAAGGCAAGCTTGCAACGGACCCGTTCTTCACCGAATTCGCAGGCTCACCCACCGAGCGGCCCGACCCTGAAGATTTCACGTTATCGTACACGGATGCGGATGGGGACACAGTGCTCATCACGAGCGACACGGATATCGCGGATGCGGTGAAGATCGCGCGGTCGGCGGGCTCGGATCGGGTTGTGCTATTCATCCAGGGCGGGAAGCACTGGATCGAGGCTGGCGCAGAGAAGAGTGAGGCGAAGGCCGCGGAGGTGAATGCAGCTGCGAAGGAGGAAGAGAAGGAAGTCGAGAAGGCAGAGGCTGTAACAATCCCCGAACCTGTTGTGACTCCCCCTGCAAAGGCATACATACCACCGCAGGAGGAGCTGGTGATGGGCATGCCGAAGGATTTGTTGCTCCCTGCGAGTATCGGTGCACTTGCTGTCGTGATCATCGCGGTGTTTACCATCTCGAGATTGGCACATGACTGAAGAGTCAAGTACGGAGAAGGTTTACTGTGTCTATCGATGCTTTTTTACCCTAAGGAACTCATTAGACTGTTCACTTCAGATCGTGATTTATATATACAGGATCGGACCTTGTCGTCAAACCTGCCTTTCACTCCTTTGCGTGTACGACTTGTTTATGAATTTATCACGAATTTTGCGAGCGAATTCACTTGCGCCTCGATATAAATATTGTAATGCCTATTCGTCCCTCTGTTTGCTGAAATAATAGATTTCATCTTGCTACAGACCATACATGGTCATACAACGAGTTGAAAGTAAATTCATTTCCACAAGGCAGACCGAGATATGAACGTGGTCTATCTAATTGGTCTCAATTTTCTTTTTACATTGATCCACTGTATCCACCAGTCGAAAGGGATGGAGGCAAAGCGTCAGATCCCTCTCCGCAAGTAATATTGATATCGCTTGTGAGCTCAAGTTCGATGGTGGAACCATTGACGAAGACATCCCAGTCTAGGTAACAATTTGAATGCCATGGCTGGCCATCAATAGTCACGCTCTGCGGCAGTTCGCTCTCATTAAGAAAAGGTCAAAAATACGCGGTTGAGCTGTGACAAACCTTGACGAAGACAGTTCCACCAATGCCACTCTGAGGGTTGCCCCTGAAATTATGGGCAATGATCGTCGTCGTGGTATTGAAAAGCGGGTTATAGAATGTGATTTTCGGGAAGTAGGGTGAAGCGAGAAGAAATTGGCGTGTTGCGGGAAGCGGGTACATGCCCGCGAGGTAGAAAACGGCGTAACTGGCCATGGCACCTGAGCAAGCATTAGACGACGTCCAATAAAACTTTTGCGAGACTTGCCGGAATCATCATTACCCGGAAGACCGCTGACCGTGGTGTTGTAAGACTCGGAAATTATCATCCGGGAACGTTGGGTACTGAGGCCTGGCCGATTGGCGTAGTGGTACATGAAAGGAATTTGCTGAGATGGCTCATCTGTAACGTCAAAGTAGTTCTGGATGCAATTCAATCTTCAAGCGTCATTTGTAGTTGAGGTGTTTACCTGGTCGATGATCAAGTTAAGTCGATTTATGAATGACTCGTTGCCTCCCTGCAACAAGATCAACTTGGCTGTGTCTTGAGGAACGTACTAGGGATAGTCTGTCAAGAAGGTAAGAGGTATATTCGTGATGTACACACTTGAGAATACTAGAGCAAGAAGCTGTTAGATAGAAATAATCATGGAGTCTAGTGAAGATACACACCACCATGGGGGATGACTCATAGAAACCATCGCGGTTTGTAGCATCAAGGTAACAGGTTGATTGGAGAGGATCATTTACACTGCAATGACGAGGGTCTGTGTAATTCCACTGCCCATCTGCGAAGCGAGGCTGGAAATTAGTGAGTCTTGTGCTGCGTTGACAATCTTACGAGTAAGTGACTTGCCTGCATCATACCCTTGATTGAGGAATTCCCGGGAAGTGTAACCATTTCATTCCAGACATTGAAGAAGTTTCCAGCTCGGGCTTGGTACTACAATCGCAAAAACTAATGTTCTCGTTTCACATACATGGAGAATGGCAAACCTTGGCTACATCATCCGTTTTGTTGAGAATTCTTGCAACTTGCGAGATGGAAAAGTCACCGAATGAATACTATCAAAGTAAGCGAGAATGAGGCCGCAGATTGAACACGCTCCTACCTCTAGTGTACGTGAGACTTGCTTGGTGGCGGTACCTCCCGAGCCATAAATGTCGGAAGGGATGAAGTCTGGAAGGATGATCGTAATCAGGTACACGATGAATATTGATTTACTAACTGTATTGTTTCCAGACAGTTGTCTGTCTTCCTTGGAGATTCCAGTTGGGTGATTGTTCTTCCGCATCAGCAAGAAGGGCAGTGTACAGATCATCAGCTGAGACATTCAGAGCGCTAGCATGTTCATAAAATCTATGATAGCAGTCAGTGAATATACAAGCACTGGGTTCTATGATCATTGACTTGACAAAGAACTCTCCGAGAATAGGGTCGCCGTCTGTGGCCATAATTCAAAGGCGAACCATGCAAACTAGTTCGAGAACTTACTGCTTCCACCTTGGATGAATTGCTGAACAGTAGCGCCGCGGCACTCAGGCAACCAACCTATTATGGATGAGTTGCATGCATTATTTCACAATACGGTTATCTACCTTCATGCTGTTGAATGTTGATCATTCCGCGAACGATGCGGGCGAACACCTCCGGGTCATGAAGCGACATTAGAGGATACAGGGTACGGTAAGTATCCCACTGTGCTCGAGACGTTAATAATATGTTACCAACGCCATCAAATGATACCAACATTGCAGTAAAAGGAATCATAATAAGGCTCGGTGGAACTCCAGTTGGGGTTTTCGCCAGTGTCTACCAATCAGAGTCAACGATTCTGTGCTCGCAAAAGGGAACATAGCTTACAATCAGCGGGAGAAATGTGCGTCCTGTAAAGCTAAAGGACCGTGCAACTCGGGTACATTGGGACATTCCAAGCACTTACTGATGAGTAGAATAGTTCAGTAATTTCGTTGTCCACGCCTTGAGTATCGACTTGGATTCGGGATAGGAGTTCGTTCCACGTTCCTCGAGCTGTTGCGACGGTTTCATCGAAGTCGAAGTCCGGGATCTCTGACTCGGCATTGGCGCAGGCCTGGTCGGAGGAAATGAATGAAACACCGACACGTGCGAGGATGGTCGTATGAATCGAATTCGAAGAGGGCGGAAAAGTCAGCAGAGCACCCATTTCGGACACGAAGCCTGCAAGCCATGCATTTTAAGATACCAAGAGGAAGGGTCAAGTAGATACCAGAGTACAATTGGATGAGCTGTGTGCTATTCTGCTCAGGGGCATTATCCATCCAAACCCCGTATTCAGTGGGAGCCTCAAAGTCATACCCGTCGCCTTTGAAATCTACACAAGTGTAGACACTGTATCTTTTAGGACCGAACGATGAAGCAAACCTAGCTCCTCCTAAAAGTGACGATGAGGTGGGATATCAGGGAGCATTGAGAGATGTTACCTGTGACGCGCCCAGTAGTAGTGTTAACGTTAACAACGGGTTCTGTGTTGCTGATCAGGCCGTCATTGGTGATGTCCACAACAATACGGGGTTCACGTGACGAAGGCGGAAATGTATAACGGTGAAGTGCAGTACGACGTGAAGCAGTCAACTCCACCTGCACTCCAGTAGACTGCGAGGGCTAAATCGACGGCACAGTGTAGTAATTTCGTCACATACAAGATTCGTTGCGAAGTAACCAGGTGAACCAGCATCGTCGGGAGAACCTGTAAATTATGTTATATTTAGCATACAACCACTATTCTATGTAGGTGTAGTTGGTTACCATCAGGGAGGACTTTCCGTAACGTCTTTCTGACAAACATGGACGTGTTGCAGGATGAGAATGACCCGCATTCAGGCAGAGGCCAGAGCTTAAAGTTGGATAGCGACGTGCCCTTCAGGAAATATTAGCTTGTAAGTACAGTACTTTGCAGCACCTATGACACGCACACCACCAGTCCCTGAATCGTGCAGCTGCGAAAAGCCGGTAACATTGAAATTTACATTGGCATCGTAACCCGCTTGCTGTAAGATGTCCGAAACTTAAGGCGTCATGAAGACTAAACATTGGATAACCTTACATTTCCTGGAGAATCAGTGTCGAGTCCAACTTTCACCATTCCATGCGGAAGAGTGGCACCTACGCAAAAATCAGCAGAAGTCAAAGATGCACCATAGAAGCAAACCGGGGAAGACATGTCCTCCATTGGTTGTGCCAATGAAAACATTGACGTAGCTTGCAGAGTCCAAGTCTGTGATAGTTGTGTTTCCTGGCAAAGTTGTCGCTGTGTCTGTCTGGGAGCGAACAGTTAATTTCGGACGCGAATGGGTAGCCAATCGCATGGGTGGATGGGCACTTGAACCAGCTAGCAAAAAAAGCGCAGAGAGCAGCACTAGCCAACACGCCATGGTGGTGAAGATTCGGCGCAGGTGAGAGAACTCAGATTAAATCGACTGGCATTACAACGAGACATATTCCCACATCTAGTATCAGATTTCGCTAGAGGTTTTTAGCGAAGAGACCTTGTGGTCCCGAGTAGGGTGATTGATGAAAACGATCATGTGCGTACTGCATGTGCAGCAATTAAGCTTTAAAGCGAATAAAAACTGAGTTCCAGCAAGGATATCGCGTCCATTAAGCATGCTGAGGACTGTATCTCTTGCGCATCTCAGCAAACACCTTAATTTGAAGAAGCCTGGTGTGAATGAGAGCATGAAGCCAATCACAAATTTACAGGTAGGTCTTGCGAGCTGTGCGCGAAACTGTTGCTCGGTGGAGATGCGAAGGAAAAGAAGCGATCCATTGGCAAATATACCGGGAGATTACAGGGAGAAAGGTCGGCCCGGACTTGAAGCTCGAAGTATTAGTCCATCCTCTGACAAAGTCAGCTGTTTCCATTGTGACTGGAATGAACAGCGAACAATGGAGTTGTAGTACTAAGTTAGACTTTTGTCCTATTGAAAGCCAGCGAATAATGGCGCGTACGGAGATAACCACGTGGCTACTGATCGAATCGGGGTTTCCACAACATCATCGAAGGAGTCTACTAAGCTTAACGGTGAACAAGCCTTCAAACTACTTACTTACAGCCTTACTTCTCGAAGGCGTAGTAATATCTGGCACGTATCAGTCATGTCGAAGACAGAACGCGAAGATGCTATATCAACCATTGTAAGTTGTCCGACGGCTTGATACTTAGTAGTGCGGCAGCGCTAACCAGAAACCCATGCACCAGACGTCCAAGATCTTCTCAGCCATGTTGGATGACCTGGCAATGGATGCGGCACTACAGGCGCATCACCAGCTTCTGCGCAGTAGAGCGGTTTGTCGCACATGTCACACACGGTACGTCATCAGTGCATTACCAGTATGAATACCCACTAACCTGTCGGCAGGTGTGGCTTGGGTATGTTGGCACTTTCGTCCGTCATTTACTATTCCTGACATATTATCCTCCCTCCACAAATCTAGTTCATCCAAATGAGGCCCATACTGTAACACCACAATCGCAGTCTAACCTCCATGGCGATGTCGGAGGAAAGACGGCCTCAAGCACTGGAACCAACACTCCTAACGGAAGTAAATCCGACGGCAACATTCTCTTTGAATGCATGGTCTGCAAGCGCCAAGTGAGCACAGGGCTCAATGATTTTATATGTTAAACTAAGTCATCGCTCTAGGTCGCTTCCAATAGATTTGCTCCACACCTGAGTGCTTGTATGGGGACAGGGACCGGAAGCAGGCGTGCGGCTCCCCGTGGGACAAATCTTAAGGCAAAGTGAGCTACACGCCAATGTTACCACTCAAACGTACTCATAACGTCTTCAGGATTCCCATCGAACCTGGCCGGTCAGCGTCTCCATACCCAGGTTCAGAAAATGGCAATGTTTCAGATGATAACTCGAACGGCAAGGGCAGGGCAAAGGGCAAAGGAAAGCGGGCAGGTGACATACTTCCACTTTTTTGCTCATCAAGGAGTGTTTTGATAAACTTACCGTAGATGACTCAGACTTCAATCTGAAGCGAAAACGAGTAGGGATGACGCAACTCTTGTTTGACCCCAATCTGAATTGCTGTTGTTCTAGCCCATATCACCTCAGACATCACCAACGAAAAAGCCCACGAAGAAACTTAAACAGCGGGTAAAGCTGATTTGTTCTTTGCATCGTCTTCCTGTGATCTGACAGTGACAGGGTCACCGGTGTCTCGCCTCAAAGCGGACCCTGACAGCAGCGGCACGATTGCAAGCAACGTGCGAGTCCTTTTTATCTTTTTATCCCTTCTTACTCGAATTTATTCAGACTCTTCAAGTGCCCTTATCGTCTTCCCAATCCAAAGTCCCTTCGAAACTTCGTTCCTCATCTACTGCCTCTTTCCTTGAGCGTGATCGCTCTTCTACCCCAGGTTCTCAATCATCTGTCGGCACGCCCATTGCATCAACGTCGTCCGCGATATCAGCGAGAAGTGTTGCAGGGACAGGTCCGCCAAAACGCGGGCGTCCTAAGGGCAGTAAGACAGGCACAGGTAGGGGTGCGTTGGCTGCCCAGCAGAAGCGCCCGAGTCCCCCAAGACCACTACTTCCACCGCCCCCGCCACCACCGCCTGCTGTGAGAATTGAACAAGACTATCTTGTCGGTAGGTTCAATGCTACAGCACGTCTTGGTCTCTACTTACTCGTCAACCAATGGTACCAGACGTCGAAGGAGACGAGACCGGGTCGTCGACCGATACAGACGGCTGAACGCCTTTTCTGCTTTTGCCATATTGCTGCATGTGCGAGCACTTCCTATCTATTACTGCGCACACATGAATCAGTCCAGTCATGCTGTGTACCATGTTTATGAAAGCAAGGTTATGATACCCTAATCTGTAATATTCTCCACTGACAGTGTTGTTGTTAGTTACACATATTATACGAGATGTGAAATTGAGCGCTGAATTTGTTGGACGCCTGTACTTCTTGGTAACCTTGAGGCACGGTTAAAGGTCTAGCTAAACCTTGTATGATGTGGTCACAAGTCGAAAGCGTAACCCTAAACCTAGTCCAAATTAGGTTTGGACAGGAACACCCATGACGGTCAACTTGAAGTTACAGCTATGCGTTGCATGCAGTACCGTATAGTCATGCAGTGAATGTAAATAGTATATCAGCTATTCCTCGTTGCAAGGACCATCCATCATGACCAGAAAAGCCAAAAAAAAACTGCAGCTGCACATGCTCGAGCTTTCCGTCACAAGCAAGAAGCACCATCCAGCGGAACTTATCCTAACCAAGCTAGTACCAACTCAGTACTCACCGGTGATCCCATTTTTCCCCATTCGTTATCACCGTACTCCCGAGTCTTCGCAGATCTAGACACAGGTGGGCCCGGAAACCAGTCATCTTCCCAGCCTGCCCCCCAACCTCCGCAGGCTGTTCTGTTCATCATGTCTGACAACCCATCATTCGTGCTCAAGGGCATCCTGGATGTTGAGATCCAGCAAAAGCCCGTTCCAGAGAGTGAGTCTATCTTTGGATGCCAGTTAGACTCTTCACGCTCGCCGCTTAATCGTTCTATCTTGTGAAGTTGACGCCAATGAGGTCCTCGTGGAAGTGAAGAAGACTGGTGCGTTCACAGGACCTCCTCATCCCTTATAATTTTCCCAAGGCTCATTCGCGGCCACAAGGAATTTGTGGCACAGACGTATGCCCCTATTTGTTTCTGTACCAGGACAACAAGTCATCTCCTCCAGGTGCACTTTCTTGTCCATGGAAGGGTCGGTGATTTTATTGTAGAGAAACCTATGGTCAATCACTTTTGATCGAAATTCACGACCAAGCCTCATTGTTAGCTATCAGGTGCTAGGTCACGAGTCAGCAGGCGTGGTCTCGAAAGGTAGGTCTATAGCTTATTTAGAAATGATCGTTTATTGTAAGGGCCCTCGCTCAGTTGGTCCCAGCGTGACCAATGTCAAAGTGGGTGACCGAGTGGCTATGGAACCTGCCGCAACATGCCGCAAGTGCGAAGCTTGCAAGGAGGGTCGCTACCAGGCGAGCATGGTCTTGCGCCCCAATTTTAGTTCCTGACGCCCGAGCAGATTTGCCCCGACATTGTCTGTGCTGCTACTCCTCCTACAGACGGCACTCTCGCCCGTTACTACCGCCTCCCGTCTGATCTCGCTTACCCACTTCCACCAAACCTCAGTCTCGAGGATGGAGCAATGGTACGTACTAAGCGGTTGACCACACTAAATCTTATTCAGTCATTCGACCCTGTTCTAGATGGAACCTCTTTCTGTGGCAGTCCATGCTGTCTCGACACTCGGTGCTTTGCGGTCAAACCAGTCTGTCGCCATCTTTGGTTGTGGACCGGTTGGACTTTTGTGCATGGCCGTCGCGAAAGCTCTGGGCGCTTCCCGCATTATTGCTGTTGATATCATTGCTGACCGCCTCGAATTTGCCAAAGCATACGCTGCAACCGACATCTTCTTACCTCCTTCTATGGATAAGGGCGAGTCGAGGGTCGGGTTCTCGATGCGTAATGCCCAGGCAATGAAAGAGAAGCTCTGCATCGCTGAGCATGGACCTCGGGCAATCGACTTGGTTTTGGATGCTTCTGGCGCAGAGGTCTGTATTCAGACAGGTATCCGGATTGCCAAGAGTGGTGGTACCTTCGTCCAAGTACTTTGAAATCTACAGCAGTGAAGGGTCTACTTGATTGATTATGAATAGGTCGGCATAGATAACCCCGATGTCACCATTGACATGTTTGCTGTCCTTTGCAAGGAGCTTGTCCTCAAGGGTTCCTTCCGATATGGAGTAAGCACTCGTTACTTTTCTCCGTAGCAGTGCTTGATCACTGTCTAACAAAGCCTGGCGACTACCCTCTCGCCATCGCCCTTGTTGCGTCAGGCAAGGTCGACCTCAAATCCCTGGTGTCGCACCGGTATGCCCACTGTTGTGAATGTTATACAATTGTTGTGTTAACATTCCCAATAGTTTCCCATTCACGCAGGCAGGTGAAGCATTTGAAATCACTCGCAACGGCAAGAGTCCCGATGGCAAGGGGGTCATCAAGATCATGATCTCCGGCCCTGACGTCGACATCAACGAGGTTTGAAAACCACAGGATTTATCACGGACGGCACGCCCAGGCGGATTTTCTGTTGTTGTGTTGTTGTTTTGATCGCATTGAAAGTGGATCCAAGGGGAATTGGTACATGACGTTGACTTCTCCCACGGAAACAAACACTATGTAGATACACACCACTCTATGGCCAAAAATTTGATGTCCGAATCTAAATATCTATACCATTCTTTGATGATTCCTCTAGGCTCACGCGGAACTTGAAACGCGCACAGGTAGAGACGAGGGAAAGAAGAGCCAAAGGACGAACATGGCCACAGTTTGAGAGACTGTCACATAGCAGAAGACTCTCATGCCGTCCTTGTTCGAGATTATACCGGTCATGAAGGGGAGCACGGCTTAACGCTTCGGTCAGCCTATAAGAATATAGCCCAAGTCAAATAACGCACCGCTTCCTACACTAGCAATGGCAGTGCTGGTATGGAAGTCACAGTCAGGTATGTCTGGAATGCTGTGATGAGGGCACTCACAGAATAGCCATTGAAACCATGTGTACGTCTCTCGGCAGGACATTGTTACAAAGACCTAGTGTCCCGGGGAATATAGGCCCATACATCAAACCCACCACGGCGGATGAAAGGGCGTTCTCGATTGTCGAGTTAACAAACCAAATAAGGATGGTCATGAGGAAGGAAACGCCTAGATATTGTTATCAAGTCAGGATTGTCAATCTGAGGAGCAGGCCCTCTTGACGAACCTCTGAAGGCTAGCAATCAGTAATTTTCAGAGAGTCATAAATAGAGTTACAGACGTGCATGCATGAATAATATGTTTGCGCTGGGTAAAGGTCAAGCTGCCGAACACATCAAAAATTAGACAAGGCCATGACGATGCACTGCGACCGACCCAGTGCAATAATATCCCCATAAAATTCTGCCAGCAGCCATGCCTCCCCAAAAGCCGCTACTGACGTACCCGACGGTGTCCGGACTGGAACCCTGGTCCATGTTCAAAATGGGACAATAACAACTAGATCAACAGAAACACACCCGATTGGTAAGGAGATAGGTAACGATCTGCGAGAATTCATTCAAGATTCTGTCCAGTGCTCAAGTCCGAATGGACGCTCACAAATCCTTGAAAAGTGGTCTCGCTACCGCCGTAAATAAACGCGAACAATGAAAAGGCCCATTGGTATGGCATCGACAAAGCTAGGAGGAGAGCTAGGAGTAGGTTAGTATTTCTGATGATGTGCAGCAACAGTGACCGCACTATTGGGTGGGGACTGGGCATCAACACGGCGGGCAGAGGAACCTCGGACTTTCTCTTCATGGAATGGTTGTATTATCGTGTCAGTCCCAGGGCTGTGGGCACTTGACATAATTTGCATAGCGTCGAGTGCGGCCTTGCGGTCTGTCAGCAACTCATTGCGCGTTGGACGGAAAGAAAAGATGGTCAAGCTCAAAGCGATTGCAGAGATAACTAAGGAGCCAAGATAAAAATGCTTCCAGAGAATTCCCTTTGCCATGAGTGTTTGGCATACAAGCGGGGCTGAAAATGACCCAATGCCTGAAAGACGTGAGCAGCAGCATTACACAGACACACATCACTACTCACACCAACATCCCAGTAAAACCCCAAGGGGCTTCTTGGGTGTAGACACAACGTAAAAATTCCTGAAACTTTTTAGTATCAGGAAGATACCATAGCGCAACGCTCACGATGATGCTGAACAAACTATATAAGTGAAAACATTACGATCAAAACAAGTACTCACAGGTCCAGAAAGAGCGTGCGAACGCGGCAATAACATATGCCAGAAGTAACGCTGGATAATTACGAGCGGTACCCATTATAATAAAGAACAGAGGATGAAGGAGACCTCCAAGGACGAGCGAAGAAAATCGTGCTTTTGAGGGTGAATATCCGACATCGCAAGGGCGAGCTGCCGACACATTCTTGGTGAACAGGCAATCAAAAAACGGAACGGCAGGGAGATAGGTATGTTGATCCAAAGACGGGCAAAATTGACCAAGGAAATTGACGATTCGTTCAAGCAGGATGGTGCCGACCACAGACCTAGTGGATAGCTGTCGGTATTTTATAGATATTTTGGCGAGAATCTTACCCGACCGTACTGCCTGTAAACAACAAAGAGCATGTCGTATAGCTCAAACCAAAGTCTTTCTCAAAAGCTGACGGAGAAACGCTGAACAGAATACCAGGAAAAAAACGGAAACAAACATACAGGGGAGGACAGTAGCAGTGACTGAAGAGTTCTATGAGCGTGAGCTTCCAAGCTTAAACCGTGGACTAACCTCCATCACCCCATCCGCAGACAAAATATATGAAGTAAGTAGTTAATAATCTTCGAGTTAAATTCTCGAACTCAAGGCTAGGTGTCGACACCTCTGCCTCCTTTTCGAATGAATTTTTGCGACTCTGCGCATCAGAGGGGAAAACGTCCACATAGGTGGCCGTTGAGGGGGTTCTGGTCAAAGATTCAGGAGAGGAAGCGATTTCGTCCGGATCGAGATGGGACAATGGCGTAATAGTTTTTTTGAAAGTTGCGCCGGTTTTCGAAGAAGACTCTGTCAACATTCGAGTCTCGACTACGATGTTCGCGCCAAGTGAATGGCTATGGCGAGCCTCATGTGATAAAAATGATGGGATGACAGGTAGCTTATTGGTTGGATACCAACAGCGATCAGGAAGTGTGATTGATTCTGGGTGGTAGTCAGTGACTTGCGACTGCGGAGAATCCATGAGGATGCTCGGTGAAAGACGTTCACTCACAGAGAGCAATTTTATAGTAGCTTTGAGGTAGATACAGGTACATTCAAGCCCCGCTGAGTGGTGCTGAGATTCTACGTGTGGGAGAGAGATGGGCGCATGAACCCTCTCGAATCTATGTGGAGTCGCAATCGGGCCGTGTAACTCGATTCAAGCAGTCAACTTTCCTTGAAATTCCTTAGTTGCATGCCTCTATCTATCACCATATGATATAGATTCATGTGTGGCCAAGCAACTAGAGCGCACCCGTGATATGTGCAGTTGAGACTCTGCCATATTGCCGGCCGAAAAAGAGGTGCACAAAGTGACCATAGCTGGCAGAGGATATTCCCGTTGTAAACGTATCAAGAAACTGCCCTGGGCCTGTAGTTATTTCGAGATCCCGAGCAGGAGCACCGGTTGTCAGTACAATTTGGAGGTCAGACCGCCCTACGAGGCCGTACGTATCATCATCTAGAAGCAGGGGTTCAGTAAGTAATTATGCTGCTACATAGAGCAACTTTACATATGAGAACTTACAAGTTGGAGTTCTCGGATAATCGGTCGTGACTCGCACCACTCGACGAGGGACCGAGGGTTGAATGACGCTGAATGATTAGTATTCGAACGCCTCTTCAGCGCTGAAGTAAAAGAAGGGAATCCTAAAAAGGCAAACTAAGATTGCTCTGCTTTCCACCCGCGGTTCTCATAATGAGTTACTTGGCTGCATATTATGTATGGATTACACTTGGAAATTTTTCACTTACTATCAATAGATAGATCTAATCGACCGCTTCCTGGCATCCCCGATGGAAAAGTTTACCTCGCACTGGCGACATATTTGGCCGCCTTCATGCCCACATCCAATTTGCTGGTTTTTGACTTAGGCTAGCTCACCTGAAGCTAGTAAGTCACGACACGAGGTCGGCGGATCTACAATCGGCACGCGGAGCACTAGTCGATCCACTTAATTGACCCTACTGAAGAATGCGAACTCGTGACTCGGCGTCCACACTCCAACAAGTTTACGTAATGTAACTTTTCGCAGGTTCTTTGTCAGAGGTAACTCTTTAAAACGATATCAATTACGCCTGGGTTAGTTCACTTGACCTGTAATTTGCACAAACATATCAGTCTAATTTGTATGCATAGGTGTTCGTGAATGTTCGTTCTCGCTCGGCGTTCCCGTCAAAAAGACATTACAGGCATGCAACTTTTGCACGTTATCAGGATCTTTCCCGGACGAATTCCTCATCCACTGGGGTGAACCACACTATCATTGATCATTGTTGCGATACGGAGCATGATGCATGATAGGCGACTCCTTTCAAGGTTCGAGGAATACTGTTACTCAAAGTATCCGTCAAACTAGGAGTGCGCCACATTTGCTTCATTAATTGAGGAGGGAAACTCAATGGCTCCACCTCTGTGCATATGTAATTCGAGACACGTGAGTCTGTCCACATTGTTTGATGGGTACCCTTGCGGCGTTCCAAACAAGTATTGGAGAGGAAGAACCGTGACACAAATCGGCAGGTCAAACGACTGTTTTTGGAACAAAAGTCTCTCTCGACCCTCAATAGGACGAACTTGTAACGAACGACCATCTTCCTTCGATAGGTCTGGGAGACTACTTACTCCCAATTAACCTATCAGCGTCTGGACAATTATTTTTGTGGTCCGGAGAAGTTATGTAATTAATATTGTCAACTGCGAGTTTCATGAATCCGGCATGTCATGCATTGCAGAGCTGCTGTATCCCACTTTATGCTGATCATCTAGATGCTTTTATCCTTCGTAACGCCGTGTCTTTATAGTACCTACTTTTATCATCGCGTCCGCTGTGGTCATAGGACTTTTAATAATAATAGGTTGGGCGCTTGAGGGAAATTATTCGCACGGTCAGAGCAGTGCGGCGAACACAAAAGCGGTGTGGTAGTTATTCTTCCACAACTAGCTGTGACAAGTACTGCCACGATTTGCGCCCGAGTTGTTATCTCACACTCTTTTCTATACATTCAAACTCGCAGGGCGACCCGGAACATTCACAATTCATTCAACTGACTCTCTTTTCATTTCCCAACAATGTCACTCCCGTTCACAACCTACGGGGATCACTCAACAGACTACCTATCCGCACAACATCCCGATTCATCCCCTTCAGACTACTTCAAGTCTTCGTATAACGACGATGTCAGCGACCTCATTGACCAATATGCGGAGCCGTACTCGAGAACTTCACGGCATCAGACTTTTGCTGTTTCAACTGACTTATTGGACGATTCTGATTCACGAGACCGCTCTTTTTCTACGGAACAGAAAGGATTATATTCGGTTGATAAAGTTGCAGAGGAGGATGCTGAACCAGACCCTCCGAATCATGACTATCCCCCAACGCTGAAGCAGGAGAAGCCGATTGACACCAGGAGTTGTTGGGCAAAAGTCAGCACTATTTGTTTCACAGATACCGGTCGTTTTTACTGAAATTTATCTAGATTCTTCCTGATTCCTGGGCATGTCGACTGTTTGTCCTAACTGTGGTGATCGAGACCGCAGTGGATCTGGCCATAGAGGGCGACTTGTTTGTTCGATTGCAGGACGACTCAGGGAAACTGGCTGTGTATGTCAGCGTATTCGCACTTGCCCAGTATGTGTTTGAACATCTTTCGACGTCTTAATTTGACACAATTTTACAATTCAGCGTCTTCCAACTTGTCATGGCGGTCGATGCGGTGTATGCGCGTAATACCCTGCAATTTTTATCTCTCATGTGAGCACATATCTTGCTTCTTACCTACAATAGCATATTCCTGACACTTGGCTTACAGCATATTCAATCTTCTTTTCCTGTTATACGCTGTTATTGAAATCGGCGAAATCAAGGACTCGTCGACCACTTCCGCCGGGATTGTGCATGTATCAGTGACTGTTCTCACTGATGTCGTACCTGCCGTCATATCCGTTGCGGAGATAGCATACATCGGTCTTGGCTGGAAAATCTATAACGAGTTTGGCTGGAAGGTGTACAAGTTTCTGGGTGCCGACCGCCGCATCAAGAAAATGTATGCCACATATCAGATCTTCGAATGTCTTGTCAAGTTCGACATCTTCTTTTGGGTTGGCTTCTCCGTGCAATTCATATGGTTAGTTCTCCAGAAGGACGATGTGGAGTACTACATCACCTGGGCTGCTCTCCCGTTATCAATTCTCCTCCTCGTCGAAGGCCACCTTGCTGCGCGTCACGAGAATAAGTGGATGATGGGAACGTTTATGTTTGGAAGTATGGGTGCCCTGGTCTATTTCTCATACAAGGTGAGCTCTTTAGCAAACTTGCTGTGCAGAGCTCGTTTGCTCATGACGTTTCAGCTTTTCCGGGTTATTCAGTACCGGGATTCGCAATATGTCTTGTACTGGAAATCACTTTCCACGTTTTGTAAGTCCTTTGATATATATTTTTCCAGCAGCTCACGATAATGGTAGCTGCAATTGCAATTGTCCTTCTCGTCATCACGATCATCTTTTCCGTCTTGGTGATGCGCAATTTCGGTCGAGGACTCAAGGCATCCAGTTAGTGTTTTTTGTCCTCCATGATTTCTTTGATTGATGCTCTGTGTGACAGTTGCAAGAAGTAAAACCCACACGCAGGGACGTGGCTCTCAACACTTGAACCGAGGACCGATGAGCATGAACCCAAACCGGATGAGTATCGAATGAAAGCGCGCGTACATCACAGCCACGGACTCGCTTGTATTTTATAGCGCTATATTTGCCATTCTTTCGATTTGACACACCAGCCTCACCTTGCCCCAACCAAGATCACATTTGCATTGACCTATCCATCTTCGCATTGCCATGTTTCGCGTTCTATAGTTCCTTGATTTATAGGTATAAGTATTTTTACAGATATATTCGCACGCATGCCATTAGCACGCATCGCTCTCCAATCTGGATCTGGAGGCTTTGTGTTTCTTCTGGTATTCGTTTTTTTTATCCTCCCTCGGAGTTGCCTGTGCATTGTGGATATTTTCATGTATCGATGATATTATAATAAATAGATACGGATTTTTATACCACAAGCTGAACGAACTTTGGTGTGACGTGTACTTCCCCACTTTTGTCAATTGGATCCGCATACACATCGCCGCCTTCAGTCTCGGCTGTATTGAATCAAAGGACTTTTAATAATATTGTCATTCCCTTTCGAATTCACCCGTTGGTCGGGAAGCGTGGAGCTGCGGCTGGTCTTATACACCCCACTATATGTCCCAAAGGTGAGACACTCCCGAGAGTTACTTTGCAGTTTTCATTAATTGATGCTTCAGATACAGAGCAACAAATACAGCGCTACGAGATCGTTCAGCTCTCCTGGGTGTGACACCTCCAGATTCAGGACGCTCGTCACCGTATAACAGCCCGAACCTAGAACCCTCTGGCCACCGCTACGTGGATGACTTGGAAGGTCAGAATGACGAGGCGTTGGAAGGCCTGGCAGCCAAGGTGAAGCTGCTCAAGGATGTAAGTGGTGCTTCCCCCCTCGCCCGCCAATCTAACTCATTATTTTTATACAAAGATCACAGTTGGGATTGGAAACGAGGTCCGAGAATCGACTGTGCAACTTAGTCAGATGGTGCGCGCATGCTGTCGCTCTACTCATCAGCGGCTCCCTGCTTATCATGTGCTCCGCAGAATGATGCATTCGCGGAAACCTCGGGCATCCTAGCTGGCACGTTCCGTCGGATGAACAACATGGCACAGCGGCAGGGTTGTCGATGGCTATGGTACATCCTATTTCTCGTACTTTGTGTTCTGGTTCTTCATCATTGTATGGTGGTTTCGGCGATGACAAGAACCCACTACGGATATTTATCGATATCTTTGGATCAATTGCTTCCTCAGTGCACCTCTCTCGTCATTCAAGTCACACCATTTCCGTATCCACAGTAAATGCTAATACAGAGTATCATAAAACCATGTAAAAAGAGCAATGCGTGGAGACCCATTGTCATGGGCCATCCAGGAACTTGGCATGGCCAATTTCCCAAATCATCCGCCGTCGCAAGTACGCCATGTCCCGCTGCGAGAAATGGAATTCTTCCTCCCCTCTAGACAAGGATTCCAAGAACTGACACGTGAACACGCCACAGTCATAACCATTCTCCTGTTGTGGTGTGTCCTCAGGATTGTGATTCTGCCACCCAGTGAAGTCAAAAGGTTTCTTTCGCTTGTTTCTATGTTCCGAATCCAGATAACTCCGCAAGGCCTGGAGATAACATAAGGACCTTCCTGGGCACGCCAAGGCAAGTTAACGTACCTTGAAGACTTGATGTCGGTCAAGATTCATGCTGTCATATGACTCTATCCGCTTTCGACGGAAGTTGATGGCAGCCCCGGTCCAATGAGAATTGTTGTGGTTGATAGGAATAAGGATGACGTCTTTCGAAAAAATATCAATCTGTATGCGGAATGAGACATCATCTTCAATTGCACTGGGCAGTAACGAACCTTCTTTGTCCATTTCGCTAGCCGCCCCTGCTCATAGCCTTCGTTTTTCAGCTTTGGCCAAAAGAAGGTGCTAAAATAGTGGACATCCAGCATCTTTCTCTTTGCGGTGGGGTCGCGGTTGGACTCCGAGCGCGTCAAGATCATCGCACCATAAAAGTTCATAATTTCGTCGTTCAACCACTGACTGGGCAGTAACCGAGATAGGTCGCGATCATTAACAGATTCTCGAGCAACCTTGGAAATGACTCCTTTCTTGCACAGGAGCGCGTTGACTTGTGTGTCAGCGTCGGGAGGTAGAACCTTGGGTAGCTTTGGTCGCAGACGCTTCTCAATGGCTTCGTCTCTGTGGCGCGCCGATAAACGGAGACGATCATGTGATGGAGAGAACGGTTTAGGTGGCGGACTGGAAAATTGATCAGTGAGAAAAATATGCAAAATATACGCTCATACAGCTCAAATGACTTCCTGGCCTTTCTAAGTGCACGTTCTAGGAAGTCGGGATCAACATCCTGGCACAATTTAGCACAGTAGCAAACAAAGTATGCACGCGCTTACATCTGAGAACGAGTGCCTACGAGAGAGCCCAGGCGAGGACTGCTTTACACGCAGATCTGTTAGTGATGGTGAAGCTACACACAACGTCGTAAGTGTGCTAAACTGAAGTAATAAGAATCACGCACGCGAAAGTGCATGTCGTTCAAGAATTTCAAGTCGAGCTTGGTAATTAATCAAAGCTGAGATTCGCGCAAATTAGATGTAGACATGGACAGGACAGAATGGGCGCACATTTAAAAGAATCAAAATCTGAGGTATATCCTAATCAGAGTGAGAGATAGAGCATCAAGAAAAGTACTAGTGTGCTGACCAGTAGAGCGTTTGTAATGGAAGAGTTCTTGCACCAGCTCTTCGCGGTCCTTTTTCCTATCATCTTGTACTTTGGCTTTGTGCTATGAAATCGGTAGACAGTAAGATATAGGAACCGGCTAGCATTGCTTATACACTTACAACACGAGCATATATATGATCTCGACTCCGCCGAGGACGAATACCGCCGACCACTCCTCGCCCGTGCGCGGAACTTCCTATGAAGTCATACGACTGGCTGTGTTGAACGTGTCCCTTCGATGTCGAGGGAACCGGGGTGACCGAGGTGTGTCCGGTGAGGGTTGAGGGAGGTGAGTTTCCGTTTCCATTGAGTGCATTCGAAGATTCTGAATGCGATTGTAAAGAAGATGAAAGCCGCGAGCGGCCTGCCATTGGTTGTGAGTCTTTATGGAACTCTTCTGGTATAGGCAGACAAGGTGGCAAGGCTGAGTAGGTAGCTTGCGAGGGTAAAGAGCCGATTTGATTAGGTTTTTTCCGGCTGTCGGGACGCGGCTTGAGATACACCTAGTTTTTGAGAGGCTTTGAACACGTTGTCAGTGAATGATCGTGTCTGGCAATAGAACTAATCTCACAGTTCATGAGGGACAGGTATCCGAGGCGGACCGTTTCGTAGCCAAGTGTGAATGCGTCAGTTCCAAGTTGACGCCAACGATTCCAAATACCCTGGTTCTCTTCTGTGCGTTGGTATTTAGCAGAACGCACTGGGAGTAGAGGATCTGGGGCCTGTCTCTTCCGACTGGTCATCCGAGCAAATGCTAAGGATGGAAGGGAGATATTTTGAAAGACTTGCGGCACGGAGCCAGCTCGAGGCTGAGCTCAATGAATGGTCGCGAGGACAGACTCGTCAAAGCAACGTGTTCTTCACGGTGGTTATGTGCAATCACGATCAAGACTAACTGTTGTAGTAAATCTTGTCAAAGTGCTAGCGTCAAAGCACAGCACAACAAGACACATGATTATATAATTTAATTCTAATTTTAATCCTAATGGGCTTGCTTGGCTCAGTTGGTTAGAGCGCAGGTCTCATACATGTGTCGTATGACGAGTGTATACTCGGTAATCCTGAGGTCGCAAGTTCGAGCCTTGCAGCGAGCACTGCCTTTTTGATATTCGTTACTGCCAAGGACCCTGCAACCTCGAGGCACGTACGCGTGACGTGCGTCGTGGACGTGCAGATTCGGAAATTAGGCTCGCCCAGCTCTAACTCTAAACATAAGGTTATTTCTTCGTGAGTCACATTAATCTTCCTACTGATCTTTTTTCTAATCATGTTTTCTTCACAAAACAGACTTCGAGGTGCGAGAACGTACAGCCTTCTCCCCCCATTGGATCTGGATTCTGAGTCCTATCCAAGCCATCGCATCAGAATGCTGACATATATGGCCCTAGTATAACTTCCGTCTCCTTTACAAATTTACTAAACGCAGCAAGTCCTCTCGTAGGGGTATAAAGATCAACATCGCTGGTGTTTCTGATCACCCACTCAAAGCGTTCTCCTCTGTATAACCTCTTGTAATGCCCTCCGGGGCAAGATGAGCTCACCAGGCTCCATTGGTTCCAAGTAGGAAGGGACTTATTTTTTGCAAGGTGGGTGTACTTGTTCGTTGGTTGTAGATTCTAATGCTTAGTTTGGGCTTCTTGTTGGCAGCCTATCATGCGGCGCTTCCCATGAACGAAGTTGTAAAATATTCTCTGTTTCACGCATTGCTGGGCACACTGGTGTGCAGTGCGGGATGTGTCATAAATGACATGCTTGACTGCGCGACCGCAAAGTGGGTACTCAGTTCAGTCCCAACTGCCTCTCTAGACACTGGAATAGAACGTTCAAAGCGCCGACCAATCGCGTCAGGAGCGATCTCTAGGTCGGAGATCTCAATTCTTCTGGCTGTTCTCGTTGCTGCTATCTTTTATATGTTTTTGACTGCTCTCAACGCAGTGTGAGTGGTCCAGAATTTCTCTCACAAGCTTTTTTTAGTTTGAACACTTGGTGCCGTTGGACTCCGTGCGTGTGTTGATCGTATCCACTGATGAAGCGCCGGATATATTAATCTTCTTTCTTCTGTACGGCTTTTTTATCCAGAAGTTTACTATCTTATCTGGTTTCAAGGCTTTGCTTGCAGCTAGGCCGCCCCATTCACTCGGGTTGCAATGACAGGCCAGTTCAATTGCGACGTCAGCCTGACCATCGAAATTGCGTCGTGCTGGTAAGTGTGGAGAGGGCGGTTTGTTATGAGTCACCGATAGTTCCTCCGTAGCTGGACATGTCTTCATGATACCATTTACGCATGTCGAATGACTCACCTGGAACGTTTCGCACTAGGAGGCGTGTGCTGATTATATCGCCTTAGCACAGGAAGGACGACGAAATGGCGGGAGTCAAGTCCATGGCAGTCAGTCTGAGCAAAGGCGTCCCGCATTGAGTTTATTTGACTTCGCCTTTTAGGCGCCTTTCGGTATTTGAACGGCCAACGCCATGTCATTTGTGATAAGTATCATTGCATCGTCCATCCTCTGTCTCTGACACAACATATGGTCCTTTGACTAATATGATCCCAAAGACAGCTGGGTAACATTCATGGTGCCATAGCTGCATGTGCTAAATCTCATACTCCAGGCGGGTCGCCATGGCGTGAGGATGGTCTGTGCTGGAATATCGTGTGTGGACCATTACTTCAAAAACTTGTGTCCCTCGCCGCTTGACCATACGTATGAAGGCCTTGTTATCATATACGTATCGGTACTGGCACAGCAAAAATTGAAAAAAACCTCTTATTGTAATGAATTAATTTATGAAGCGTGTAGCGTGAACACTGGAGGTGATCGTAGTGTCAGTCTAGTACGATTGCCTCCTATTGCCTCCGATAGGGTCTCGTAATCCCTTGCCATTGAAACTTGATGTTTCTTACCATTTTCAAGGTCTAACATACCGGTGAGACAGTCCTGAACTCTGCTAAATGCTCGTTTGTACTGAACTTGCATTGTTTCCGTCTCTTTTGCTCCAGCCCTCTTCCAGTTCCACCTCTGTTCCACCTCCTCGATCTCGGAAATCTGCCAGTGGGTGTCTCAAGTTGGCCCGGACATCAGCAACCACCAAAATGCAAAATGAGATAATCGAACTCAGTGATTCGGACACTGATACCAATAGCAAAAGTGTTCGCCCAGTGAAGGAGTCCACAGAAATATCACGCCCTAATTTCGAGATAGCTACCCTCAAGGCAAAGTTGACAGCCCAAAGCAAGCTCGTCGCGGAACAGGGCAAGGAGTTAAATAAACTCCGCAAAGAAAACAAGCAGTTCAAGAACGAACGAGACATTCAGACTGCCGAAATCACAGGCCTTCAAGACGAGTTGAAGAATATCTTGCGACAGCTCGATGACGAAACGGTTCGTGTATAGCACTGGCAGGCCACTCGCTCAAACTTGAATAGTACTCACATCATGTCTTCACAAGGTCAAAAATCTCAATTTCAATATGATTAAGTTAAATAGTTTGAAGTCGGATGCTGTAGTAAGCGAGCATTTTTCACTTTGGTTTTGAATCTTGATGCTGACTTTTGCGGGCAGCCAAATGGGACTGCCGTCGAAGCTAGATGGCATCAGGACATTGACCAAGACATGTCCGACAGCTTCGCATCCAATCTTCCTATACCCGAAAACGGCCCTCCAAATGCAGCGTCCTCGCAGCCCCAAACACCCAACGCTTCTGGATCTGGTTTTACTGCCATTAAACCAGAGCCGGAAGGCGCGAAGATTGCAGTTGTTATTAAGTCCGAGCTTGAACATGAACCTGATCTGAACGTCCATGTTACGTTTGTTAAGAGCGAGGATGGGAAGTTCGACATCTAGAATCTTGAACACCTTCATCTTGGACCTCCAGTTATCGTAGAGAAGGGGTTTCAAGTTGGATTTAGGCGTTCTGTAATCAGTAACGTGAGTTCGGAATTCCCCCATCTATCAAATTAGGTTAACACCCAATATTACTTCAGGCTCTTGGTGGAAATTGGCAAAGTACATTCGTCAATTGGCAAGGTCCGACTAGCAAATCGAATAGGTATCCCTAGTGCGTTTCCCCGAGTCTATCTAACCTACCGCTACTGAAGCGAGCATCACAGCATGGCCCTCAAACGATCTTGGAATCCGCATCTCCCGCTCGTTCCGGGAGAGCACGGTGTGGTATTTAGTAGGGTGAGGCGTTTTGACGATGACACGCTCATTACTGGATCAGTCGACGTTGTCATATCCGGCAAACCAAATGAATGGGTGTATTTTGGTTCTTACGAGACCTTTCGGTCAGGTGAGATCACACCTCACCAACTCCACCTGCTCCCTCCCCTGGTGGTGCGAACTTGGGTGGAGGGAACTCTGAAGTCCCAATGGGGAAAGAACTGGGTCGAACGCACGAATGCTGAGCTTGTAGACAAGGGAGGTGAAATTCGCCTCGTCGAGCATACGGCACACGGTCTTCGGGAGGCACTCAGTGATGGAAGACTCGTAATCGGCTTCACCGTCATGAAATGTGTTGGATTCCGTACGGAGTGGTTCGACCAGTTCTTGCATTACCAAGCGCATCCGAAGCCGCCCACAACACAGAAAAGGAAGCAAGGGAGCTCGGGAGCCAAAAAACCCTCTGCAAAAAGGGTGAAAGGGGGCACGCGCCGCCAAGAGGTGTCATCCGAAAGTGACAGTGACGAGGAATCACAAGTCACACCGCCCGGCAGTGACGAAGACGAGTTTTCTGACGCGGAGGACGGAATGAAATCAGGCTTGGGTTCAGCCTCGCCGGGCGTGAGGAAGAGTACTCGCATTTCCGTAAAATCAACTGGAGCAGTAACTCCAAGTTCTAGTCATCGGACCGTGTTGTCTCTAGCTTGAGAATTCTGCAACTACTCGAGGTCGACCGATACTTTACTCTCGGCAAACTCTCGGGATTGATATATCCACTACACATACAGTCAAATAACCACCGTACAACACTTATACGCATGCCACACTAAAGAGTTATTACAACCAACCAGGCCTGACGTTGGAAGAAAGATGGAGTGAAAGTAACTGTGACGGAGTGCGAATTCTCCCGAGGGAGGAAACCTAGGACGTCAACAAAAGTCCAGCTGATTACCGTGTCATAACCATGCTCCCCTCTGTCATAGCAGATGAGTGGTAACACCGAGTCCCTGTATGTGTTCATGGTCAGAGGTGCAGCTTCAAGTTCAGAATAGTCGTCAACAACTTGACGGATTCGGACATAAGATAAGCTCGAACTGAACGGTGGCTCGATCACCAATCCGCATGAGGATCGTCCAGATGAGCAGTTTGGAGGACCCTCCAGAAACCGATGAGAACTGCGGCAGATATCGGGATACCCCACTCACTCCGCAGTGAAGTATGGCTTATGCGCAAACAGTATTAGCGTGGCCCGCAAGAACAGCAATTCATTCAAGCATACCCGGTAGTTTCGTTGCATGATAGTATTAAGGCTACAAATTCTGCTCGGATGATTACATCGCGCGAGTGACATCCTATAATATGAGGACCTGTCGTTCGAATGGGGCGGGAGGTTGCTGCGGTGTCCCAGTGAGCTATAAGGTATAAGGTTTTGAAACGTATCAGTTTTGGACACGCCAACCATACCCTTTCTGAAGGCCGCGCGATTCACTTGTTTGAGAGCAAGAGCAACACATTGAGAAGTTCCAGCTGTCACGACATCAGACTTGTAAAGGTAAGAAATGCAAACCAGGAACTCGAATACCGTTTTCGCTGCATGCTCCTCAGAAACAGTTGACTGACAACTCCACATCCAAGAAGACGGAGTCACCCGCCTTGACACTTCCAGTACCGAGAATGTCATTGACAACGTACGGGACAGACCAGACTCATCAGTGGCCGATTATTGTGACTGCCGCAGTCAAAGGATATCAGTTGCACACTTATTTGGGTGCCAAGGGCCCGTACTACTTCAAGTAGCTGATAGATTGTGAATGAGTATCGATGTCCGCCTTCAGTTGAGGCACAAATGATGGGTCTGCGTCCTTGAGCCATAATTGCATAAGTTGTTGAGCGTTCAAACGTTCAAGCGTTTCCCGAACCGAACTACATCATTATGATGGTCACGTGGCATTTGGCGGGTTTTAGAAGCTCGTCAAGCGACGGAAGTGTTCTCGCCGTCTCATAAACCAGCAACTCCCTGCCAAGTGCAACAGATTTCCTTCGACTCTCCCATTTCAGAGGTGGCATTGCATGATCATTAATGAGCTCAAACCCGTCCCTTCGTGATCTCTACAACCCTCCCTCGTCCGCATGGGCATTTGTTCCTCCTCCACCTCCTGTACAGACCGCAAGCACACCCTCAGCCGCAAGTTCTGCAATGACCAGCTACCAATGGACTACTCGTCCTGCGCACAACTCAATTTTTGATTTATCTCCTTCACTAGACCTCAGCGAACCTTCTAGTCTTAATGTGTCCCTGCTACTGCGCTCTTTAATTGCTTCAGGATTACTCCAGTACACAAGTACAGCACTTGTGATGCCACTGGAAGTAGGCAAACTACTTCTACAGATTCAGTGGATTCCTAAGGATGCTCCGGCGCCATCCAGCCAGGTACACGAGGAGGAAGAGGAGGAAGAAACGGTAGGTGGGCATCTAAAATGTGTATTTGATGCCATTGTAAGTTTCACCTTAGTTTAGCGACTCTACGAACGAGGACGATTCCTACTTCGCGGACCCCGCTGCTTCACACATAAAGTACCCCGCACCAAAGCCCGTTGACGATCAGGGTTATGTAATCAGGACGTCTGTGCTGGAAGACGGAACACGCCCCGAATATATCATAGCTGTGGGTAGTATGAACGGCACCTGGGATATGGTGAAACGTGTCGCTGCCTTCCGTGGAGAAGGCTGGCTTTCGTTATGGAAAGGTGAATCGTTATCCTCTGGTGGTGTCCTGTATTTAACCTGGGTTGTTATGCGCAGGGCTATTCACATCCTGCATTCACGACGTGCTTTTCAGTAATGTTCAACCTCTCGTTGACAGTCTTATGCACTCTGTGTTCTTGTCGTCAGCCGCTGGACTATATCGCCCACCACTTCTTTTACCGGTAGCATCGCATGTCATCACTGGCTTTCTACTCTCGCCTCTAGATCTCGTTCGGACACGCTTGATTGCCCAATCAGCGATGCAACGCCACCGGACGTACACTGGGCCATTTGATGCACTGAGGCAGATAATAGTTCAAGAGGGTGGTATCAGAAGCATTTATTTTCATCCGCAACTCCTTATCCCTACTATTTTGGACAATGGCCTCCGTCCTCTATTGCACGTCCTCATGCCTATGCTTATTGCTCCTCGATTGGGTTTCGGTCCACACGTCGCTCCAGATAGCAGTCCTATTGCATGGGCTTTTGCTCAAGTGCTAGGATCTGTGGCAAGCCTGCTCATCACGTTGCCCATCGAGACCGTGCGCAGAAGACTACAAGTACAAACCCGGGGTACGACGAAAGCGCTGCGTACGTGTGTTGAGACGCGTCCTGTACCATACAATGGCGTCGTGGATGCGCTGTGGCACATTGTGACTGAGGAGAGGTCAGACCTTCCTATCAAGCGAAGATCAAAAGCGAGAAGACGGCAGACGGAACGCGCGGAAGAAGAAGATTCTAATGACCTGTTTGTGGAGAAGCAAGACGGATCCAGATGGCTAAGAAACACGGGTATCGGACAACTATACCGGGGAATAAGGATGCGTCTCGGGGTTAGCGTTATCGTATTACTGTTGACTACTTTCGGAGGTCAACAAGAGGTGGACGGGGGTTGGGCAGAGCTCTAGGCAGACTTTACTCTACATGATTCTCTCGTTCCTGGGTAACAATTATAACTCTCCTCAGCATGTAGCTCTCTGTAATTAAATTCTAAGGTCAACAAATTAGGTTTTGCTACTATCAATGTAGCTGAAGCCTGCATGGCAGCGTCTGATATACCTTGCGGGTCTTAAGCTTAAGGCAGTGGTGAATTATCACGCCAAATTAGGAAAGGCATGTAACACCAAACGAGCGACGCGTCACTGGCCGCGCCAGTGAAAGTACTGTCTCTCTCAAGTCTCTCTCATACTAAACAGAATCACCAACCAGAGCCAGCAAATATGGTCAGCCCACTCTCTGAGCTAACATATTCTACTGTACTGATTTACACTGTCTGCAGTCGATCATGGAGTATAACGGTGGCTCCGTTATAGCCATGGTAGGGAAAGACTGCGTCGCCATTGCTTCAGATTTGCGGTTGGGAAGTCAAGCATTAGGAATATCCTCAAATTTCCAGAGAGTATGATTTTTGCCTTCGCTGTGGTACCCGTCATCCTGCTAAGCGTGATTGCTTAGATATTTCCTGTCACTGATCGGGTGTATGTTGGCCTGCCTGGATTGGCCACTGACGTGACGACACTGTGAGTTGACTATTATCGGTCTTAGACTCGCTACCTAACGTAGCGGCATATAGTCGGGAGCGCTTCCGCTATCGAGTCAATATGTATACCATCAAGGAGGAGAGAGAAATAGAACCAGAGACGTTTGCTCATCTGGTTTCCTCGACGCTCTATCAGCATCGGTTTGGCCCTTACTTCATCGAGCCAGTCATGGCTGGCCTGTCGAAAACGCCTTCTGGAGGTTTCAAGCCCTTCATCGCAGCCACGGACCTCATAGGATGTCTGAACTTTGCAAAAGACTTTGTGGTAGCTGGTACAGCGAGCGCAAAATTGTTTGGTGTAGCAGAGGGCCTCTGGGAACCAGATTTGGAAGCGGAAGATCTGTTCGAAACCATCTCACAGACGCTGATGAATGCTGTTGATAGAGACGCGTACTCTGGTTGGGGAGCAATTGTCCATGTCATGTGAGTTTCTCCTGCTCCAGTTTGCTTTCTGTCATTGACTGCATTTCTACTTCACAGTACCAAGGACAAGATCATTACGCGTACACTGAAAGGTAGAATGGACTAGATTGTAATAACACTCCGCAATGCATATGACCCGGGTCAAACATATGCTCCGCCTGCAGAGCTAATTATACTAGTGTATTGCCACAGCCGGCGATGTTTAGAGCTTCAAGTCTGTATTTTGAGGTTTGGTCTCAGTTAACGTTCGAGTGGAACAGATATGATTTGGATGTAGACGCGCCTAGACCCGATCAATGACTGCACCTCACAGAGCAGCTGGCACAAAGCCTCGGTCATGACGCTAATCTATATCGGTAACTGTGGCAGCACCCAGGTACCCATCCCCGACTTGTGGATTTTCACTCCCCTTTTTGTTCTCTCGCTATATGTAAGTCTTGCGTGGCATCTACAACTCGCCATGTGGTTGTGTAATTGCAAAACGCACGAACTTCAGTTTCGTCTGGGATCCTCATATTGAATAACCTCACGCAATCGCAACAGTTACCTTAGATCTCTATCAATATGTTTTCTCTACTCTCGAAGTCGTTTGATGCACTAAAGGTAGATCTACTCTCATAATTTATCTACTTCCTAACGGTCTTACTAGATCTCGACCCCGGATTCAATCAGACAACGACCAATTAAACTTGTCCGTCCGAAGAAGCAGCCTCATGTTCAGTTCTACGGATACGCGATCTCTCATGAATGGCTTGTCCGATTTACGGAGCAACACTGCCCAGAAGCACTGCCCGATCGCAGTGACAGAGGCTATGAAGACACTGCCATCTCACGAGCATACGAACACCTTGTGGATCTAACGGGCATCAACAATTTGGATCCTGTCACTTGCTTCAATCCCAAGGGTGGCTCAGTGCCTGCCGAGTGGATCGCTGTGTATGATGGCGACTATGACGATGTGCTTTCCGACGAAGAACTTCTGGCCATTCGAATTGATACAGTCTATGTGCTCACTGTGTGCTCGGATGAAGACGACTCCTTTGAAGAGCGTCCTATTCAGGAACAGATGGACCACATCACCAAGATGGTTGGGCATGGGCCGCAGTGGTGGATGGGTTGTAGGAGTGTATATTGAGGGCGAGTGACGACGAATTAGAACGAGATATATTCTTGAGCTTGAGCTGTCAAGTTGTATGTGGTACTTGTAAGCGCGCCGTTACGTACGTTATTATGCAACTTCGTTGCGCTCAAAATTAAATTTCATGGCCGAACAGACCCTCAGTGAGTCAGAGTACTCAACCTAGGCTGCAGTCTCTTCAAGATGTATGACAAGATGTGTAATGCACGCCGTGTCCTCCACAAACTGCTGGCCATCCTTCGAATAACGGTCATTAAACTTTCCAGACAATTTTCGTATCCATATTACATTCTACAGCGTATCCTTAGCACTTGGACTTCCAGGCTTGCACGCTCAAATGCTGCAAATACAAATGCTAGTAGTCGCCATGAACGCCGCGAACAGCGTGGCAATGAGCCTAATACCTCACCAGTAGCCATCCTCCCAAGCCTCAACTACCCCTCCGAGTCTGGGCATTCGGTCAGCCAGCGCTCGGAACACACTCGCACAGGGAGCTCTCTTCCCGAAGACGTCGAGTCTAACCATGTGTCTGTGTCCGTTATCACCTCGCTGCGGGACAGTGCCCCTCCGATCCTGAAGCCAATGACCTGCGAGTGATGTCCGTCGGTATAGCAAAAAGTCTCAAATGTAGGTCTTGAATCAACTACTGGCTCAATTTGATCTTATATGGAACCTCCCAAGTCAGAGGACAGATACAGCCTTCATGATTCCAGCGGGCCGGAAAGATTTTTCGATGTGCGTGCGTCAACTCAGCTTCTCTGAATTATCTTTCTTAACGATCCAAACCCACTACCGGTAGTCCGGACAAGATTGATGCAGGTGATCTGGTCTGGGATCGTCAAATTCATCCGCATGGCACATTATACTTCTCCAGTGAACAAGTTAGTTTGCCTCCAACGTTTTTGCGCACCTAATAACCACTTGCTCAGGTGACATGGAGAGACCCAGAAATGGAGACAACCATGGTTCAAATCACCGTGTTCACAGATACCGACGTACGCAAGCAGTCAAATTCCGATATTATTGCTTCCTGTGTAAGAACACTCTTGGACCAGGCACAAATCGCAGGTCACCTTGAGGACACCCTCACAGAGCTCACCGTTGATTTGTGTACAAACACTAGCGGGGAGCTTGAATGCAAGTACTATTTTGTCGCACCTGATCGGCGGGCTCTGTTTTGGGAAAACGATTTTGAGGCGATGAACTTGTTTGGTGAGGTCAGGGGTGTTACAAACGGTCACATTAGTATGTTTATATTTTGTTCTGATAACACTGTGTTTCACTATTGCATAGAATATGCCATGGAGGCAGAGTATTGGTAAGCCGGCGAAGTCAAGGTGATAACTCACTTGCCCTCGCAATTGAACAATTCTAAATTCCTATTTCTTTGGACCAGACACTCTTCCCACTAACGGGGTTCAGGATGCACCGGGAGCTGTATCCGAACGATTGCAAGATAACCCCTGAACTTCATTGCGAACTGCAGGCAATGATTCTCCATGCTTATACAGGTGTGTTTCTCGCGATGTGTTAACCGTATCTGTTCATCACTCGGTCTCAGATACCATCTTTTCGGAAGTGTCATTGGCGCCCTTTGACACAGACGAGCTCAGGCGAGCCCTGGACATTGTAGATTACTTGAATGGTTGATTTCGTTCATAATTTTAATCAGGCAGGTTTACTGATCTCATTCGAGGCATCGTTAACAAACCTGATTCAATCATAAACGACCAATACATTTGGGCATATGGTGTGGACGATGCTTTCCTGATCCAGTTCAACGTCTCATTAAAACTTCATAGCTCGTTTAATGCGAATGTTCAGTATGATGGTCTTGTGCACGTCTTCATCCAGATACAGCTGACCTTTCAACTAGCCAGGGCCAGGTTTTCTAATTTTTATGGTGAAATAGGTGCCAGGCTAGGTACCGATCATACTGTTTATGCCGAAGACCACTATCTCGACACAAGACTGATAGTCAAACTTTTCAACCTTGTCCTGTTTGGCACTCCGTCCAGCCATGTCAGAAAGATTGATAGCGTCTGGGTTGACCAATCTGTAAACCGACCGCGCTGGAAAATGTTTATGGATGGATTGACGAACGAGTGGAGTGGATTAGCAATTTATGTGAGTCGCTAATGCCAAAGACCGCATTTACTTTCCACTGAAAATGGGAAGTCGACTGTCATGTTGGCTGTGGACATTAGTTTCCTTGCAGTACCGGCGATCGGTCAACGACCTTCTGCACAAATCGCGTTATACATCTCGTCACTCTGGTCCGTGGCTTCACTGGTAGTTTCTGCTCTGCTGGCGCAAAGCAGCGGGCACCAAGACAGTATAGATCGAGCGGTATGTCTGACTTTCTGGGGACTTTCACTTCATGTCTCTGTCATACGGCTGATTTGGGCTTATCAAGACTGCATTCATGACGCGCATGACGCGGTCGCTTCATGGCAAAGAAAACCTTGCCATCATCTTCAGCTTACCGTACGCACTTGTCATATGGGGGTGAGCACCTTCCCTGCACAATGTTTTTCAAAGTGACGAGCTTGTATTGTGCAGCATGGTTTTCTTCTTTTTGGCGCTCTCGCTCGTGATCTTCCTTTCTGCTGATATCACGACATGGTGCACTGTAGGGCCAGCGTGGTTACTCGTCATCGGGGTTATTGGCTGGCCAGTGTGGGCTGCCAGGGGCCCACAGATCGAACGACCGACATCCTCACTGTGGATTCGTAGGAAACTTGGAACATAAGCAACAAGCACAGTATATTCTCGTCAGCAAAAATGTTATGATGTACTACATGGTGATATCAGTGAGACTATAAATACCAGGTCATAGAACAGATCACAACCGGAGTCGCGGATGAAGGGCTAGCAAATGTTAACATGATATGTGAAATGATTGAGATGACGGTGTCCTCTAATATATGCCATTCCATTCCTGTGAGGTAGGATTGAAACCCTTAGTTGATCGGGCGTGCAAAGATCATAACAGATCCTGGAGGAGCGCAGTGCTGAAGTGTTATTGCCAATGGCATTGCACCAGCAACAAGCAGAGACCCGGGGATAGAATAAGTTTGTAGGCCCATTGCCTTCAGTGTCTCGCCCTCCATCTCACCTTCATCACTGCTAGAACTCATGCTTGATACGTCGCCCGTATTAGTAGAGCTCCTTCGAGTGGAAGCCATCGAGACTAAAGATGTAGCATCAGCTGCTGTTAACCCCTTGTCCTTCCTGTTGTGGGTGCGTCATTAGTTCTGTCTGCAAATTCAGAAGTACTTTGACCAACTGCGATCTCGTGCACATCCTCACCGGGCGTTGTTCGCCTTTCTGCAGTCGTTGAGTTGGTATACCGATGAATCGCGGACATCTACACGTGCACCCCAGCTGTATGGTAGAATTGCTTCAGTATCAGTTCATTCACTTGAAACAGTTGTTGTTCACTCACTGTAGTACAGCACTTACGGTCGGGGCTTTGGCCGCCTTGCCAAGCATTTTGCGCATTTCAAGGCTGTGCATGGCTGCTTTTGTTGATTGGAAAGCTTCTTGACGGCGGTAGTCTGGATTCGTTTATTTGTGCGAGTACAATTAATATCGATGAGATTCCTTACTTTTGCTCTGCACATCTAGATGGTGGAAGAAGACCTAGTACCGGTACCGTAGAGCATGATGCGTTGGTCTGCAGTCACCACCTGAAGCTAGACCACGTGCACGTGCACGTGCGTTGGCAGCCGTGCTCCAATCTAACGCTCGGTCCAGCCCAACTTCATTAGATCGTGTCATTGACTCTAGAACCAGGATTGAATATTGAGGTCTGCAAACAACGTCTTCGTGGAAATTGGGGTCGATGGTTCGTAGGATACGTACGGTCGTCTTTCGTTGTCTCCTCGTCGCTTGTGTTGTGCTGCCCTGCGTTTATTTGCTCTCGCGTCGGCGACACATTCATGTGCTAGCTGACTTAGGTCAGACTCCTTGGGATAGCCTCGCTAGTCCTAGTCGTCCCTTAGCGGCGAGCTTCCTGGTGGGAGCAAATAGGTCTTCAAATGTTCAAAGAGTTAGCTTGGTCTCAGCGTCTCAATCCTATCCCGACGTGACAGCAGTCATCTTGAACTGGTCACGGCTTCCCAATGTTGTCCGGATCGTCAGTCTTCTTTGTGGTCCATGGTTGGAAGATGTCATAGCGGAGATTGTGGTATGGAACAATAGTCCGAGGGAAATCTCATACCAGGTGAGTGGAGAATCTGCGGACGCCATCTCATACGCACCATTCTTTCTAGCCAGACCTTCGCGAAGACAGGTTGCCCTTCCGAAAAGTTGAGGATATACAATTCGCCTCATAACGCCTACTTTCAAGCTCGATACGTTGCGTGCGAACAGGCTACCACTCGTTTCTGCTTCCTGCAAGTTGGTAGACAAAGTTCTCTTCCAGGTTCATGTTCTGAACAGAATTTTTGAATTTACAGGATGACGACTACCTTATTATGCCTGAGATTATTCGCACTCTGCATGCTCGGGTTCTCGGAACTCCTGACCACTCAATACACCTTCTGCCTCCACATGAGGTTCTATCTACTCAACTACGTACAGCGGTTACGTCCGACGGTGTGCATACTTCGTCCGCATGGCTTGGACATGGTACAATTCTTCCTCGGACTGGAGCTGCGGACTTCTTGGCGCTTTTACATCATCTGAATGCATCCGAGGATGAAATGAAGATGGCAGACAACTACTTTACGATCCTGAATAATCGGATTCCTGAAGTTTGGTTCGACCAAGGTATCGAGCTAGGAGGTGGTCAACCATTCACAGTCGGAATGGAAGGTAATGAACGTAATAAAATGCATATTGTCAGTCAAATTTCTTGGCATCGCTACGCAAGTTGTGAAGTCGCACTAACTATGGAAGCACAGATCAATGCTTGTCGATACCTGGACACCCTCTTGAGCGCATTCAGAGCTTCAGATATGTCTCATAAATCGAGATTACCGTTCATCGAAGTTGATGCGGTAACCCCTACTGGTCATGCAATATTTCAAGCGCCGTGTCTTGGCGCTTCTTGTTTGCTGCAGACGAACATCCCTTTACTACCAACAAACGTGAAGGTTGGAAGTTACTCGGACGATGACATATTTATGCAGGAATTACGAAGTATCCAGTCTTTGGGTCAGGATGCTGTGGACCACTACTTGCGGTTCCCTCCTTCTCAGGCTGTCGACGGCCGCCCAGACACTGTATTCCGCAGTCCATTTCGTACGTTGATGGGCAATGAGTCAAAATGCGGCGATTGACCTCTTTTATAAGCGGCACGGCGGGGTGACTTCGTAAGCCTGGACATGCTGTCACGCGTGGGCTCAGCAGGCTCCACAATTGAAATAACGCTACTAGTCGCGAGGGAAACGGTGGACATTTTGCACCAAGCCCTGTTCGAATCCTCTACGGATGCTGTCAACTGGGTAAATCCAAGTGCTTCGGTCAGCTTGGCTTCATTATGCTAACATGGCGCATTAAGGTTATCACCACGCATGCATTGGTATGCGAAGAAACCGAACTGACCGGGCTTCGTGGCCTAAGGTCTGCGCCTCGCAAATTGCAAGAATGTAGCGTGCAGTCGCAGGAGACAGACCATCGGTTCTTCCGAGCGACTCTGCTGGTTGATATACTGTCTTCCCCTCACTGGATGATCTATGAATTTTGGATACGGTGGTTAGCATGATTTACTAGTTCTATATCTAACATCGCACTGGGTAAATTTATGTTGCAATTTGCATTGGAGCTTGTCAATTGAGGCTGTTCCAGCGGAAGTAGAACGAATTTTTGCCAATTGTAGTTGGTTGAAAGTCAGGGGTCGCTTATATCAAGTGCTTATGTCCTTACGTAGTACTTTGTCACCTGTACCGCTTCTTCAACCTTGCTGCGACCATCCCCACTCCACTTTTTATCTAGCTTTTATCATGTTGCCATCCCTTGCAAAGAGATCTGTTTCTAAAGTCGCGCTCTCTGGAGCGCGCAGAACGATATCCGTTCAGGTAGCGCACATGCAACATTGCGACAGTTATCCTGATGGAGTGTTTTTCAGAGCATACTACACGGATCACCAGAAGCGAAGAAAGCAGGAGATATCGAGGTTCAACAGCACTCAAGGATAGTTGCTAGGGGAAAATATGTTCACGGCTTCGAGGGTGAGAAACGAACACAAGCTTCTAGATTTTGTCTATTAACTTGCATCCCAAAGTTCATCGAGTTCTGCCGGGGGCGATTGACGAGTATAAAGCCGCAGCGTAAGAAAATAATTCTCATATTTCAAAAGGCACTTTTTGAGAAATGGTTGACTTGTTCAGGGAGAAGTACTATGCTGGCATAAAGGATGCTCCAGAGTTACACGTCAAGCTGACCGGAAGTTGGGAAACCCTAGTGGGGCAGCAGGACACTTTTGGTATGTTTTTCAATGACATCACAATCTTATTGTCTTGACGTTGCGAACGACGTCAAGTTCATATCCTTGAATACGAGAATTACGCTGGCTTTGACAAGACCACTCAACTCATAAGAGCATCAGACGTATGAGTCTGTTAATCTCGAGTGTGCATTGACTCATTGGGTGTTTGTTAGCACGCCAAAGCGTACAAGGCACTCCTACCTTACGTTACTTCACGGTCATCTCAGCTCACGCAGGAGTTTGCTTTCTTCCCCACTGCACCGCCACATGCCCAAGGCGGCATCTTCGAGCTTCGAAGCTACCAGTTAAAACCAGGAACACTACTTGAGTGGGAGAATGCATGGTTCGTTTCAACTGTTTTTGGAAGTCATGTCGTTCTTACAGAAGCTCGTGCAGGCGGAGAGGCATTGAAGCTCGTCGCAAGTTCGTCGCGCCCATCGGAGCTTGGTTCTCGCAGGTTGGAAGATTACACGAAGTGAACCACATGTGGCAATACCCGTTCGTTCACCAATAGATACTTCACGTTGATAGAACTAATGTCCTGCGAACAGGAGTCTCGAGGCAAGGAAAGAGCTACGTGAGAAGGCATGGCAGATTGACGGTTGGGCGGAGACTGTGTCCAAGGTATGTGGAACGACCTTTTCGTGACATCCATGTACTTACCGTAACACGTCGAACCGAGACTTCTCAGCTTGCAACGCACATGGATTCGTTCATTCTGCTCCCGCTCGTTTACAGCCCTTTGAAGTGAGGGCCCGTGCAGCCGAGCGGATGATGTTCCGCTCCGTCTACTTGGAGCAAATATTGCTCCTTAGCGAATCCGAACGAAGCCCGATCGGGCCTTAGGCTATCTCTTGTTCTATTTATATACTCCACCATACTAAGGACTTTGGACTCGCCATTCCAACTGTATTACCTTCAATACCTCTTCATCTAGTTGTTCATGCAGGATTCGCTATCCTCAATTGCTTTGAAATGGATAGCGCAATATTATTGCCGTGCTGTTTTTCTTTCACAGCATGAGAACCGCCAAATGCTTACTTAAACCTTGCTGAAAGCGGAGTAGGCGCGTCTTATTAATCCTTCTATAAACGCGACCTCTGAGACATCCTTCGAAACTCTCCTTTAATTGTCATGTCCGCTCACCAGTGGAACGAATCAGAGCCTTCTGACGAAGAAGTTAACCAAGAAACACTTGCAACTAGGAAGCGCAGTAGTAGAGGTGCGCCGAATCTGGGCACTTATTCGGCTTGTACTTGAATTATGTTAGCATGTGATCAATGCAGAAAGACAAAGAGCAAGTGCGAGCCATCCGGAGCAGCTGGTACTTGCAAGAGTTGTACGATAGCGGGAAACAGTGCGTAACATAAATGAGACATTGCATAATTTCAATTCACTCTGTTCGATTGTAGCATGTACATTTCTGGGTGAGCATTTTTTGCATGAGCGCCGGAGAGGAAGTCGATATTGTTTTCAGGTCCCAGCTATAAGCGTGGTCCTCCTAAGGGTTACATACAAGCAATCGAACAGCGATGGCATCAAGTGGAGTCCCTTCTTGGTGCCGTTCTCTCTTGTCCGGATACTCGAGTACGACAAGTCATAGCCGATATTAGGCAAGACGATCTTGCAAGGGAAATTCTCAATCGAGTAGACACAGGCCCATTTGTAAGTGCTGACGTACATTCAACAACCGAATAGAGCAAATTGTTGGATCCGGATCTGCAGGGACCTTCGGGCAGACTGTCCCAGCCAGTCGGGGCAACAAAAGAAGACTTCTTCGCATGTATATTCCGGAGTAACGAAGCTTCGGCCCGTGATTCTCCTCGTTCCCGAAGGCAGTCTAGGATTTCAAGAGAAATTGTGTCATCATCCAGAGGTGAGTAACCAGCCTTGGGGTACCTGAATGTCATGCAAAGCGCCTTCTATAGACAATACACTTTCAACCATACCGACTTCAGAGTGGCAGGATCGCCTGTCTGCGAGCCTGACGAGAGGACCTGTCGGCCATCATGGTGTTTCGCCAGCTTACAACCCTAGCGGAGCTCCTTTACAGCAACGGCGGCGGCTCGACGTACCATCAACTAGTAGTGGTCCACATCAGCCAAACTGGAATGAAATGTACACGATGGATGCACTTTCAGGTGAGCGTCTTATTCCATACGCCTTTGATTTGATCAGCAAATACGATCCTAGATTCAGAAGGTACAGATGAATCTCATGGCCCGGACACTGCTTTTGGTCAACTCTCTCTGGATGAGAATCAAGAGGTCAGCGAGCTTTGAAATTTGTATCTCTCGCAACCTATGCCCATATTCTTATATTAGGTTCGGTACCATGGAAAAGTTAGTGGTCTCCATCTTTTGGGACGTAGCTCCCGCTTGGATAGCAGACATGAAGGGGGAATATGGTTCGTTTTGTATTCTGATTCCTTCTATACGTAGTCACGACTGTGATGACAGGAAACTGCCTATGGCACGTTTTTGGCCCTCCGCAAAGCCCAATACAACTCCTGTTCCACCAGTCGAAGACGTTGTTGTCAACTTGCCTTGCCTTGCGGTGCAAGATCATTTAGTTGATTTATATTTCACTCACGCACACCCGGTTTTCCCTGTAATCCACAAGGGCCGTTTCCTGAGAGAGTATAGCGAGTGGTGAGTTCTGTCACTCTTGTGTTTATCTGTCGTTCTTCTGACCGTGACATAGGAGGCAAAAGTGAGCTTCTTAACAGGACTGTCATTGTCATTGAGTCCTTGCTTACCACATCGGCCAAAGTAGTAATCCAGCTACACCAGAGGCTGCCAGGGGCACTCCATACTACGCCAGTCCAGAACCTTCACAAAACTTGACAAAGCTGCTTCTGTTGGCTATATTTGCCATTGCCGCTCGTTATATGGATGATAACCCTGCTACATCTATTGATACGATGTGGGAGGCTGGCAATGACTACCTTGCACAAGCGAGAGCAGCTCTTGGTATATAATATTTTCGGTCTTGATTATGTGTGCTTACCAGTGGCACAGCGCAAGTCTATCACAGTTCTCGCGCAACTACTTGTCAAGCATTGCTTCTCCTGGGCCATCGTGAATTTGGGATAGGTTTGTGATTGAAGCAAATTGTTTGAACGGCATGTTTCTGAGTATCATCTAGGTTCCATGGAGCAAGGGTGGCTTTACATTGGTGTGTATGCGTCGTCGATTTACGCTCGCCCTGTCTCATGGCTTTCCCGTCGCAGGTATGGCGATTAGAATGGTTAGTATGATGAATACTTTGAAGGCAGGGTGCTTAGCTACGCGTAGGCCCAGGACCTCGGATTAAATCGTGCTGCGGATAACTGGCAATTTCATGGAAGAAAAATGTTCTCCCTTGAGGAGAACCAGGTCAGGAAGCACATATGGTGGGGTTGTTGCATTGCAGACAAGTGCGAAATCCGACTCTCTCCGGGAAGACGTTTGCACTAACAACTGCTCACAGATACACTTCTGTATATATGGGTATATCTCATACATCTCCTTTGGCGCACCTAACCGTTCCCCTTGCTAGGTCGACCCGTGTCTATCAGTGAAGGCGACTTTGATACACTTCTTCCAGATCCCGCTGAAGTACACTCAAACCTACGACATGTTAGTTATTGACTCACCTTTTCTTCTTCTGCAGTACGGCGAAGACATCTCCGGCGACCTAGTGACATCGCAGTACATATCGACACCGCTGACGATGAGCTGCTTCAGGGCTGCTGCAACACTATGTTCGTATGCCTTATCTGCAGACTATATGCGTACCTGATGGAGACGCAGCCGTTTTAATTGGTTCTATCGTGACAATGATTTATCCCGTTCGCTCAACGAGAAGGGGCTCGCGGCGGGCAGTCTTGAATAATCTGGAGTCTAGACTGGACCAATGGTACATCGACCTTCCTGATAATCTTCGGTACGACCCAGCTAGCAAGCGAAATACTCCGCCACTGGCGGTTCTCTTTATCCACATCCAATATTGGTCCGCAGTATTATTGTTACACCGAGCGTTGTACGTTAAACGTCGGAATATTCGATTTGTGACACTGATACCTCTACAGTATTCCTGATTGGAAAGGGTGATTCATGTGTCACCTTGATATCTTGAAGAGTTCAAGTCTGACCTTCTTAATCTAGCTCGGAACAGATATTACAGAATCCTGCCTCTGACACAGCCTCCATGAAAGCCTTCGATCTGTGCCAAAGTGCCGCCACTTATGTCAGCACAATAGGTATGTGTACTCGAGCTAAATTTCTTTGGTACACGCTGATTTCAACCTAGTAACGACATATCACGAGAACTTCAATATCAAATGTAGTTCACCGTTCTTATCATCGTATATTCTTAGTGCTGGGTGTGTTTTATCGTTTGTACGAGCAATTTGCATCTTCTAATCCCTAATATCCATCAGCATTATGCACATTGTGACATGCGAGTACTTTCCCTTGAAGGACATATGCCTTTCTGAATTCTCTTCCCTTACCAGTAACCCTTCGGCCATCAAATGTCCAGGCTTATATTGGCTTGCGACAATGTCTTGCCGTTTTGAAAGAGGTGCAGGTCAGCCCGAGCCACTATTGTCCATACCTAATCTTACGCTAGCCAAGACTACATGGCCTAGCGCCGGAAGAGCCTGGGATCTTCTTAATGGCGTCAGAGTGCAGGTGGACAGCAACATGCCACATTTGTTGCATGGCCCTGATCGTCAAAAGAGAGCAGCAGATGATGCGTTTGGAGAAAGGAGCTCTGACGTACTGCAGCGCGAGGCGTTTGGTGATGTTCTTCAAAGGGAACGTGCTCCGCAGAACAGCGGTATCCAGGAGATCAGCACCCGAATGATGGCGCATATGCTTGGCCTTGACATTCCTGGCATTGAACCCTCGACCTCGTATTACCCAGGTTACGAGTGGTGGCCACGAGCCAACCAGCCTTCACCTCAGTCATATCAGGGATCATCCACAAGTGGATCTTCGCTGATCAATATGGATTATCCTCTACCAGATGACCAAGACTGGAGAGTTCAAAATCCCACCTCCAACTATCCATACGAGTATCAGAATGCGCCACCTGATCGTTATCGTATGTAGTGGACTAATCACCTTTGTCTCCCTAGCGTAAAACGCCACCAATAATAATACATCGCCCCTCATCGCCTGCTCCTGTTACTCAATTAGAAGGTATAACATTGATTATGTAACTTATGTAATGGACCTACAAGAACCTCTAAATTGAACGATTGCAATTGTCTGCGAACCTATGTTTCGCCCTCAGAAATACTATGTCGAGCCTGAAAAATCTGTTGAACCCAAAAGATGACTCTGCAGACTTGTATCAGTATGTGCACCGGTTCTCGGATTTTTTTAGCGGCTTATTCTGACACCTCTGTTTGCTACCCCCTTTGTCTTCGCCAACAGTTCAACAACCAGACAACCTATTTCCGCGAGCTCCTCCTCTCCCACCTCAGACGACAGCGTCAACGCAACAATAGAATCTCCCCAATACGATCCACCATACAAAGAGCATGCTCCTCACCCCAATTGTCCCGACACTTTAGCCTGTCTTCCAGATACGGATGGGCGACCCCAGCACACTCTTCCAGTGATCTTGCGCTGTGCAATCCTTGGCAGTGCACGGAGACGTCTCACCATTCGCGAGATATATGCTGCCATGGAGGAAAAATATTTGTATTTCAGGACTGCTGGGCCGACATGGAAGGTCAGTGCACTAGGGTGTGATGGCTAAAACTTTTGCGTTCAAACTTGAATTCCAGCAATCTGTCCGCCATCACCTGTCTTTGAATAGATTATTTGAAAAACAGCCTCGTCCTGTCACAGATCCTGGCTTCGGTTCTTACTGGACAGTAAATCTTTCTGCTCCCCCAGGCACCAAGCGGCCACGGAAGCGGGGAAGACCTACAAAGGCTGCCGAGGATCCATCCAACTCCACTCAGCAGAAGAAACGGGGTCGACCTCGAAAATCTATTGATCTGTCATCTCCCCTGAGCTCGCTGGCTGTGGGCTCGGGACGTTCGATTCCGTCGTGCAACATTTCCGCCGTACGCACCAGGGGAAATGACCATGATGATGGAAATGGCGAGGATGATATGGATCTAGGTGCGGACGTACACGAGATAAGTGATGATGAATATGAGAGCGAGGAAGATATGGTTATTCCCCCTCATCAGTCATCCTTTGCCGGACTTGGCGCTTTTGGACTAAACGAGGCCCCTTCTCGTTTGCTGAGCCCCTCTATATCCCGTGCGCTGATTACCCACTCCGACGAAAATCTCGTGGACCGATTGCAGATTGAAATGGCGGGATTGCGCAGGCAGTCTGCAGATGCGATATCTGTTTCGGTAAAGATATCAGATCAGCTAGCGGAAGCTCAGGCTGAGGCAGCTAGAGCGAAGACTGCTCTCAGAACAGTCGAGGCGATGCTGGAGGGGGAGGTTATAAAGAGGAGGGAAGCTGAATATTTAGCAGACCAGGAAGCAAAGTTGAGGCGAGCAGCAGAGGACACGATTGCACGCATGCAAAGTCAGTGGCAGGCTGAGCATCGAGCTACATAAGGTATGTTCGTCCCTTCTTGTATTCATTTGATGTATAAATATTGACGCATCGCTCGTACCAGTAGCACATTTCAGATCACTAGCACCAACTTGAAAGCCGAACTCCTCGTCTACTCATTTTTCCTTGAGCACTGGAGTTTCCTTCTCCAGTTTTCAGCCACTTTGCACTAGGACTCATAAATGGACTCAACATATTCTACGAATCTTCTCTACTTTCTCAATTCATTGGTGCACATGAGTATTAGTCCGAACATGTATATATATGCCGCTTGCGATGGACGAGTAGTTCGAAAAGGAAATTAGAAGATACAAAACCAAATAGACTTGCAGAGTGAATTTTGTATATGCCCCGAAGTCAACCCGAAGTTACATGAGATGGCATCCACAGGTGGCAAATCCAGATTGAAAACAGTGTGAGTTCCTTTGCGTGCCGCCTCACGCGCTAGCATTCTGAGTTTCCGAGCAGCTATAAAAACAAGCGTTCTATTGGACCGCTTCATACGTGTGGATCTGTCGCGGTCTCTGGTGATGGGAGCAAACTCATCACTTGTGTTGCAGAGGAAGCTGTGCTCACCAATATTTTGACGGGCGAAGAAATATGTCGGTTTGCAGGGGTGAGTTATTCCACCCTCAATATGTTAGGACATGCCATGATTGATGACAATCTAGGACACTCAATCGATTACTTCGCTGTGCTTGACCCCATCGGCTTCGCAACTGATTGTATTCACTTCTGCTCCTTCTTTGCGTGTGTACGAGATCCCCACTGCTGCCGCAAGCAATAAAATACATCCCGTTCGAGTGGTTGCTCGTGCACATGATGCCCCCGTACACGTCTGCACCATCGATCCATCCTCCACATATCTTGCTTCGGGCTCTGCGGACGGTGTTGTCAAGGTTTGGGACATCAAACGTGGCTACGTCACTCACATCTTCAAAGGGCACGGCGGCATTGTGAGCGCGTTGAAGTTCAACTTCCCCCGAGACCCTTCTGTCGTGGTCTCACAAAATATACTCCAACTCATCACGGCCTCCGTGGACACTCGCATCCGGATATTTGATTTAACGGCAACCGCAAGCAAGGGGGATCAAGGTGCACTACGTCCGATCGCTGTTCTCGAAGGGCACGTTTCTGTTCCCCGGGGTTTGGACGTGACTCCTGACGGAAAATGGCTTATAAGCGGGGGAAGAGACTCTGTTGTTTTGGTCTGGAACTTGCACGCGAAGTCGATTGGAGCGAAATCCGCAGAAGCCACTAAGGGGAAAGGAAAGAGCAATTCACCTGTACTGGCTCAAACCATTCCTGTTATGGAACGCGTTGAGGCAGTTGGGTTGTTGCAGGCCGGGGACTTGGTTCCTAGTAGTAGTGCTTCCCAACTGCGTTTCTACACTGCTGGGGAGAAAGGTATCATCCGGATATGGAACGTAAAGGATTCATCCGTCTTATATTCCCTCAGCCAGGCGGCAGACCTACAGACTGAAGATCAAGAGGAGCAGCGTCAGATTGTAGAAGCTGTGTTAGTATAAGTCCCCTCGTGAGTACATTTGTCACTAACAGCACGCCTTCAGCTACTTGCCGTTAATATCGACGATCGTCTCGGTACACGCAGACCAGAATATCCTGTTCTACGACCTGAACACCCGAAATCTCCACCGGCAACTCATCGGTTTCAATGACGAGATCGTTGATGCGGTTTTCCTGTCTCCAAAATCTGTCGATTCTCACATTGCATTCGCTACAAATTCATCCCTCATCCGGATTTATTCAACTGCAGGGCTAGATGCGCGGCTCTTAACTGGTCACACCGAAATTGTGTTATCGCTTGACCATGGCGCGGGAGGCAAACTCTTTGCGAGTGGAAGCAAAGATCGCTCTGTTCGATTATGGGCGCCTGCATCTCCGAACGACAACCTGCCGACGGAGTGGGGCTGCGTTGCCATCTGCGAAGGTCATGCAGAAAGCGTAGGCACCATCGCAATGTCGCGAGCTTCCGGCGAAGATGGCACCACGGGTGTGCAATTTATGTTCAGCGGCAGTCAGGACCGCACGATCAAGATGTGGTATATTGGCGACGTGCCACTGGTTTTCGATGCCTCCCAGCATGGCCAAAAGCCTCATGAAATGCAAGAGTTTGACCACTCATAAAGCACACGAGAAAGACATTAATTCTCTCGATGTCGCACCCAACGACCGCCTCTTGGCATCTGGATCGCAAGACCGCACAGCTAAAATATATGAAATCGATTTTTCCCGTGCAACTGGAGACCGCTCTGCACACGGAGAGATCAAGCTACTGGGAACCTGTAAAGGCCACAAGCGGGGCATTTGGACGGTCAAGTTTGGTCGCTCGGAGCGCGTCCTCGCAACCGGAAGCGGGGATAAAACCGTAAAATTGTGGAACTTGGAGGATTTCACTTGCGTGAAAACGTTCGAGGGACATACCAACTCCGTGTTGAGAGTTGATTTCATCGATCACGGCATGCAGCTCGTTACATCAGCGTCCGATGGCCTTGTCAAACTGTGGAATGTACGCGAAGAAGAGTGTACGGCTACCATGGACAATCACGAAGACAAAGTAGGATTACTGGCTCTCTCATTTCAGTTGAAGTTAATCTACCTCCAGGTTTGGGCACTTGCCGTCAGCACGGATGAGCGTACGATTGTGTCAGCAGCAGCGGACTCTGTAGTGACATTCTGGCAAGATTGTACTGAGGAACAGGAACGAGAGGAGGAGGCTAAACGTTCCGAGCTGGTCTTGAGGTTTGAACGTCATCATGCATATCTTGTTCAAGCTCATGGTCTTCTTCGTCAGGGAGCAAGATTTCATGAACTATCTGTCCCTTCATGACTATCGTAAAGCTATACAACTTGCCCTCGCTATGCAACAGCCTGGAAGATTGTTATCGCTGTTTAAAGGCATTCGTGCTACCCCATCGGAATCCGCAGCTGATGCATCATCGGTCACTGGCAACAGCGCAGTTGATGAGGTGCTACGGACCCTCGGCGGGTCTGATCTTGCCCGCCTCTTACGCTATGTTCGTGACTGGAATCCCAATGCTAAGACAAGCGGAGTGGCGCAAGGGGTGTTGTATGCAGTCATGAAACTAAGATCGGCGGACGATGTCATAGCGGCATTTACGGACGAGGCTCAGGAAGGTATCTTACAATCCTCTGGTCAAGAGAGCGTGAAAAGTACTGCGAGCGGCAATACTGCATTGAAGGAACTCGTCGATGGTATGATTCCATACACTGAACGGCATCTATCCAGAGTGGACCGCCTTGTTCAGGATAGTTTCGTGGTGGACTATATCCTGAGCGAGATGGATGACGGAATGTTTGATGGTCAGGAGGTAGATACTATGGACATAGATACATATGAGGTTAGTTCATAGATAACTATCAAAAGTAGTCTAGTCTTTGACATAATCACCCGTTTTGGTTGAAGTATGTAATTTAATACGTCCTAATTGGCAACCAATGACGCCGTTAGAAACAAGCACCCATTCATCATCCTTGATACTATTAAGCGTGAGCTCGTCCTCTACTGCTTCAAAAATGCGTTGTTGCTCAATAAGCCATCGTCGCAGAACACCAGATATGCAACCAGCGGCCAAAAAGCGGGGTGACCCAACGACGGTTGCGATAGAATGCAACATTACACACGGATGACTCAGTGACAACATTTCGGGTATTGTACAGGATCACATCATCAGGTGCATCGTTGGCCGGTGGATCCAACGAGCCTAGAGGTTGGAGGCCAGCTCGTATACGTGCGTCATCATAGGCCCGCCTATCTGTTGTCTTCAATGATATGGTGTCTGATGTTGGTTGGGTATCGATATGAATGGTGAGGGCGAATGCAGGGGGTAAGTCTGTTATGGGATTGAAGAGAGATGGTAGGGTTGGATCGCTCGTGAACTCTTTCACCGGGGTTGCAGTAGCAGAAAGCTCTCCAGAAGGATTCAAAACGACGCGAACCTGGCGTGAGACCGTAAGTTAGTTGTTTCATAAATCCCGTGTTAAATGTCACCACCTTCAACGCAATTTCTCCCCTAAAATCATTATGCTCACGGACAACCTTGTCGCATAACGCCTTGACATTGGACAAAGTGGTTCCGTGACGGAAAGCCTTATCATTGAGTGCGGCAGACGCGATGAGACGGTCTGCTTGGTAATGAAGGAGAAGATAAGGTGATGGCCCATCTAGATCATTGTTCCAAACGCATGATAACAAAAAGGGGTCATATCGTGTGGACGCAAGGAGGGCATATGACATCGTGAAAAGTACTCCGGATAGCTGGTCACCAACTGCTGGCCTGGAAATCGACGAGTCCCGGGCCTGTTGAGTTGATTCCGAAGCTTATCTAAGCCGGGCCCCTGCTCATTTACGCACGGGACGAATCGGACCAACGAACAGATCCGAGCAGCGAATATTAACAATCTTATAACGTAGCGAGGCTCGTTCAAAAATTACCCTCAGGTGCAGACTGCTGAAGAGGATGCAGTAGTATCGTCGTAAGGTGATCGTGATCTATTGCATGGCACGGAGTATACGGACTGTACGGGGTAAATAGACAGCAATACGAACCACAAGGGAATAAATGTAAACTAACTGTATACTGCCAGAAATGATCTATTGCATGTCCTCCTGCATAATAAATTAGACGAGCAAATCAAAAAGGTGATATGGGCACTGACTACCAGCGCAGACACCACCAATGCAGACAAGTGAGTGGTTTACTTGCCACCAGTGGTGCCGAGACCCATCGACGCCTTGAAGGAGTCGTAGATCCACCATTGGAAGCCTTGATTAGTGCGTTGGTTAGCTATTTTGAACAGAGTACGATGCGCACGTACCGGTAAGAGTACCGATCATCAATACACGGGTGCCGAGACCCTTGGTTGCAAGTGCAGCGAAACCAGTTTCTGACGCGATCGTGCCAATGCTCTTGCCCTTGTTTGCCGGCTTGCCCATGAGGGAGACGACGGAGTCAGCTGGGTGGGAGACAATAGCACAGACAACACCAGCGAGGTAACCAGACGCAAAAGTAACTCCGAGTTGAGTAGTCTTGGCATAGGACTCCTTGGGTTCGGTGAAAACGTGAGTGTAGAAGACCTGGACGATCTTCTCAAAGAAGAAGAACTTGGCCATGGTGTAAGGGATCTGTAAGAAAAAGTTGTGAATAGTGAAATCAGAAAAGAAGACGCTTATTCTAACCTGTCGGGACCAGAGGGGAACAAGGGAGCCGAAGGGGTAGCGGGTCTCAACCTTGGTCTTGCTCATCTCCGCGAGGGCAGCACCAAAGGCGGTAGGGAACGTGCCGCTAGGGCTGGTTTGGATCTTAACTTTTGTCATCTCGAGAGGGCAAAGTGCGATGTCTGCAAAGACCTCTGCCGAGGCGGAACCAGCGAGCCAGATGGCGGGCTTGTATTTGTTAGAAAGCTCCTCGCCAGCCAAGTTCATGTACTGGTCCTTGAACACTTCATAGAGACCGTACTTGAACATGCCCTGTAACGAGTAACCGACAAAGGTGGGACCAAAGCCTTTCCAGATACCGGTCTGACCCTCCTCACGAAGGAGAGTCGCGAGACCAGACGAAAGACCCTTGTATTTTGCAGGATTTACCTGTTCGAAAAAGCTATGAGACACGACACGAGGCCTGGAAGGACTGGACAAACCTGCATGTTACACTTGGCCACGTCAAGAGGCGTGATACCGGCATGGGTGATACCGCATGCAAGGACACCACCGAGCATGCACTTGGCATAGTATGAAGAGTCGTGGGGGACAGGGCCAAGGTATCTTCAAAAAGCACGAAATGAAAACCAACTCTACACGCTCCGCATGATATGAGACAATAAATACCTTGCGTCCCACTTGCCAGTTGGTGCTAGATGCGACATTGCTAATATTTTATGAGACTCTAGTCAAATATCTATAGAGGTCCTTGATTGAAGGAACCTGTCCCAGCAAGCGCGAGCTGTGAGGTCGAAGTAGGAGAAAGAGGTGCACAGACATCTTGCCGTGTTACCGCGAACCAAAATTTAACTCTCTTTCCGCAAACAGCCGATCGAGCCGTAATTCTGCTCGGCTCTCGGGTAGCAAAGACTTGTGCTTGGACCATTGGTATTTAAAACCAGTACTTAGCGCTCTTGCTCATCATAAGCACTGTAATGATCTAGAGCTTTACACAAATGAACATTTGCTGCACATCCGACCTGTTAGCATCTGCCGGATTGAGCAGCCAACGCCAAACCGCCGGGAGTAAATAAAACATTTCTCACTACAATGGCCACAGCAACGGTTCAAGGCGCTGTTCCCGAGCATCATGCACCTACCAAAGCGAATGGAGTGTGCAAAGATTCCATTAACCCTACCTGGCTTCCCACTCAAGTAAAGGACGTCATATTGAGAACCAATTTCTCCTTTGATACGGTAGAGGAGTCGCTGGACGCATTCGCGCGGGGTGAAGCCATTGTTGTCATGGATGATGAGCAAAGAGAGAACGAGGGCGATGTCATTATTTCCGCAAGTCAATGTTCCGTCGAAGCAATGGCATGGATGATCAAGCACACGAGGTATGACTCCTTTGCACTCATACATTCTGTCTTCACCTCCATTCTAGCGGGTACATCTGCATATCTCTTCCTGAGGAGCATCTTAACAAGCTTGAAATTCCCATGATGGTCCCCAACAACCAGGAGAGACACAAAACCGCTTACACCGTTACCGTAGACTATAAACACGGTCTGTTTCAAAAAAAAATCTCGGGCTATGTCATGTATTGATGTAATCTCAAGGCACCACAACAGGGATTTCCGCCTATGACCGATCACTCACCGTGCGCAAGTTAGTGGACTGCACCTCGAGGGCGTCTGATTTCAGCCGCCCGGGACATATGGTACCCTTGCGAGCACAGCAAGGCGGTATTTTGGAACGCAGGGGTCATACGGAAACTGGTGTCGATTTATGCGCCCTCACCAATCAACCTCTAGGGGGTGTATTATGCGAGCTAGTGAATGACGATGTGTTTGGAACCATGGCGCGGCGCGATGATTGCAGGGCATTTGCGGATCGATGGGGCCTGAAAATGATCAGTGTAGAAATGTTGGTGCAGTACAGGGAGAGCATGGATAATACATTATTATCATATGATGGCAGCATGTATTGAATTTGGGATAATTGTACGATGTACACTAGTGTCTAGAAGCAGCTAGGCTCTAGAAGCTCACTAGTTACTTCCGGACTTCCCGACTCTAGCCGAGAGTATTCGCGTCACAATACGTCACACTTCCTTGGTCACACTTCCTGTGTCACGGCGCGATCAATATAAATCACTGCGTAAGCTGCGGGCGCCCCACCAACTCCTCTTGAACGCTACCATGTTCACAGTGAAAGCAACTTATAGAAACGAGACTCGCAAGTTCTCTTTCTCAGGGACTGACTTGTTTCCTACATACGAGGAGCTTCACCAGCAGGTATGCTTAGTGCTCTTCCCTTATCTGTTCTCACTGCTGAAGCGCTGACGTTTCGCCTTTGCAGCTGTATCGCATATTTCCTATAAGCCATAATTATTATCTTTCTAAGCTCATTTTCTCTCCTGACGCGTCTAAGCCGTCTCGTATTTTGATTGGAAAGGAAGTCCATAACGCAGAGGAGTACAGCACTCGTATTGCCCCTTTACGCAGGCGCTGGCCCAACCCATTGCTCAGGTTCTCTATCTTCGACGAGACTCCCCACAAAGTACCCAGTGCAACGGTCGAGGATTCTCTGGAGGTTCCCAGTCCTTTATCCTTTATGGCGATTCCCCCGCCTCCTACACTTTTCCCGACTCCTGCACCTACTTCATCGTTCGATACACGTTCCCAGGAGTTTCTTTCATTCAAAGCGGCTCATCTACCGCCACCTTCTTCTAGACCACTTCCTACTCTTGAACGTCCTAGCGTCTTCACGCCTCCAATCTCACCTTCGTTCACTCCGCCGCCACCACATATCATATTCCGAGAGCCACCTGCGCATCCCTTGATTCCAAGTCTTCCTTCTCTCTCGCCCCAAGGAGCCTCTCAGCCATGTTGCTCAGTCGCCAAAGGGAAGTCGGAGATGGAAACTCTCTTGGCATCTTTCAAGAAAGATATCGATCGTATCATGCTCAATACTTTTGGCGAATGCAATGCTTCAGCACAAGTCGATACATCTCATCGCCAGAACCCCTTTGGAGCAGAAATATCCAACGAGGCATCGTGCAACATAACGAACGTCTCAATGGAGCCTTCTTCATCACATAGGTGTTTCGCCTGTAGGAACGAGTTCTCTGGAAGCTGGTACGGATGTGTGAAATGCCCGTGGCACTATGTTGTAAGAACTTTTTGCCAATGTCATTTGCTTAGCTCAACTATCTGGTAGTGTCCAAGCTGTTTCTCCAAATCTGGCGCTATGCACACGTTGAGTTTTGGGCCAACTCACGTTGTCCAGCGACGTGAATCTGCGCCGTCGGAAATATCCAACGAGGCCCCTCATACTTCGTCAGAGGCATCGTGCAATACAACGAACGTCTCAATGGAGTCTCCTTCATCACATTGGTGTTTCGTCTGTAGGAACGAGTTCTCTGGAAGCTGGTACGGATGTGTGAAATGCCCATGGCACTATGTTGTAAGAACTTTTATTTTGCCAATGACATTTGCTTAGCTGAACTATCTGTTAGTGTCCAAGCTGTTTCACCAAATCTGGTGCTATGCACCAGTTGAGTTTTGGGCCAACTCACGTTGTCCAGCGACGTGAAGCTGGGCCGTCAATTGCCATCACACCGTCGGCCGTGGAAATGCCCGCAGAGTCTCAGTCTACCGGAACTGAGCTTGTTGATACCGAGCCTAATCAACGTTCGCCTGTCGTTCACCGAAATATTGTTTGTGACAGCTGCAACGAAATCATTGTTGGCGTCAGGCGTAAATGCCTGGATTGTCCTGGTAAGATTATATGATCCAATGTTACAACGCAATATCCTTATATATTCTCCATCCCAGACTATGATCTATGCACGCCCTGTATCGAGTCAGGTGCTGCAGAGAGGCACAACTCGTTCCATGAATTCTTCGACATTGAAACGCCCGGACGAGTGTTTGTCCACACGGTCTTTAGTGGAAGCGGGGAGCGTGATGCTTCCCCAAATAGTCGTAATGCTACAGCAGATAGTCCTCACACTTTCGCGACGACCCCAGAGACTATTCGTCATTGCGCGGCTTGCAACATGTGTGATTCTCCTATTGTTGGTGATCGCTTCGTGAGTCTGCTTTCTTTATCCCAGTTCCTTACCACTCATGATTACCTAGAAATGTGTCAATTGTCCAGGTAAAACACACTTCTGGATCATCTTAGAGTGCTAATGAATGCTTGAAAGACTTTGATACTTGCGCCAATTGCTTCAAGTACGTGTTCTATTACAAAGCATGGTCAGCATTGACACCTTGGTGATCAGGATTACCGGAGAGCAACATCCCTATCACGGCTTTGTGCGAGTGAGCAAGACGAGCGACCTTATGGTAACTGTTCTCTTTCTTGTGAAGAGAAACCCGTCTCACAAATATTCAAGATGCGCAATGCAGTGACCAACATAGCTACTCATTACGCGACGTGTGATTGTAAGTTCTGTCCTATTGATTGCGAGCATTAAATAATCGGCTACGTCATCAGCCTGCCGGAGGACCATTCGTGGTGTCCGTTATAAGGTAATCACTTCTCGGGCATCGTTGATGATGATGTTTCTAACGATTGCATTTTGTGTAGTGCATGCACCCTAGCTGTCCTGATTTCGACCTGTGTCAGAATTGCGAAGCCCTCCCTATCCCGGTCCACCCTTCCATTCATCCGTTGTTGAAGATGAAGACTCCTGACACTGTTGTTCCTACCGTGTACAGAGTTGGGGTGACTAATCTCATCCATTCTCGAAGGACATCCCAGGGGAGCACCCTTCCCCAGACTTTGGAATCTCGACCTCAGAAATCTCCGCCCGTTTCTGTATCACGTACCTCCTCCGAGATTTCTGTGAAAAAAGAACAGGAGCCGTCTCTTGTCGTTCCCGAGTCTCTGAGTCCTCTAGCCGTTTTAGCACAGTGCTCCGACTGCGTCAGTGCAAACTCTGTCGGCCCTTGGGGTTATGGTCTAACTCCTGCTAAATCACCCCAATTCCCGCAGTCTCCCGCCCCTAACTGCGAAGAACCTTCCTCGTCTCCCACCCAATTGAGTGTCAGCTCTTGCTACCAGGCGGTCAGACCAGTTGAGGTCAGTGCAACACTTGTTGGCTCTTGGTGTCGTTTCTGAATGTTCCTAAATTACCACAGTCCCAGCAGCCTTCCGCTGTTGACCGTGAACAATCAACCTCACCTTATAGTAATTCGGCCCAGACGATCAATCGACCTTCCGCTGAGGTGAACTCGCCACCCCTCGACCTGAACCCTTCACTTGATATCTTTCGTGAAGTTTGGCCAAAAGTGAACCGGGAAATGAAACACCTTGCTGAAGCAAGACGATCCGAAGTAGATTTTCCTAGTTCTGTGGCTGACTCGGATAAGGCTGTTGAAACCAATCTGGGCAAGCTGGCGGAATCTACAAATTCTCTCTTCAAATCAATTCGCCCTGAAGAATCTGCTGAGTCCACTCCTCAAGGAAGTGTCGTCTGTTATCCCGACATTGTCCTTTGATGTTCCGCCGATGGTAGAGCCACTCTTTTCTGCGGACAGGGATCTTGCTGCACTTCTACGTGGTTTCCGCACACCATCCCCTGTCGCTTCTGAAGCACCCGCTCCATCCGATACAACTTTCTCTGCACTCCCTGATAGCGTCATGGATGAACAAGCGGCTGCTACGCCCAGCCCAGAACAGCAACAGGCCCAAATTACCCCTCTCAGTTGTGCTTTTGTGTCCGATACGACAGTTCCTGACGGTCAGATTTTTCCACCTGGTGCTGAGTTCGTTAAGTCCTGGCGGATGTTAAATGATGGGGAAAAGCCTTGGCCAGAGATGACTGAGATTCACTTCGTTGCGGGGGAGTCTTTTTCACCCGAAGCTGACTCTTCGATGGTTGTCAAAGTAGGACGCGTTGATCCGGGAGAAGCTCTTGATGTGTGGACCAGTGACCTAAAGGTTCGTTCGTCGGGTCTGCCACAATCTGTAATCGCTAAATTTCCTATCAGGCACCCGATGTTCCTGGTAGATATGTTAGTTACTGGCAATTGACGGACGGCGCAGGCCAAAGGTTTGGCGCTAACATTTGGATCGAGTACGTTCGGTTCTCTGTCTCGCTGCACTTGAATTAATGCCTTTCACAGTGTCACTGTCACCGAGCCTCGTCAGTCAGCTGATGAAGCTGACGATCATTCTTTGGCGTCATCCTCGATGATCATGCCAAAGTCATCATCGGACGACAGGTCTGCTCATTCTGTTGGTCCCCTTGGTCACCTATTTGAACCATCATATCCCTCGACATCCAAACCTACGACGGACGGGACAGATGATGGGGCCTCTGATGGGTCGTCAGTATCGTTGGTCAGCGTCCCTTCGTCTGATGACTATGGATCCGACTGGCAAGGATACGCATTCCCAACCTGAGAACCTTGAGTACGTTGTGCTGTACGACAGCAACGACTCAGAGGATGAATAAATATTATCGATAACTCTGTTTGCTTTCTATTTACGATGTCTTTATGCAGCGGCAGATCCGCACCATCTTATTATCGTGTACTATTACAAGCTATCTGAATTCATATCGAAGAGAAGAGAAATGATCCGCACAAATACCTAGCATGCCCAAGAAACGCTACTCCACTTGCCGAATTTCTACCGCAGTACTAGATGTCAGTTGGTCAGCAGAACGTATCAGCGCAGTCAAGGAGGATAACCAAAAGTCTGGCCCAAAGGCACAGTAAGGGATATGAACGGAGAAAGAATGCGAACTATAGAGAAGCCTTATCAACAAGGTCAGGTGGCAAAATGAGCTCTATCTGAATCATATGAGCGTTGTGGCGCATTGCTGGCAACTTCCAAGTGGCTCATTGCAAGACGAGACTGTGATACAGCCGTGGACGGCTTCGGAGCCCGAACCGTCGTACATATGCCGTGTTCGGGATGAAGAAGGCGGCCCTTTCTTCGGGCTGCTTCAGGCTTGGCGTGGAAGGGCAACAGCCTAAGCCCTACTAAGGATACAAGTCTTATGAAGTGTCAAGACTCGGTCTTCCGTCTCCCTGGCTCTGAGGGTCGAGGCTTAGGTCTATTTAAATTCCGACGGGTGGACTGGATTGCCAGCACTCTCCAGGCCAGCTCCTGTCATCGAGTTGGCTACTCCCGGCGCTCACTGGCATGCAGCATGTCCGGCGAGAAGAAATTCTGGCCGAAACTTGCGATCTCCTTTCCGAAGGACTGTCCCTCACGAAACCCCACGAAAACGCTCTGATACTCTGGGTGACAGCAAGATCTCCAATACGACTCTCAGTCCCGTTATCGTCCCAGTGTTCGAAGTGGAGCCACGTAAAACATCCCAACATGTCACTCATACTGAAAACGTGCGATCCTTTTCAACGGAAGAGTCATGTGTGTCACATCCACAGAATTCTTCGGCGAGCCATGGAGGCAACTATGACACCAGCTGGAGTGCTCAGACGGGTTGTACTACTCCAGGCACTACTAGTAATTTCGGCACTTTTTCTGGTCAAACAGTTTTGCCTGCCGCCTACCCTGGAAAATGTTCTCCTAGAATAAGTGGAGATCTTGAGGGAAGGCTAGGCAATGCATATCGCCACATTCAAAACATGCCCCCCTCGCCGATATCACCCGCTATCAGTCAATTGACTGGCGATCCTCGCACTTATCAGAAGCAATTAGGAGTGCCCCAACATTCGGTCATCAACCAACCAACGCTGAAGATGCCCAGCCTTCCGAATCCTCATGCCACGCATACAAGATCACATTCACAACCCCTTCCGTCATCGTCCCCCTTTGAATCTCTACCTACGTCATGGACTTGGGATGATGCACCTGAACCGAGTAGTGCTGCGCAATTTCATCATGCTCAAATCAAGGCACATTATCACCAACCGCCTTCATTGCAAATCGATATTAATGACCGTCCGATAACGCCTTCAGTTCATTCCTCCCAAACATCGCCCACCATGATCCTCGGTCCCGTAAAGCCCCATCCCGTCGGTGCCGTCGCGCCGTTGTCGCCGCAGCCAGAAGATGGTCATATTACATCAGAGTTTCCCCTTCGAAGGAGGTCAAAGCTGTTCAAGCGACATTCAGTAGCATTGTCGCATGTTTCAAGTTCATCCCAATTGTCAAACCGCATTACCTCGGAGGAGACTCGTACCGCAGAGGATGGCCATATCACCAGATGCCCGCTTCAAAAGAGGTCAAATTTGATCAAGCGATGCTCATCATTGGTTTCTCATGTCTCAAGTTCATCCCCCTCACCATCATACCACATTGTGTCAGAAGAGACTAGTACCCCCTCCATCATCCAACCAAGAATCAAACTCCGATAAGGACGTCCGCAACCAAAGTCTTCTACCACTCGTTAAGCCTTCATCGCCACTACGGCTAGACATAGTGAGTACACGCACCAAGTGCACCAAGTGCACCTTGTCCATCATTGACTCATCACCTTTTAGCCGATACATCAGCCATGGCACGATCGGCGAACAAACTTTGAGTTATCACCCATGCGGAGAAGACCCCACAGTAGTGCATCCATTGCCTTGTCAGCATCAAGCATTCAAAAGGCCAGTCCCAGCACTGAAGCACTTGCGTCTTTAGCATGGATTGGTGCGTCTCCAAGGAGCACTTCTGTTTCGACATCTTCTGGCAATTCGCATTATACCCGATCAAGCGCTGTTCCGACCGACGAAGAGATCAATATATCCATGGCAATGGACGAAAATCTATCAGATGAAGCTGTTGTGGAACATCTCGAAATCATACGGAAACGGAGTCGCAAGGGCAAACATCGGTCACTCCCTATCCCGAGGGCCACTAGCCATGGTTCGGCTAGCATATCACTTTCTAAGCAAAGATCTAGCCATTTGTTCCAACTCGGAGATCAGTTCGCCAGTCATCCAAGTTCGCCACGTCGATCGGAAGAGTCCGAGTCCGTGACGCCGTTACCTATAATTTTGGATGATGCCGAGTCGGACTATTGACGACGCTGCGCTCTGGAGTACTGCCAGAAAGGCATTGTTTTGCATCCGAGAAATCGTCGGGACAGAGAAAAAATACCAAGGAGCCCTCAAGATGCTCCTGACAGGACAGGTTTGTCACCAATATGACGTCTCAAGGGAACGTTGTGACTGAGGTGATATATTTAGACAGCGAATCAACCACCTCCGCAGTTGTTAACATACCTTCCTGACCTCATACGAGCATCAGAGGCGTTGTTGAAGGCCTTCCTTGATGACCCCTCCGCTTGGGGCGTATCCATCGCCTTCATGGCTTGCGAAGATGATATTGAAGCTGCTATGGTTTCATGGTGCAGAGTGGCAGGCAACTTCTTTACTGATGGTCGCAGCCACGAAGGCGAGTCAGCCATCATGGGAGGGAAATGGCGTCTGCGCAAGTCTCTGCTCTCCACCACAAACAATCCTCTCACCACTGTGGTCGAGAAGTCAAGTGGAAACTCTTTTCCCGCTAGTTCCTCTCCTCCCCGTCTTCTAACTCTAATGAATGAGGCAGGGAGTAGGATTAGAGATAGACAACGGACTGTTGAACACTATTGGAAGGTGTCTGATGACGGTGATGCCAAGTCCCATGCAGAACGACGTCCTAGAGTCAACTCGGTCGACGGTCGATCAAGGGGAGAGCCTCTGACTCGAAGGCAAAGTGTACGGGATCTTGCAATTCAACCAACCCAGCGAGTTATGAGATATGTTTTGTTGTATCGAGGTATGTTCTGTTCTCATTCCACGATTTCTCGTTTAATCTTGCGAGGATAGATCTCTTGGAGAGTACACCTCTCACTTCTCCTTCCCGCGCTCTTGTTGAGAGAGCACTCGAAGCTGCGACCCGCATTGCTAATAAGTGCGACCATGCACAAGACAATGCTGCCTTTTTCCATAGATAGAATGTTTTGCATCCTATATTTATTCTTCAATAGTATTAGCATCGAATAGCTGCGCCGATTTGTACCACACACTGCAACTGTTATACCCAGCAATCATCTCATTGATATGTAACATAAGTCATCTTGCTTTGTTGTTCTCGTAGTTTCTGATTATCCTATGGGAGCTAATGCTCATTCGAGCAAAATTCACTCTAATGCACTGACAATCACAACATCTCGCCCCATGACTTCAGTTCGGATGTGTTTCAAGGAGGGGATCTAATGTGACCTGAGGTGAAAACCCATGATCCTGCATGAACGCATCCTTTCTCGTACCTGTGTAGCCGAGAGTTTCTTGCCGTAACCAACACCATTGTCACCAATCAGCGTCGGAGCAATTGTGACGATGATGATATTAGGCTTGGTGCGTGCAGGTTCCGCCAAGAAAGAGTCGATAATGGTCGCACCTCCTTCAACCATGAGAGTCTTGATTCCAAAGTTATAAAGAACCTTCAAGAGGTCTGGGATCATGATGAAACCTGGAGATATTCATATGACCTGCGCAAGACAGCAAAGAACATGACTCACCGTCCACCGAGGGCACGCCTATCACTCTTGCTCCAGCGTCCTCGAGGGCGGCTTTTCTTCCACCATCGGAGGTCAAATTAGCATCGCATATTACCCACGGACGGCGACCTTTTCTTTCCCGATAATTTTTGAGCAGCTTGCAGTCCGGTCTAAGGCGTAGGTTTGCGTCGAGTATCACAGGACGAGGCAGATGGCTTGGCCGTTCATCCTCAGGGATGTGACGACCTTGTTGTACCTACATAAGTCATATGCACAGATGGGAATTGGGACATACTATTTAGCTGGGGATCGTCATTTAGCGCAAGTACCGATGCCAACTAGGATGGCATCGTGCTTGGTGCGCATCCTTCCTTGGCAATAGTAAGGGATGGATATATGTCAGTTTCAGATCAGTATCATACCAATGAGTCATGAGCATGCTTTCTCTGCCGCTGAGAATAAGCTGTTTTCCCTCCTTGCCTGCTATCTTCCCGTCAAGAGATTGAGCGAATGTGAGGGTCACTAAGGGTCGCTGAAACTCATCCTCCAAACGACTATTACCAGGTGCTGGTAATACCGACGAGAGGAACTCCGCTACACTTTGACCACCCACCAACATCATGCTTAGCAGTCAATGACTCAATCTGATGAAACCTTGAAGTTAGGATCCGGTCAAGATCTGGTAGGAGATGAAATGAAAATTAAGCACATCTGTGTCACGTGATGCGTGGAGGCCATTAAACAAACGCGAAACGCGTGCACAGAAACAAACAACCCTTCCTTCTTCACCACCACAATCAATCTTCGCAAGCGTCGAAGTAGGGCTCTTCATTTTCTTTAGTCAACCCTTATCACACTCCTGAAGCATGTCTGGTCGCGGAAAAGGTGGCAAGGTGCGTAACTTTGAGTCAGGTTCTAACCCACAGAGCTCACTATGTTTGGGACAATCTGTAGGGCCTCGGCAAGGGCGGTGCTAAGCGCCACCGGAAGATCTTGCGTGACAACATTCAGGGTATCACCAAGCCCGTATGTCCTTCCGCCTGTGTTCATCATGTCAATTGCACTCACTCTTTATCCGTAGGCTATCCGACGCCTGGCACGTCGTGGAGGTGTCAAGCGTATCTCCGGTCTTATTTACGAAGAGACTCGAGGTGTACTCAAGATCTTCCTTGAGAATGTCATTCGTGACTCCGTTACCTACACGGAGCATGCTAAACGGTGAGCCTTCCTTTGCCCCGTAATCGTATCACTTCTCGCTAAGCTGTTAACGCGCACACAGGAAAACCGTTACCGCCCTCGATGTTGTCTACGCTTTGAAGCGCTCAGGGCGCACACTTTACGGTTTCGGTGCATAATTAACCGTGTTTGTATGGGAGCATATTTCTGTATTGGAGCGTAACTCCTTGTTGGTATCGATATTCTTGTATACTACATAGTCTTATACTCGGCTCGGATCCTCTTATCATTCCTCCACGACTCCACCAAGGGCACCCTTCCACGATTCTATACAATGACCCCTCTATTTGTCTTGTCATGGCTTGTGACCCCTCACGAAGTTTCAAGTCTGCTGCGAAAGTCTAGGATTACCTAACGTAAATGCTGCGCTGCGGCATAGTGGATTCCTCGCGATTTTTAATTGAAGTTGTTCGTAGAAATCGATATCACTCTTGACTTATTGAACACTCCAATGATATCCAAAGACGTTAAACAAGTTGAGGAGAAAGATATCGTGGCACAGAATCACGAAGAGGACGACGTGGAAGAGGATGACGTTGTAGATGACACTCCAGGCGCCGGAGGTGAGCCAGTTGAAGGTGATCTCGAAACTATCGTCATATGTTATTCAGAGGAGACCAAGAAAAAGAAGAAGAAGAAGAAACCTAAAAAGAAAAAGGCGCAACAGTCAGATCCGCCACGAGTTGGTCTGTCGAAGATATTCACGAATGGTGTCTACGCAGAGGGAGAGATACAGCCCTACAAGGACGAGTGGGTATTGCAACCAGTAAGTTGTACCCTAATAAGATTGACAACGTCTTGTTTACAGCAATGCATGGAGGACGACGTCCGAAGAGAAGCGCTACGACGAAAGAATGGCAATGGAAGACCCAGAGATCACGTACCAGAGCATCCGTCGTGCTGCAGAAGTCCATCGGCAGGTCCGACAAAGCGCACGGAAACACATACGTCCCGGTATGACCATGACCGAAATTGCAAACTTCATCGAAGATGGCAGCCGTGCCCTGGTCGAGGAAAACGGACTGGAGTCGGGCATTGGTTTTCCGACTGGACTCAGCTTGAATCATTGCGCTGCTCATTACACACCAAACGCTGGTGACACTAATGGTGTGTATGCGTCAAATTGATAGAATTTGCTGCTTACGGATGGTAAGTTCTTCAAAGTGGTGATGTTTTAAAGATCGATATAGGAGTGCACGTGAAAGGACGCATAGTCGATTCTGCTTTCACGCTCAATTTTGAGCCTACTTACGACACGCTCATTGAAGCAGTAAAGGCTGCTACTGATACCGGTATTAGGGTAAGCCAAGTCCAGCTTTACATGTTCGACTGCAGTTCACAGGGTTATGTGTAGGAATCTGGTATCGATGTGCGCTTGGGCGAAATTGGAGGTGCCATCCAAGAAACTATGGAGTCATACGAGGTTGAGGTCAACGGAAAAATATATCCGGGTATTTATCTTTCGTCCAGTGTTTGGGACTCCTTTGACACGTTTCCAGTCAAGTCGATAGAAAACCTTAGCGGGCATTCTATAGGACTTTACCAGATACACGGCGGGAAATCGGTTCAACTCGTGAAGAACGATGATCAGACGAAAATGGAGGAGGGCGAATATTTTGCTATTGAAACCTTCGGCTCGACAGGTCGTGGACGTGTGGTTGAAAGCGTAGGCTTGGCTTGCGGATGAATTCGTTAGAGGCTGATTCCGTTGACAGGGCGAGTGCTCGCATTACGCCAAAATCATCGACGCTCCCCGCGTCCCCCTAAGGTTAGTTTTTCTTCTTGCTGCAATCTAACAATTATTGACGTCTATAAATTACAGACTAACTTCTGCCAAGTCGCTACTCAAGTCAATCGGCAGTAACTTCGGAACTCTTCCATTTTGCCGACGGTACTTGGATCGCGTTGGTGAAACCAAATATCTACTGGCGGTTGGTTACACGACTTGCTAGGCAATACATCGTTAATTAATTTTCCCCAACATTAGCTTAACCATCTAGTGCAACAAGGAATCGTTCAAGACTACCCACCACTTTGTGATGCCAAGGGCTCCATGACCGCGCAATTCGTAAGCCTTTTCAATTTCTGGTCTCGAACCTAGTGTCTCAACGTGACAAATAGGAACATACAATTCTTCTTCGACCCACTGTTAAAGAGGTTATCAGTCGAGGTGATGACTATTGAATATGTAAGATACTACTTATGCACGCCAATCTTATTTTCCCGACCGTCACATCTACCAAAGTCTCCCAAGCCGTTTTTCAGTCCACAGGTAGATTGTTTGGTATGACACCCTTTGAACCGCTTGCGTATGCATTACCAAGGTCACCGGATATGTCTTGTAGCGCTATGTACAGTTCGGCCTTTTGTGCCGATACAATCGGCGCTTCCAACTTGTCATTGTCAGCATCATTGTGGATTACTCGGTCACGTGATCACCGATTCGGATGATATTCGTCATGACTCTGAGCCAACAATGTTGGAGCACTCAACAACTTGGAGCGGCAGCTGCGGCACCGTGAAGTTACAAAAGGACGGTCGTCCTTGTGTGTTATAATCACCACACATCCAGCATACATCCAGCACTCTGTCGTTCTATCATACCAACGGATTTTGACACCCCCTATTAACCTCCATCTGTTTGACCACCCGTCTGAAGTTGTAGTGTTGCCCATCGAAGATGTTTCGGGATTCATTGCGACTTCTATATCATGGCGACAATGCTACTTCGCCCACAATAACAAATAAACCATCGACGATAGCTCTTCTACGGGAATTTGACTCCCCTGGCGTCTTCCCAGCATCTGCACGCCTTGACCTGAGTCTCAAGGCAACGAATGGCTTCACTATGAAAGTTTGGGACGTATGGAAATATCCTGCCTTCGCATTCAATAAAGGTAAGCATCGACAGTGTTTTATCAATGATTTAATGAATCCTGAACGCCGACATCATGCATCCAGCATCATGCCTCGCTCTTGATGTGATATCTCATCACGTTTGGGGCCCGCGCAGAAAATCATGGGGAATTGAGATGACTATCCTCTCTAGTCTCATGCGAGATGTTTCAAGGCATTCTGCACTGGCTGATATTGTGAGTGCCATTTGTGTCGTTCGCAACCCTAGCAATGACAACAACCCTAGACTATGGTTCGTAAAGCAATGGGTATCGGAGGGCTAGTTCCCTTGCCCTCAGACGCTTTAGTCACCCCAGTGACCTTCCGTGTGCGTAAACGCAACCTTCGTGGTATACTGGAGACTTGCGATGCGATGGAAGACGAAAACCGTGAACTTTCTGGGGAGTGGATAATCGGGAAGAGACTCTGGCAATCTTTGCAGTCAGATTACAAATCCACTCGAAAAACGGGAGAAGGGGCCAGTTTTGTCGACCAGACGAAAATCGATTACGATTCTCGAAAGGGGCAATCTCGAGTCATCCTCTACATTCACGGCGGTGAGTTCGTGGCGCTCTCTGTACAATGCAGCGTTTGATTTTGTGTTCAGGAGCATATTACTCATCTAGCGCTGCAGCACAAAGGATGCTAACCATACCACTGTCCAAATATACCAACGCACGCGTGTTTGGTGAGTTTCTTGATCACAGCTCGCGTTGCCATCCTTGCCTCATCTCAATCCAAGCCATCGATTACCGGCTCGCTCCGGAAACAATTTTTCCTGGTCAGCTGCACGACGTGGTCAGCACCTACTTCCGCCTGACGGATGACTTGCGGGTGCCGCCAGAAAATTTAGTCGTGGCGGGCGATAGTGCGGGCGGTGCACTAGGGCTTGCACTCCTGCTCTATCTACGAGACAATGGGTACACTCTTCCAGGCGGTGCCTTATTATTCTCTCCCTGGGTTGGTATGTGACGATTGATGCACTTTTTCTGTGGGTAGTCTGAAACATAATGACAGACTTGACCTTGAGCTGCGAATCGTGGGATACTAATGCTGCCTACGACATCATTCCTACGCCCGGTCCAACCGGTCACTTGCACCCCGTTTTAATGTATCTAGGAGATGCACTCGAGCAGTACATTACCCACCCATACGCCAGCCCATTGTTCGGCAAGTTCGATGGACTACCGCCTATGCTCATTCAATGTGGTGATGCGGAGGTTTTGTATGACGAAATCGTACTTCTCTCACACAAAGCTTCACTGGCCGGTGTCCAGGTTCAGTTGGAGACCTACGAGGATGCTGTGAGTTCATTGACTTTCTCGTTTGTTGTACTGATCATTGCTTTTTCAAGGTTCATGTTTTTCAAGCATTTCCTTTCCTGAATGTTGCAACAACCGCCTTTATCTCTTGTCGCGAATTCGTGCGATACAAGTTGCCTCGTATCCAGAGCCACTCGCCTCAGGTTTTGGATAATGACACTGAGATTTGCCTTGAGAACGACACAGATAACGATAACGTCCGTGTCGTCCGTGGCGATGGTGTGGAGACTAACTCGGGATGGCAAGAGGTTCAAGAACAGATGGCTCGAGAAAATATTGATACGAGTTACGAGGCGCAATTGAGCTCAACAATACCTCCAAGCTGGGGTCGCACTTGGGTGGATTTGGAACTGACTCCTAGTTCCAGCGGTAGTGAAGCAGAACCAACTACGCCTTGCGTGACCATCGCCGATCCATCCCGAGTTCTTCGGCATGCGGCATCCACTCCAGCTCTGCGCCGAATACAGTCTGCTCTCTCCGTTTTCTCGGAGAGATCAGTTGCATCCCAATATCTGGAGGACTGGCCTACTCCTCGCAGAAAATTCACATTATCACCGACACCAACTCGTCCTTCGTCTCCCTTCGAATCCTCGCATCCTCGCATTAGTATTCCTGCATTTGCGACATCTTGGGCCGCTATGACATCCGTTGCCCCGACTACCTACGTTGTATAGTATTACCTTACAAGCATCAGTGACATCGTTTTATTCGCATAATGCACGTCCAGATATGTACATAGTAAGTGATACGTAATAAATATTCCATTCTCTACATAGGATGTCCGCGATCAACGATACTATATTCTCTACCGGTCGTAGGGTGCTTGCGATACTAGGATCTGCTTGTGAAGCTCAAGGTCTTCTATAACATTCTGTAAAGCTTTCCGCTCCCAGTTCCCGAAGATGAAGCCTTCGTAAAGCTTAGTCGTAGCCTGCCACGATAAGAAAATGACAAGAAGCACAAAAACTGGGTTGAGCCAGGGAATAACAACCCATGCAGATCCAATGATAAGACCAATCAGCGCCAAGATGCTCGCTCCGAAGATAGTCAATTCCTTGCGAGAACGATCTTGCGACATCCTGTAAGATGTGTTGAAGGCGTTCATCAACTCGGCTATTGCATTCGAGGAGAGTTCAGAGGGGGAGTTGAACCACATTGCTGAGGTATCCTTCAATGACGCCAT